ATAAAGAGGATTCTTTTACATACATACATTTAAAAAATGTCCAAGATTTGTCTTTTCTCCAACAGAATATCTGCTTGAGGGCATTGATTGGTAATCAGTCAGCCTTTTATAGCATAATGATGTCTCTTTGTCAGCCCTAAGAACATCTCATGTACCTCTTCTCAGAAGCAATCTACATATGTCACATTTCAAACCGCACGCTCCTTTCACGGCTGCAAACACTTTGATCTCGAAAAATTGACCAAAGATGACCCTATTTTTAGGCAATTGTCCTCCAAATTCCCCCATCTCAATCACCCTTCCAGCTTCCTTGTTTTGAGCGCCTTTGGTCCTAAAAACATGGCCAATAAATTAGAATCATCTTTACGGCACCCTCTCCGTTCTTATTTTATTTTTTCCCTAATTGAAATACGATTTTATTCTCCTTCGACAAATCGGGGATTGGCCAAATCTGCTGTAGAGACGGACAAAATGCCCGAGGGGATTTTTGTCCCTTGTTTTTATTTTTGGAAGTCGCAAACACTCGGCTATACGATGGAAAATGGAGATAAATGGGGGCTTAATGAAGGGTTTTGAACTGTCAGTAATCTTTGTCCGGGAATCTATAGTTTAGAGGGTTTAACGCCGGTAATCCGGGAAATTTTTTGTCATAAAACTTGGCCGAAAAGTTATGGAGGTGAAGGGCTGGAAAAATAGTTATTGCAGAAGAAGAATAATTCAGGTTTTAGGAAAAAGTTTAGGCTAAAACACAATTTTTTGATAGCAAGGATGCTTAAGACTCAATGCCCAAATTCTCCGCCTTGGAAGATTCAAGGAAGTTTGGGACCATCCTTATTAGTCACATCATCTTTTTTCCTTCCAATAAAAATTCAGCGCATGCTTTTCTCCCTCCACAAACAACGATCTTTAATTTTTCCTTAATTAAATGTCATAATAATCCTTGTCTTACACATTTGGCCTTTACGAAGCCCTTTTATTCCTGCCGGATGCACTTTTTTCACAATCTTTTTTCGTTTTCTCAATTTTATTTTCGTTAAAAGGTTAACATGAATGTCCCAGACATAAGCGAAGGTAATTGGCATCCCTTGCTCGTTCCCTTTGAGACAGGTGTTTTTTCTACCGCAAAAATAAACCCGAGTTGACGGGCTTTTCGGAATATTCAATAGACCCCAAACGTTGGTCAAGTCCGGGCGTTTCTGTCGTTAATGAGGTTTGAGAAAAGAGTGGCGTCATCGAGGGGAAGGAACCGCAGAGTAACTTTTCAGATGTTCTGACTTTTTTTCTAGGAAAAAATGCAACTTAATTTTTTTGCTTGTAGTTTTTATGACCTTTTCAGTCTTAAAGTGCCACAAAGTCAATCAAAATCTTTACTTCTAACCTTTCCCACTTCTTCAAGGAAAAATTTCATTACTTTCTAAGGATCTATCGTTGTAAATTTTGAGCTAAAAAACTCCGAAAAGTACTCTTTGAACTTTTTTTGACTTTCCTTTTTGGCGAATGACGAAACTCTTGGTCCATTTCTCTAAACCCCTTAGGCAACATTTCCCCACTCCGTAAATCCCGAACGAATTTATGGGGCTCCGTTCGATTAAAAATAAATTGAAACCAGCGCTGTATGCAAATTAATCCCGGAGAGCGCATGGGGAGACGGGGACGGAAAGTCATCCCTTATTTTCGCGGGCTCTTCGAATTTTGCCGAGGGCATTTCGGAGCCAAATTTTCAGCGGCCCGGATTTTCTGGTAATTTATAGCCGGGAAATCGAAAAAATGTGAAAATTACTGGTTGGTTTGTCGGGTAAATGTATTTTCGAATATCTTAAAAGCCATTGAAATCGTCGCGGAAAGTACTAGGCGGGCCAAAAAGTCTTGACATGTCTGCACAGTGCGCCGTCGTGCATGCAATTTGTCGCGCGGCGACAAGAAAAATTGACGGTGCAATGCGACACCGCACAGTGCAAAAAGATTGTTTTGAAAAAGGGTAAACAACGCACAGTGCGCTCTTCATTCGCACCCCGCCAAACTTTTATCGCGCGACACCTCGTCGCGACACCGAATTCATGCGCCCGCACGGTGCGAAAACATGTCAAGACTTTTTGGCCCGCCTAGTATTATGTTTTGTTTTGATCTGTTTTTGCACGGTGGGAGACAAAATCTATTGCATTGTGCAGATTCGAAAAAATCGTAGGCGCAATGCGGGAGAGACCCTAAGAAAATGTTTTAATTTGCCTACGAAAGATGCCATTCAATCGCCTTCCCAAGGCGTTATTAAATTTTTTATCACTTTCCAGCCTAGGGCAGAAATTTGAATCTAAATTTTCTGCACAGTGCAAAATTTTGCAAATTTCCAAAGCTTTGCACCGCACGTTTTCCAGAGATTTCTTTCCGCAAAACTCCACAAAAATGTCTATTAGCTACGAATTGCACACTTCGCTTTCACGTAATTTTCTCGAAAGATGTCATTTCGAATTAGAAACCACTTCGTTCAACCGCATAAACCCGTCAATTAATTGTGAGATCCAGCGCCATTTTTATTCAGATCCCAGGTTCAAGGTCTTCCATTATGAAATTCTGTGGAAGGCGGCGAAGGAATTAGTTCTCCGACAATTTGTGAGGATTTGGGGTGAGAAAAAATGGGTGAAAAAGTAATGCCGGGTGGTTTGGTTTACCTGGTTACTGGAGGTGTTGGATAACATGATTCATTACTCGGTAAAGGCCATATATACATGTGACGTAGGGAAAAAAGGAAAACATGTTTTTGAAGAGATTAGAGATGGCTCTGTTTTGACATACACTGATAAAAACTATTTCAAAACTTTTTGTACCTGTTGGAATTTTCTGCAAGGTAGCTTAAGGTCCGAAACTTTTATTTCCGCATTCGGATATCGCCACCGAGACTTGCGTAGAGGTTTAGCAAGGCCTGAGGGTCCTATCTTCAGAAGTTTACTTTATTTTGGATTCTCTACTTCTTTAATTTTTAATTTTTCTACAGTTTTTTTAACTTTTTTTGGATTTCAATGAGATTTCGACTCAAAATTTCATGTAAAGAGAGAAAAAAGTATCTCAAATCCAGGTGTCCATAAAAAACACTCGATAGAAAGTTGTGGAATCCCTTTTAGGGTATGTTTACTCAAAGGCCTCCTTGTCCGTTCCCTCCCCAATAAACGTAGCCTTTTTTCTCTCGCTGACGTGAAAATGAGAGCGACCGGAATGAATGTACTCGGCTTTCCGAGGCTCGTTATTTTATTCGAAAGGATCTGTGAAGGTTTATTGCCGGTCATTGATCAAGTTGAGGTGTGGGATTTTTGATATATTGATGATGAAATTATGGCTGTCCGGCTTTTGTGCGACGCCTGGGGAGGTCGGACGGCCGTCAGTTTTGGGTTCAGTCATAATTTTTTGTATTTTTTTTGCTGACGTATTTTACAACTTTTCCAACGTGTTCTTGCAGGTTTTAGGATACATTTTTTTCTTTAACGTAGATTCTGTTTTATGAAGTACTAATTTTGCCGATAGGCTTTGACGTTTTGCGGTATTCTTGACGTACACAGAGCCTATAAATATCATGCAAGGTATGGTTTTAAAAATTAACATTGATTTTTTAACCACAATGTTTTGGCATGTGTTAAAATTTTCAGTAATTAATGGCTGACTACCGGACTGTAGTTACGAAAATTTCAGCCATATACGTCAGTTGTTCGTTGAGTAATTGAAGTGAAATCAAAACTCGCAACTTTTCCCCCAAAGTTTTGAAATCAGTTCGCTTCCTGCTATTCACGCCATTTCGAAAATCTTTTCGGATGATCTCCTTCAAACAATTATGTATTATAAAAGTACGTTCAAGAAAAGTCAAATAAACTCTCTGCCGAGGACGGGACGCAGAAAAAAGAGCTGGTGCGAGAGAATGGAGCGGAGGGATGAATACTTGTTGTTGAGGGTAATGGCTGGCACCAAAATCTACTCCACCACCACTAAATTCGCCCCGAAGACGCAGAATTAAAATTGAAAGTGTTCATTTCGGGGGGAAATGGGCGCTGGTATCGAGCGGGGGGTTCTTCGACGGGGCAGACGGGAGAAAAGGGCTCGTCGTATAATATGAGATGCTATATGTTCGATTTAAGAGGAGGCTAGTGGTGTTCTGAACGGAGGCAGAGGTGTGACAAGAACAATTCAGGGAGCAGTAGAAGTTTTGTTGGATGAGTTGGATGATTTAGATAGCAGAGAAAAGAAATGTCAAAAATCGGTGTTGAGATAGGTCATGGATTGTTTAAGCTTATCCAAAATGTAGCTAGCAGTGTGTAGGATCTTGCAAATTTCAAAAAGGCGGTAGCATACTTGCTGTGTCTCTTCCATGACTTTATTTTTACTTCGTATCCCAATAATCAGCAAAAATCCCGCAACCTTCTCTTTCTTGTTTTTTGGTCAGCCGTCAATTAGTGTCGTATCTCATTTAAACAAGTGCTGAACTATGGATTCATTCTGCTTTATTGATATGGGTGTAATAAATTAATGAATGATGCTGGGAAAGTGTGGGAGTAAAATGTTTAGTAATCCCAATTGGTTTGCACCTTGGATTTTTTGGAAACCACCTTATTTATATGGCTTAAAAAAGACTGTGCGGCCTTGGGCAACTATTACTTTTTTTACGGTTTAATCCCATAACTATTACGAATTAGTCGTTGGAAGTCGAGATTGTAGGCCTTCTTTGTCTGTGAATTTATGAACCTTGTAATTGGTCTTACGTCGACCTAGGAAAGAGGATTCATATTAGACTTTGATGAGTTTATTTTGTAACCTTTGTGCTCTAAAAGAAGACTTAAAGATTCCTCTTCCGATCTTCATTATGTTCCCGCATGTTTCTCGCGTTTCCCTCTCCATATTTTGGCTGGTTTTTGCTACTGAAAATGCTAATTGAATTCCAGAGAACCCGGGTACATCTATTGTAATCAGCCAACAAAAAACCGGTATAAAGCACAAAAAAGTCATTAGAAAAACGGGACACAATGGGTGACAACAACCTGCTCGAGTCGTACAATCCCCTGTACGATGTGCATCTGCGGCAGTACTTCGCCTCGCCGCATATGCAAAAACATCTGAGGAACTTGGGATTGGTAAGGTCATTTGATCGATTTCCATTCAAAGATTATGTCATTTCCGGCGAAAAAATCAAGGATAACAAAAATAATTATCCCTCATTTTCAGCTCGATAGCAATGGAGTCCCAGTTCAAGGAACCAACAATGTCGAGGGCCAGCTCTACGCTCGCCATCAGGTCATGATGGACATGATGTTGCGCAACAAGGAGCGAGTCCTCATGCAATTGGCGGATCTGCAAAAGAAACTGGATGCCGCCGAAAAAGTCGAAATTTATCGGCGGATTCGAAGTGGAATCACGAATGCTGAAGAGTTCAGAAGACATCATCTCACCACTCGAAGCTTCTCACGGCCAGCTCGTGCTCGTTCACGTCCTCCAGAGAATGATCGAGTCGAAAGACAGCGGCGACATTCGGGAAGTTTCGACGACAGTGATTTGTTGAAGAGGATCGAGAATGATTACGAGGAAGCGCAGAAGGTTTACGAACATGACAGTGGAAAGGGACTGTACGGGAGATTGGCGGCGAATGCTTACAAATACCAGTACTTGCATAAGGTAGGGAAACTCTATACAAAGTCATTTTTCGTCTATAAAAATTGTTAAATATCTCAGCCGTATCTTCAAGGCGAGAGCTAAAAAAATTTAAGCGTTTATTTGTGGTTCAAAAACTTTTGGAAAAATTTGAAGTTCCTCCTCATAAGATCGCTAAAATGATCTCCTTTTCCAGCTTGACGACCGCACTCTCCTCAACTACAAGGACATGCTCCAGCGTCAGCTGCAGAAGCTCGAACGTTTCCGCGAGATCTCCTTTGGCCCCCACTCCGTTGCCAAACATCAACCTCCACTGCAGACGTCTTGGTTCTTCCGTCGAAGGTCTCTGCCGTCTATAAGTCAATCCTCGCAAGGCCAGAGTGCGCCACCCACTATGCAAATCAGAAAACGCATGAGGTTAGGGAGAGCAAAGGTTGTACAAGGCACTTGGCTCGTACTATATTCTTTTTTGGGAATTTTCTTTGGTTCTGTGGATTTTTGGCGAGAGATAGGAGTGGAAATTAAAGGGAAGAGCGAAAATTTGATTTTAGAGAGATCAAGCTTTCTTCTTTTTGAATTGATTGTTTTCAAACTTCTTTTTTGCCCCATTTTAGACTAGAATTGCACTTTTTTGCAGTATTTTGCACTAAAATCACTTCAAAATTCATTAGCCAAAAAACTGCATGCCCAGGCCAAACGCTGCCTTCATTTTTTTCTCCCTCTCTGAACTTTCTCACAGCTTTTTAATTCTAATTTTTGTTACAGTATCCAACTACAGTATTTTTTGGTATTTATCGTAATAACAATAATTGGTTGGAGCTTACATTCTATGCATTTTTAGCCTCGAATTTCAGCATCTGTGGCGCACCGTGGAATTGTTTTTTTTTTTGATTTTTGTAGCGGAATAGCTCATGTCGTTTTCTGTGTATGGTGTCGTGGTCGACTCTTTCAGGCTTTTCGATCGGTTTGATTATTTGTTTTTTTGGGGATTTTGAATTGTTTACGGCATTTTCCAGAGGTATTTGTAATCATTTTGGTTATGAAACGTCAACTTTTACTTTATACAAGCAAAAATAGAAAGTCTTTACTATGTTTTTTCGGTTAGAAAGTTGATTTTAAATTGTTTATTTAGTAATTGCAGACTATTAATTTCGATTTTGACCTATCAAAGTTGACTATTTTTCCAAGAATTTCATTTTTTATTAACTCAAATTCTCAAAAATTACTTCTAAAATACAAAAAATCAGGGAAATTGCCAAATTCAGCCTCATTTTTTATCATTACATCTTAAACTTTCATGTCAATTTTTAACCTTCGTATTTTAGGAATTCCAAGTCGGGAACTCGAGCTCGCACCGGAAAATCTTTATCGCCCAGCCGAGCCTCTGGTCTCCCCGCAACTTCAACCTCAGCTCAGCCGATCACAAGAAGAGCTCCTTTGCCCAGACAACCCAAGAAACTTCCGCCATTACCCAAGAAGAAGACTGGGACCCCCACCGCCAAAGCCAATGGGCACGCACAAACCGGCCAAAAGTTGCCACCGACTGCGATTATTCGGTGGGTTTGGTGTAAAATACGCGTTTCGAAATTTCAGTTCTTCTAAACAAAATCCGACTTTTTTTAACAGACCTAATTGGATAGCGCATTATTTAAAATATCCATAATTTCAGTCCATCCAAAAAAGAGCCAGAATCCAACCGTTCATCGTCCGGTGCCTCCGTTGAGAAGACCGAGAAGCTTCCCAGCATCTCCCCGACCCCTCTGGCTGCTGCTGGAGCAGCTGCGGCAGCTGTTGGAGCTGCTGCGTTGGCTGCAATCTCTCCACAAGCCAGCGATGGGGAATACTCCCGGCCCGAGACTGAAGCGTCCGGCCATTTGTCTGTTGGAAATGAAAGTGATGCCACGTCTCCTCAGCCTCAGAGTGATATCGAACCAGAACATGAGGCTGAAATTGAAGCCGAGCCGTCAACTCCACAGGTCGAAAGAAAGTTTGAAATGGAACCAGAAGTTCATGAAGAGGACCATCAGCAACTTGAGCATGTTCAGGAGCCAGTTGCTGAGCCTGAACATGACGCAGAGTCCGTCCATTCGGAGAAGACCCATGACGCTTCATCTCAACCGCCAACGCATCGAGAAGAGGTTGTTTCAGTCACTTCATCCCGACTTGAATCAGCTCGTGAACTGCTTGAAAGAGTCCGTGGGATTGACAGTCCTTCTCAATCGCCAAAACCAGATGATCGAGGGGCCTCTCAAATGTCCCGAGATTCCATTGATGGACATGTTGATCACTCGCAAGGCCATGAAAAAACTCATGAAGAAGTTCATGATCAAGTTCACGAACCGGAGATCACTCAACAGCACGTTCAACAGCTTGCCGAAGAACCTCAAGACGACTTAATCTCGGCGTCTGAGAGTTTCAAGCAAGTCGAAGATCAGGTTCAGCATGAACTTGAAGATGCTCATGAACGGGTCCGAAGATCTGTTGGAGAAGTTCCTGAAGAGAACGAAATGGAAACCTCTGTCTACCATCAGCAGGAAGAAAGCCAGGAGCCTCATTTTCAAGATGAATATCAGCCAACAGAACACCATGAAGATGCTCATGATCAACAGGAATATGAAGATCATCATGTACCTTTAAAAGAGGAAGATCATGAGGAATCCCATAAAGTAGAAGAGGCACCTCCAACTGAATCATTGCAGCGTCATCGTGACAGTTTTACGGAATCTGAATCCGAGCCGAATCTCCATTATCAAACTCAATCCTTTGCCGTGGAGTCGAACGAAGCTACATCGGCAATCGCTCCAGAAGAAACTCAGGCCGCTCCAACTTCAGCTGACAGTTTCCATGACTCCTCGGTTCCAACCATTGAAGGAGAGTCTCTGAGAGACTCTGAGGAAGAGACTCGGCCAAACACTGAGGCCCATGAGCAGGAGGTTCATGATGCCACATCAGATGTTGCTCACCACGTTGAGGAGTACGACATGGATAAGGTTGATGTGGAAAGAAAACCAAGCTACGAGGCGATGGTAATCCATAGAGACTCGGTAGCACAAGATCAGAATGTTCATGAAGAGCCAGTTCATCAAGACTATCAACGCGAAGATCATGATGATATTGAGGAAACCTTTGAGAAAGTTGATCATCAGCCTTTAGAAGGGTCAGCGATCTCCCATCCGGCCAGTCAAGGTGGAGATCATGAGCCAGTCCACGAGCCGGCACATGATATTCCGGCATCTCCAGTGCAGCCTGAAGATCATTTTGAACATCCCGAGCCAGCGCATGATCAAGGCCCCTCAACCCCAGACTCCCCTGAACCTCATGAACATGAAGATCAGATTGTCGACAATGCTGGAGAAGAAACATTCGAACGTAAACACTCTCATCCTTTGACTGGAAGAACTGACGATGAACTTCATGAACAAAGCCATGTAGATCACGAAGAGTCTCACGGAATTTCTCATGAAGATTCCCAGAGTTCTCACGGACAGCCAGAAGACTACCGTCACGAAGAGGAACATCATGAAGATGATGAGGTTGCTCATGGTCTAGTTCATGAAGCGCGTTTTGATCAGCCTGAAGAAGAGCCATATGAGGCCCAAAAATCATCGACGCTTCTTTCGCAGCCTTCTATTGAGATCACTCCGGCCTCTGAATACGGAGGATCTGTTGAACATCTTGACCGCTCAGCTAGAACACCAATCAGTCCAGTCAGTCAATCGGAATCGATCAAAGAGGAGCCTGCGGCCGAAATCACAAATCACGAGACGACTTATCGTGGAGAATATGCTCAGAGTTACGAGCCGGAAGGTCCTGAAGAAGTTGATCAAACAGCTGCCGAGCAATATCGTCTGCCAGAATCCCCGGATCCTAATGCTCACAATGACATCATTCCGGAACAATGTGCAGAGCATGGTGAAATTGTTGTTCCAGCTGATGGTGAGATCAGTCCACGCGACCATATTCCAGAATATCACCCACAAACTCATGAGTACGAAGCTGGACATGAACATGACTTTGATAGTCCTCGTGAAGAGCCGCACCACGAAGTTTATGAGGGTCACAACGATCTGCAAGGACATGATGAACACTCAGCAGGCCATCACGAAACTCATGAAGAAATTAGAGAGGCTTCTCACGAACCTGTAGATCACAGTTCCAATGAAGACGTCCATAATGCGCTTTCTCATGAATACGATCAAATTCCCCATGAAACAGAGGTTCATAACGAGCCTGAAGTTACTCATCAAGAATACGACGATGACCAAGGACATCACATCGTCCATTCAGAACACCATGTTGATGACAATGAACCTGGAGTTCATATTGAAACGGAATCTCTTCATATAACGACTGAACAAAATGACGCAATTTCTCCGCGCTCTGAAGTTTCCCACGGTTCGGAGTCCGGTCAAGGTTCTGAACTGCCGAGTGGACGGACCGAAGACATCTCGCCTGACCAGCCAGCTGTTCACGAAGATATTTTGGCCAGTCCACGCACCGAAGCTCCAGAACTAAGCCCTCGACATGAAGACGAAGATCATCATATCTCTCATGAAGTAGACATCAGTTCGAATGAGCCTCAAGTCTATGACGACGAGTATACAGATGAGCAAGGTCATCATACCATCCACGAAGAACATCGAGTTCATGAGACTGAGCCTGGAGTTCATGTTGAAGAATACAGTTATCAACAAACCACTGACAATGATGCTGATCATGTGACTAACCGATCTGAGTATTCCGAACAGTCTGTTACTCACGAGCCGAATTTGATGGAACAGTCGGTTTATGAGGATCATAGTGATGGTCATGGGCATGATCACGAGGTAGATTATGACCGTCAAAGTCAAGTCAGCCAAGAGGTGATTCATCACGAACCTGAACATCACATTGTCTCTGAGGATTACACAATCGATCAGCAACATCATGAACATTTGCCAGAGGCTGTTGTTGAACAACTCAATCTCTCACATGAACAAAACGTGCATGAAGATTCTTACACCGACGACTCTCAGCCCGGTCACCATGTTGAGGAGCACCATTATACAATTACTTCTGATGCTGAGCCCAATAAAAATGTTGAGGTTGAAGATTACAGCGAACAGATTGATGGGCCTAATGGAGTTCATGTCGAAAAGCATTTCCAATCCACTACGACTATTGTAAATGAGAATGGAAACTACTCCAATGGGCACAAAGATGTGGAAGAGGATGATAATGCAAATGAGAAGACGTCTTTGTTGAGTCGCAGTCATGATAGTGATGATGATGGCGATACGGACAGTGTGATTATTCGTTCAAGTCCGGAGACTACAGATCGGACTGGACCGGAGACTGGACGCGCTGAAATCTAAGGGTCTTGTGTTGAGTTTTAACGGTATTCATGGGCTCTCTATGCAACTTTTGTCATCAATTTATCTTCAGGATCCAGTTTATGGCCTAAAGTTATATTTTTGGAACATCTAAGATGAGTTGGCGCTGTATACTGCTAGATTTGCTGTTTGTTGTCATCCTTATTCTTTATGACATTTTTCTCTAGTCTACCACGATTGACTAACACCTTACCCAAACAAACCACCTTTTTTCGCCCATTGATGTCTACTGCAATATCAAAAAGTAGTCGAATTTTTCCTACGGTCTCCTTGACCTACCCAAGTTTATTTGCATTTTTAAGCCACCGTCACAACCGACCGATAAGCGCAATTCACCCAAAAAATATCTAAATTCCCACGAGTTACCGCATGTTCTTCCATCTCCGTCCACCATGGTATTCCCCGTTCAAAAACATGGTCAAAAACCCCCAAAATAGTCGAGCACTTTAATTGTGATGATCACTTTTCTGATCTCAACCCGTTTTTTACAAGCATTCGAGCTTACAGCTTCACATTATACGACAGTATTTGTTTTCTGCTTATCACATTCACCTTTCATTTTTTTCAATCTCAAGTTTCACAGCTTTATTATGCGTATTTCAATTTCTCAGCTCCTGTTTTGTTGAACATCTAGGCATTCTTTTTCGTTACAATATTCGAGTTTTTATTTAACAGTATATCTTACTGGTTTCTTGGTCGTTTCGACTGTTATTTTCTCACTGAAGTTTGGTTTGTTTCTTTGGAAAAAATAAAGCTTATACTGAAATTGGAGGAATGTGACTCTCAAAAATGAATTTTGAATGGATTCTTTGAATTCAAGGCCTTTTTTTGCAAATTCCCTGAAGTCAATTAAGCTCGCTGGAAAAACATTTCAAGGCTGGTTAGAAGCCGTCGCTCCTACTCATCCTTCCAGATAAGATATAATCCAAATCATTGCGTAAAACATAAGCGTCATGGAGAAGGAAAAGATGCGCCAACCAGTTTTTTATTCAATTCCTTCAAGTATAATGAGAACATAAAGCATAATTGTATACAATACACACGACATTAAAGAGGATTTAATGTTAGGTGTTTTATTGATTTTTTGAAGTGTCCGGGCTTATTGGAATATAGGTAAAGAATGTCATAAATCTCCAAAAGGACCTCACAAAGGCTTTACTTATTTTCTTATGCACATTGAAGAACACAGTAATCGTAAGATTTGCGACAGGAATCGAGGTGGACAAATATGTATAAAAAAGGAATTTGAGCCAATCAATAAGCTCAAATTTCGAAACTGGGGTGAAATTGAGGTCATATTTGAAGAGCGCATCTCTCGAAAAATTGACAATGATTGTGACACCATGACTGGGAACAAATACGTCATGAACTCAAAAAGCGCCGGACGATTACGATATCGATCAACATGGCCGTTCCTAAAAACTTGACCTCTCGCATAGGCAAAGGCTCAAAGGAGAGAACGACTCTCAATTCCTCGGCACAGTAACCTAGGCTTTCTGCAATTTTTTTACTTTATCTTCCAAATATGTTCCCACTTTGAGACTATTGAAGCTTACGTTTGAACCTTTCTTCATACATGGTATATTCCAAGAACTCAATAGAAGCAAACGCATTTTCGCAAGCCTACATTCCAAACTGGCTTACAAAAGCATTGAAATGACCATTGATGGTCATTCCGAACAAAAGTAATGGTCGTAAATTTGAGTTTGGAACAGCTTGAGTTCTTCTCCATCTTTCTCAGAGAAATTGGAATCTAAAGGGCGATTGTTGTACGTCATGGGAAAGAGACTTCATTGAGGAATTTCGGAAAACCCAATAAAAAACATGACTTGCAAAATTTTGAAAAGAATCAGAAAGTTCTGCTCAAATGGCATTCGAAATACGGTATTTTTAGCAAATAGGATCTGCCAAATAAAGCAATTTTCAACGGTCAGGTTGCATTTTCAACCAAATACATGATAAAACCTCTTTGTTCACTTTGATTTAGCCAGTAATGTTGATCTCCTTGAGGTTCAACTTCCATATTATCATTTCACACGTATGTTGTGACGTTCCCTTCAATGACCTTTAAGTTTCACTGCTCTTTTCAAAAATCTTTTTTTTGTCGCAGCAATTGATCATCGCCGCCCGTCTCCTCTTTGTTTCTATTTTTGCCTTTTTTGTCGCACCTTGTTTGTCATTGAAACCCGTTGGACCAAACGGTTGCCAAGATGGCTAAATCCACAAGTGAAACGTGAGACTCACCTCGTTTCCGGTGATTGGAATTCCGACGGATAGACGTTGCAAATAACGCCGGCGAAACTCGTTTTCCCTCCTCTTCTCGGCTTGAAACTTTGCTCCTCCTCTGCCGATGAGCGAATATTTTAAGATGAGGCGGAGCAGACGTCTGGGCCGAGCGATATATAACGGCTAGACTGGCATGGGAGACTTCAAGACGCTTCGGTGTATTCAAAGTAAGTTGGTTTACTTTTAAAGATATTTTTGAGGAAAAAAAACGGTCTTTTCGATTTTTAAAAATTTTGATGACCTTAAAATTAAGGGTTCTGCTTTTTAAAGCTATTATTCGTATTTATCATCGACCTTTTCCAGAATGAGAATCTTCTTCGTGCTCGCCCTCTTCATCGGAGCCGCTTCGGCCTTCTTGTTCCCATCTGCCGGAGGCGGTGGCGGCTGCTGTGCCCCTCCACCACCAAGCTGTGGATGTGCTCCTCCACCACCCCCACCACCTCCACCACCACCACCACCAAGCTGCGGATGTGCCCCACCACCATCCCCATGCGGCTGCGGAGGAAAGTAAACAGTTTGACCGGTTGAATTTTGCATTTGATCATGTCTGTATCATATATGGTGACGAGATAAATCTTTTTGATCATTCACTTGAACTTTTGGATTTTTTGAACCGTTCGCCTTTTAGTTACAGTCCAATTAACAGACTGACAGTAACTTTCTCTTCATGGAATACAGTCTGGCGGATCTTGCGCAATTTTGGATATTTACTCGCCGTCGTAAATTCCACTGAAGCGTGGAAACCAATGCGATCTTTTCTTATCAGACCGGATTTACTGGAACTAAGTCACGTTGCTTCAGCGTTTTACTCTGTGAACTCGTCGGGCGATTGGAACAACAAAAAACATGATGTCATTTAATTCCGGGAAAACCATTATTTAAAAAATACCAAAGACTGGAAATTCGGGCATGGTAGGGAACCCAACACCTCAGTTCAATTTCTGAAGAGTAATGTTGGACCCCTGGGGCCTGTTTCACTAACATAAAAATAAATAAATGAAAAGTAGGGGGGAGCGAGAGAGCATCGAAAACGCGTTTGCGAGCGAGAGAAACCGGACGAAAAGCAGAAGTAGCCTACTTCTCTTTCGGAGTGACTTTTTACGTCCAAAAACCGGAGTTGGCCGCAGAATTTTGGCCATAACTTTTTTCTCAATTGGTATAGGGACACCCTTCAAAAAACCAAATAAAGCTGACGGTTGAGACTACAACATATCCAAATTTCGTTGTTTTATTTTCAAGAGTAGATTAGCTATATAGCTTAAAGTACAGAGTACATTTACACTGAAGATACGAAATGTTTTATTTCTCGGTCAATTTCAAAATGTTGACGCTTTAATTTATACCAGTCGATAGCCCGTCTTTTTTTCTATGAGGCTTTTTTAGAGGGCCAATTGTAGGTCTTATTATGGCTGAGTTATGGCAAATTTAACTCCATTTTTGTCATAAAAAGAGCCCTCAAATCAAAGGAAGAGGAAAAGTTCGCCCCTTTCGGAAAGACTTTTTATGGTCAAAAATGGAGGTTACCTTGATTTAATTGCCCGTAACTCTATCAATTTATGATATATCGCCACCCCTCAAAAAACATAATGTAGCTAAGAAACGTCTTTACACACTGATATTAAATTTGTAATTATTCTTATAAAAATTGGTGAGAAAAATGCGTTTTTATTCCGCGAAGAAGAAAAAACGAGATGGTTGGCCGTACTACTGTAAAATTAGCGGTCCACCGGGCTATAAAAAGAATTCAAAACACATATTGTCTAAAACTACTTAAAAAAGTCTATGTGTTGTTTTTTGGAAGGTTTCAATCCGAAAAGTTTTACCCAAGTTATGGGAATTTTAAGCTCAAATTTAGTCGGTTTTCTCAAAAATTAAAGCACGCGTACTTTACGATTTTTTTAAGGACGGGTTTTGGCACCACAGCAATGAAAATAATCTTGGTGATAGCTGAAACTGTCAGCTTCATTGTAAATTTTGAAGGGTGTTCCTAGACCAACTGAGAAAAAAGTTATGGCCAAAATACTGCCGCGAACCGCGGTTTTGGACGTAAAAAGTCACTCCCGCAAAAGTAGGCTACTTCTGCTTTTCGTCCGGTTTCTCTTGCTCGCAAACGCGTTTTCGATGCTCTCTCGCTCCCCCCTACTTCTCTTTTATTTATTTTTATGTTAGTGAAACAGGCCCCTGGATCTGCTCTAAAAGGAGGGGAAGGCTGGCACTGCCTGAATCCTAAATATGTAGACTTTTTTTTTCAATTGTCATCATTTTTTCTGTCGGTATTCCTTATGGTCTACCTTTTTTAATTTTTCGGAAAAGCTCTCTATAGAATGTATAATATCAAAAGGTATCAAAATACGAGTCAAAAAATACAATTGCACAGACAATTATGTTATAGTTGGACAATGATGATTGATGGGCTACTTTTGCAAGCTATGTCATTGGCAGCTCCTACATCACTCTACTTCCATAGTAGTTTTTAATTTGCTTTTTAAACATCACCCCAACCATTGGCTTAAACTTATCCCCGTTGAACCCTAATCACATCAAGTTTTTTGATGAAACAAACTTAAGCCAGCGTGAAATCATTTTTTTATGTGTATAACGGATATCTCAACTGCTGCAAAGGTAAAAAAGGTTTTGAGGAGCGGCGCATCAATGAAGAGAAGTTTGCCTTTTGAGTTTGTGCGGTCACGGATGCGATAATGAAGCAGAATTAAGGAGATAACAAATTTACAGTGTTTTTGCGGCTAATTAGTGATTGCATAATGGATGGATGGAAGTACCTCAGAAAAGAGGATAAGTAAATTAAGCAGCCGGTATATAAATCGACCATTTCTGAGGGATATAGACAAGCAGTGTTTGGTCTGCAAAAGTGAGTTGCCTTCTTAGAGATTCTTGCTGTTCTTCGCTTGGTATTACTACCGTATTTTCTCTATTTAAATTTATTATTTTCAGAATGAAACTCTTCTTCTTCCTCGCTCTCTTTGTCGCTTCGGCTTCGGCATTCCTGTTCCCTCCAGCTCCAGCTGCCGGAGGCTGTTGTCCTCCTCCTCCTCCGCCATGTTGTCCACCACCTCCCCCTCCACCACCACCTCCACCACCATGCGGCTGTGGAGGAAAATAGATGGCTTGTATAAAGAAGAATGTTAGGTTCATAGCATGGATGCTTTTTAGATCAAACTAATTGTTTGTAGTATATCGTGGTGTAGTAATAAAGCGGTGGCGGTTCAAGCGTTATATTGATTCGACTCATATACATTGGTAGACTAACAGATGAAACAGTGGGTCTAAATTCTTGAAACACAACGTATTGTGAGTATGTAGTAACAAATAAATCCTTTGCATACGCATGACCATCAAAGAATTTTTTTAGCGCACGGGTCTAGTTTTAAGCCTCAAAGTTCGTTGATGTTTTTTTGCATTCTTTTGTCGACTCGTCACTCCATCTTTTCAACAATTGCACTATTCCTATAAACAACAAATGTCGCAATCTTCAAACTGCGCGAAATGAACGGAGTAATCTTCTAAAGTGACTTGAATTCGTCAGGTCTGGCGTTGCGACCTGCTTCCCAAGTTTTCACGCCTTTGGTTATGAACGCCCATTAGCTTCTGGAAAAAAATGCAAAGGACAACAGAAGAGGAGAGACGGAGGGATTTGGGACATTTCAACTCGGTATAAATATCCGAGACTTGAGGAAGGTCTTCAAGACATTCGTGTTTTCCACAAGTAAGTCGATTCATTAGTTAGCTTGCTAGAAGTGGGTCTTCTGGGATTGTAAACTTTGGGATGAGGAAATTTACAACCTCTTAACAACGAGTTTGCAGGCTACATTTGCTGGGAATCCCCTCGTTATAGCTTAGGAATTCAGCGAATCCCGTTTTGAGAAGTTACAAGTCTTTCGCTAAAGTTTTACTGTTTTATGGAGTAAAATTGCTCTAGATGCAGACTCTTTATAAGACACTGAGCTAGCAGTACAATTTATGCATATTTGAAAATTTCTCCTGTAAATATCATTGCTTTTCCAGAATGAGAATCTTCTTCGTGCTCGCCCTCTTCATCGGAGCCGCTTCGGCCTTCTTGTTCCCATCTGCCGGAGGCGGTGGCGGCTGCTGTGCCCCTCCACCACCAAGCTGTGGATGTGCTCCTCCACCACCCCCACCACCTCCACCACCACCACCACCAAGCTGCGGATGTGCCCCACCACCATCCCCATGCGGCTGCGGAGGAAAGTAAACTGGACTGTCCCAAAGTTAACGCTCCGGATAATGATTCTGTCTGTAATATACTTGAACAGCCAATAAATTTCAATCTTGCATCGTTTCAAAACTCAATTTTGTCGAAACAAAATGGTGAGCATATCAGACGCTCTTGCCTCGGTGGACAATTAATTATATTCTTTCATCGAGGAATCTACGCGCATTGAAGATTGAACCAACGATCGTTTTTTTTTGGCTTTTGCAAGATCTTTCGGGAAGGTTTCAATTTTTTGGAAGCTTGCACCCTCCTTTTTTACGCAGATGCGTCAAGCGATAGATAAGTGTCGCCTGGCGGAAGTTCCATGAGATATGACAAAGTGCACGGGACGTATGAGTAATTGCTTTCTTGATGAGGAAGTTGATTTTAATTTGACGACAAAACTTCCTCAACAAGGCTAATAATTCGCGGGAAACTCTTGAATAACTGATTTTAGGGAGTTGGTTTAACAATGAAAAGTTACTTGTCGACACTTGAAGAAAAATGCAAGATTCAATCTTTTTGCAATGCCCTAAGCAAAATATCGAAGCATGGCACACAAATGTACATATTCCAAGAAAACGAACATCTTTACGGCATTATAAAGGCTTGTAGCCGTCTTCTTTCTCTCAGCAAATACCTCGGTCTTACTGTGTCACAATCTAATGTCAAACTACGATCTAATCAACGCTTCTTATGTCGACTAATTTTTATATTTACATAGGAGAATTCCGATGACTTTGACTGCACAAAACTTTCTAGCCTTTTCAACCAGTGATCAGTTAAGTCATCAAAAAATTCAGCTCAATAATTATCGAAATAAAAATGCGAAATCGAATGCTATGCCGTTTATTTCACCGTCAAATATAATACAAACATTGTCAACACTTGGTGTGCACCACAAGCGTGATCTAGTTGAGTGACGAGAGTTTTACTTTCCTCCGCATCCGCATGGTGGAGGTGGTGGTGGTGGGCAGCAGTTGTTAGCCGGAGCAGGGAACAAGAAGGCCGAAGCGGCGCTGACCAAGAGCATGGCGACGAAGAAAACTCTCATTCTGAAAGTAGAAATATACAGTAATGTAAAGAATAGGAAAGATGGTAGGACTACTAGAAAGGCTGCTTAAAGTCAAAAGCCTTCAAGCAGTATGTAGTATAACGCGGCGTAGGACGTATACACCTACTGCAAAACAAATGAGCTGTTGTGAAAAAACGCTTACAAAACATCCTTTTTATACTGCAAATTTGCTGCAACTCGGAAATTTCCCTCCGCCCTAAACTATTCAAAAATTAGCGAAATTCAATTGTCACGAAGTAAAAAAGGATTCGAATTGAAAACAAACCAATTACAGCATTTGCAATGCTCAAATGCGCTCGCTGATTGCGTCACCGATAAGCTCGCAAGTCTTGGAAAGCTTCCAAGAAGGCGGCGTTGCATTTAACACTTGCTGCAGATATGAAACTTCCTTCGTATTCCCATCCAAAACTGGAAAAGACGAAATTCTTGAGTTTTCTTGCGTCATTGTTCAGAAGTTGCACAAGTGGTGAGCGGTTGCTCATCACAGTGGTGATAACATTTACTTAGTGCTTCAAAAAACTTTTTGTAATTGACTTTATAAAGACAAATCTTCTTGCAAGCCCGCGTTTTCTACAGAAACCGTCTGGATCTTTGATTAGGTACCGACGAATGATGATATGTGGCCTTGTTTACCGGTTTGTCGGGAAGAATGGCCAGCTTGTAAATGAGCCGGGTCTATATGTAAACAGCGATAAAAGATTGTATTTTGAGCTTCTGAGCTTTGCAAAACGCCAGACAAGGCTGAAGAACGTTCATCGCCACTTTACCGCATATTCTTGTCATTCTTATTTACAGAAAGCCCGAAGCGATTAGGCTTGACTTCTTCTCTGCTGCCCCAAAGTTCAAAAAAAAACAAAATCACACGTCCATGTGTATAAGCAACATTTATTTCGGCAATGCCCCAAATAAAGCCAAACAAATGTCGAAATTTCTAAATGATCAATTCCCCAAAAACATGCAATATCCATTCATCACAATTTCCATAAATTTACAGGCAACAATAAAATATAAAACATGTATTCTTGACCCGAAGCACTGCTACAATATGTTCTTCCAGCCATTATGCGGCCTCTACTTTCCTCCGCATCCGCATGGAGATGGCGGAGGAGGTGGTGGAGGACAGCATGGAGCTGGTGGTGGAGGTGGAGGGGGTGGAGGAGGACAGCACGGAGCTGGAGGAGGAGGTGGCGGAGGACAACATGGAGTTGGTGGCGGACAGCATGGAGTTGGTGGAGGAGCACAACATCCACCACCGCCGCCGGTACTTGGGAAGAGGAAGGCTTGCGAAGCGGCCACAAAGATGGCCACGAGGATGAGTGTCCTCATATTGAGATCAACTGAAAATAACAGGGTTTAGTTTAACAACCAGTTTAGAAAGATACAACAGCCTTGAGCAGACCTCTTAAATGGAAATAATGGTGGTTACAACAGGTCATATCTTTCCTTTTATACTACCACGTGTTGTTATGATATGAACAGTTTTTTCGTCAAAAGAGGCGTTACAAAAGTCAATGATTACCACATGGACGGCTGAGATCGTTTACAAGAAGATCAGATAAAAAAAGGCTTCGAAATCCTTGTATTTCCCACAGGTTCTCTGAAAAACCAGGAAACGCTGCGGACGCATAAGAGATGAACTTCAAACAAGGATATGGCTCTGTAAAACAAAATCATTATCTTTTTGTTCCTGATTTACAAAAAAAACCTTTTAAGGATTACAATCCGGTGCATTTATCTTTAAGTTTGAAATCACTGCTTTGATGCCTTAATCGACCTGTTTCAAACCTGATGTCTCCGCATTAACACAAACTCTGCAACTTCTACAAGTTTGCCGGTTTCCGCACCCACCTATTGTCCTCTTTTTCCGTCACACTTGGCTCCATTTCGTAATAACTTTCTACCATTTACGACAATGGTGTTTCTTAAACTGCATTTTGTTTTTTTTATCTTCTCAACTCGTAAATTACTCGCTTCCGTCGGCTACTCAGCTTTTTCAATACAAAGCCAAGGCGAAGTCGCACGTATCCGTGGCGTCGCGGCTCGAACAAATTCATCACAATTACCTCCTTATTCAGCTGAGATCGACTTCGTTACGTCAGATGTCAAGGTTACCGTTATCTTTGCGAAGGAATTCGCGCGCATCCCAACGCCCTCGTCATCGGACCTTGTTTTTTCAGCGAGGGTTTCACTCGATGCATATCGCCCCAATCTTTCCATTGATTTTTCGTGGAAGCATCCGGTTAGGTGTTGGGAGCAAGATCAGTTTAGATGCGAGGATTGATTGGGAGGGAAGTTGGTCTTGAGTACGATTGCAATGAGATTGGATCACTAATTACCGCTCAAAAAGGCATCAATGACAACAGTGTGAAAACATTGTGAAAGCTTTGCATGAGAGACGTCGAGGACGGACCGGCAAAGGGAATAGGTTATTTTTGCCCATTGCTGCCAATGTTGTGTGCAAAATTTTGAACTTTGATAGAAATGTTTCTTTCTCTTGAAATCATGCTATAGTGGCTGACAAAAATTTCTTTCCACGTCGTATCTCGGGAACCGCTGGGCCTAGAACCTCCAAATTCGGCATAGAAACATCCTGGGACAATCTAACACCATACCCAAAAAATCATATCATTTGATGCACTTTCAGTGCACTTTTTATCCAAAAGGCAAAAAACGGGATGACAAAATTTTCTTTCCACTTTAGAAAAACGTTTGTAAATCATAAGCCAGAGGGCGCTAAGGCATGATTGTGGTATCGTTGTGTTCATGAAGGAGTCCTCTCTTGATCCGTGTCACAATTTTACAATAGTTTTCGTTTGTTCGCCCTTGGGCGTCTGTTCATCGTCGCCTTGTCCGTTTTCAGCTAAACTCTTGGCCAGAAAAGCTTGCAGAAGGCCCAAGGAGACGAAACTGCCCTTATTAAATCTGGTATTTATGGTTGCAACATTGTTTACTCCGGCAGTACAATTAGATTTAATTTAAGCGTGTTGCATAGGAAAATGTGCACTTCCAGAGTTCTCGTTACCAGAAAATTACGTTATTATGGGAACACTTCAGACAATTCAAGTAACTTTTTTTGCTGATATGTTTTCTATGATACTACAGCCTTAAAAAATAGTGACGATTTTAGTCTCTGATGTCGCGTTTAGGTTTGAGCAGAAGAAAGATTCCGCATGCCCCATGTGCAAAATTTGCAACCCTAAGCTTCCCGCGCAAGCAACTTGTCGTGCCAAAAACGTTAAAGGCAGGACAAAGTCAATGTATTAAGGTAGTCTGGTAGTCAAAAGTTCCAATATGTCAAGCTTAAGTAATGCCAATTCCTCCCCGTAATATAATGCAACAACCTGCGTTACTAAAGACGACATAGACCAGAGGGGGGTAAGATAAGGTAGTAGATTTCAACACAGACTGTCGTATAATACCTGAAATGCGCCATATGTCTAGTAAACGCATGTTATTTGGACTTTTCCATTCTGTACATAAGCGATTTTCTGGTTTCGCGAACCCTGGAAGTGCACATTTTACACTTAAATTGAATCTAATTTTACTGCCGGTGTAAACAATGTTGCAAACATAAATAGCAGATTTTTTAACGGCAGTTTCATCTCCTTGGGCCTTCTGCGAGCTTCTGGGCCACGAATTTGGCAGAAAACGGACAAGGCAACGATGGGCAGACGCCCAAGGGCGAACAAACGAAAGGTCCTGTAAAATTGTGCCACGGATCGAAAGAGGACTTCTTCGCGATCACAACGACACCACAATCATGCCATAGCGCCCTCTGGCTTATGATTTACAAGCGGTGGAAAGAAAATTTTGTCATCACGTTTTTGCCGTTTGCATAAAAAGTGCACTGAAAGTGCATCAACTGATATGATTTTTTGGGTGTGATGTTAGATTGCCCCATAATGTTTCTATGCCGAATTTGGAGGTTCTAGGCCCAACGGTTCCCGAGATATAGGTGGAAAGAAAATTTTGTCAGCCACTATAGATCTATTCAAAGCTCAGAAAATCGTCCAATATTTGCTCCCTTTCCACTTGCTGGAAAAAGACGTGGTTGTTTCTGCAAACTGGGAATCTCAAAAATATCTTTGAAAAATTTATCTCAATTTATCCCCAGACTCATAAAAAAACCAGTACGTCGCATCTCCATCAATTCCCTGTGGATTTTACTTGAAACTTCCTGATGTGAGCAATTTGCCAAACAGCAACATAAACACGATTTGTTTTATCCATTTCTTCATCGCCCTCAAATTGACAATCAATTCAACCCAAGGAAGTCAACACCTTGAGACTGGATTTCTCATTTTTCAAATCCCGAAAAAAGTGGAATTTGAAACAAAAAGGTGAGTAAAAGGGGAGAAGAAAAAAGGTCATGTTCCATCGCATCATTTGAGTGATTGGAAAAGCAAAATTTAATCTGTTCAAATTCCGCCTGCCAACTCTCATCACCTCTTTTCGTTTTTTCTTGGCATTTGGCCCATTTAATTATGGCCAAAGAGCTCGGCCCAATATTTGGCTACGACGTGGTTGTTGGAGATGACAATTTAAATATTGAGGAGAGATTACAGAGGAAAGAAATTTGTGGGCTATGGAGGAGAGTTGTGGAGGAGGAAAATGGACTGCCGGAGGAGCTGAAGGAAAAGGAAAATGTGAACTTGTTGAAGTATTTAACGGAGTTTCCAAGGAGCTTGGTGTTGAAAGAAGTAAGTTGGACAGCCGAACGAGTTGAAACGCTTTAAATACCTTTCGATCGTTACCGCAAAGTGCGAGATCGGAGATGTGTCGTTCGAAAACGTAATCAAAATTAATGCCAAATCGCACAGTTGCCTGTTAATCATTTTGCCCCAAAGATTCCCTTAATTTTGTATATTATTCTTTCAGAATGACACCTCCATCTACATTGATGCAGTTGTCATAACGCATCCAACGTTATCCTCGACTTCTTCTTCGACAGGCCAGTTTTTCATTCAAAAGCAAAGCTTTGCATTACCAGTGGGCTCCACATATCGCAAACTCCTTGAAGTATTGCAAAGCATCAGCAAGGATTGTGCTAATGATTGTCTTATATACAAAAATATGTCTGAGAATCCAGTCGAACTAGAAGAAACAGCAGAAAATGGAATCCATCTTGTTTATATGCCAACAGCCGATGTTGATGATACAAAAGCTCCGTTAAAATTTGAGTTCAACATCATTAACGAGTACAGCGCCACCTCTTTTATTGGTGCGATTTTGAGAGATTTCATGGAAGTTTTGTTCGACTGGGCTGAGGATTTTGGAAAACTTCAAGATCATTTAATAAAGCATCGGTTGTTGGCGCAGAAACTGTTTCGAAAGTACGATGGAGCGGTGAAGATCTTCGGAAAATCTAATGACACCTGGGTGGAGGTTGACGAAGGATTTGTAAAGGCCCTAAATGCGTCAGGTAAGCTATTGTCATAAGAACTAAAATTCCACCTTTGGCCTACAAACACGATACTAGCCATAAGTCAAGGGCATGTCTAACAAAATTTTTGTATAGATTTTGTATCAAATTTTTACTTGAAGTCGGACTGTTGAAGTTTGGTAGCTTTCTCTTTTAAAAAGCTAACCTCAAATTTGTAGATTGTAGGCAAATTTTTGGACAACACAAACAACCTTCTTTATGGAAAACGTATTTTCAGAGTCATCTCGTCCCGTTCTCCAAGCAGCAATTGATTCACGGTCGACAAAAATCGATGTCTTTTGGACATCCGTCTATTATAACGGACCTTCACTCAACTGGAATTTCACCAAATTGTCGCAAGAGTCAATCTTGAAAGTCATCAACCGTCTTCAAGAAACTCTCGACTCGATCGACATCTGCAGTGACAAAATTCTAACTATCCAACTTCAGAAAGAATCTCTTACATCTGAAGAATTCAAAGTTTTACAAAATTTTGATGAGGAATTAGAAGTCCGCCTGAATTGGGATCCGAAATTCGTTGAGAAATGGGCTGACGTTGAGCTGAAGCGCTGCGATTATTTGAATAAGCTGGATCTTCAGATCTTTCAAAACATCGAAGACCAAATTCCTCTGCTGAAAAGTCAAAACGAAAAGTGTTTTGAACTTCTAAGACGCGCTGAAAAAACCAAGCTCGAGGATCTTCGACGTGCCTTATATTCAACGCTGATTCTGCTGGAAAAGGCCGAGAAATCGCTGGAAATTGTAAAAAACGAAAAGCCCGATAATTATCATCGTTTGAAAGCCGAGCTAACGATCGCTCAGAAGAATGTTCAAATATTGGAAAAACTAGTGCCGTTGTTGAAGAATCTGGAGTTGTATAGAGAAGCCAAAGAGCGATACGAGAAGATGATCCGGATAAAGTTGGCTCAGCAACATGTAAAGAAAAAGAAAAATGCGGAGGTAAGTAGATGAATATTACACTTCATTTTACATATACTGATCCATGATTGACATACCTTGAGATATGTAGGGTCAACACTGACCCATAACCTTTGAAGCCTTCTCTGGAAACAACCAAATTCTAGACGATTTTTCGCTTCATTTCCTTCGTTGCAAAACATTTAAAATATTCTTTTCAGAACCTCCGGAAGAGCTTTGAAATTTACAAACGATCCGATGAGACCCTGGTTCAGACCTTGAACGAAATAAATCGCCTTTCCCGTCCCGAGGCCACTCACAAATACTCGATGGATTTGAAAGTCGGTGAGCTGGGAGTGAGGATCAATAAATGCCTGGCTGTCAAGAAGAATGGGCTCCTGGATAGACTTCGGAGATTTTTGAAAAACCTGAGGACTTGGAAAAATAAAAAATAGAAATCGAGTTTCGGTAGTCTTTGATGGATATTTGGGGGTGTAAAATAAAGTTTGATGACGTTTTTTGTGATTTTTTTTATTTTGAAAAAATTTTAATTTTTAAAATTTGCGCGCCAACAGATATTTTTTGTTTGATAACAAATTGGTCGTATATAAAACTGCCCCCATCCACTTATGCAATTGTATGTAAAGCGTACGATTGAAGGTCCTCGGAGAGCTCTCTTATGATCACTTTAGAGTTTTTGGGTAAACAAATAAAATAAAATGGAGGGAGAGATTTGCGATAAAATAAGAGTGAAGACAGAAGATTTCGGAGGAAAATTTTGAAAATTTTTCGAATTCACTTTTTTTTCGATTTTGGAGTAAAAATTTTTTTTACTCCCAAAAATGCCAAAAAAAAAAGTAAACACGAAGTTTACTCCAAAATTTGAAAAAAATTTTGATTTTCGGGAGTAAACTGGGAGTTTACTCGCCGGGGCCGAGAAATCGAATGGCGGCGAGTAAATCTGGATTTTGCTCGCTTCCAATGCCGAATCCTGACTGGGAGCCTCCCAGTCAGGAATCCCGCGATTCCTGCAGTCAGGAATGTTTTTGACTGGGCGGCCTCCAAATCGACATCCCAGTCACCTGAGACGAAGAAACGGGGCACGTCAAGAAAAAATAAAACAAAAGCGCTCAAGCAATGAAAAATTCTTGGCATTCTGTTTCGGCGAAAGAATAATTTTTTGCTCCAAAGATAGCCTGATTACACGATGAAGATGGGGTAGAATGGGGTTATTGCATACATAAATTTGAAGCTGGGCTCCTGCTTAACCTGAATATATATATTTCATATAAAAAATCGGTCGTCTTCTATCTGTTTGAAGCCTAAACTAACAACGCCTAAAAAATTTTGCGATTTCGAGGATTTCTCTAAGATTTTCCCTCGCCCCTATTTGAAGTTTCGTGGAAACATAGTCTGGAACAAGGCGGATTTTTTGAGCCTAAAACGAAAAAAATCAAATGAGCCAGTTTCGAGATAGAAAATCTCTTCATTTTGCGCAATATTTCGCCTTTCCTCTGACCTCGTCCAAAAAAACTGTCATTGAGACGGATTTTTTGGACACTTCCATAAGCGGAAACAGAATGCCAACTTTCGTGTTGATAGATAACCCTTTGAGCGCAAAATCTTGACGTGCGGGGAGAAAAAACGAAGAGAGCGAGAGAAACGCGCGCTATTTCGTGCTCTCTCTGCCTCTCTGCGCCCTCTCCTCGTTTCCCGCTCTTTCGCTCTCTCTCTCCTTTTTTGCGCTCTCTCGCTCTTTCTCCCGAAAAAGAGAGAGAGCGCGAAACGGAAAGAAGGCGCTGAGAGGCAGAGACAGCACGAAATAGCGCGCGTTTCTCTCGTTCTCTTCGTTTTTTCTCCCTATTTCTTCGTCCTAGTCAACAGTTATTGACCCCTCACCCAGTCAAGAATCGCGGGATTCCTGAATGGACCACAGTCAGGAAGTTTTGACTGTACGAAGAGTCAGGAACCCCGCGAATCCTGACTGGAGCCTCCCAGTCAGGATTCGGCAAAATTTTTCGAAAGTTAGGCGCGAATTACTAACGCAGATAAAAAAATTTTTTGCGCCCAGGGGTCAACTGTTCCTCGGGAGTAAACTCTGGATTTACTCGCCGGCACCTTCGGCGAGTAAATTCTGAGTTTACTCCAAAAAAAGGCGAAAAAAAGTAAACTCGGAATTCACTCCAAAAATGGAAATTTTGAAAGCTATTTCGATTCCTACTCGCCGACCCATAAAATTTCTCGATTTTTACTCTCTTTTTCAAAAAAAAGTGAATTCGAAAAATTTTCAAAATTTTCCTCCGAAATCTTCTGTCTTCACTCTTAAATGGAGAGGGGAAACGGAACGGAAAATAAAAAATATGACGCGGAATTTTGACGTGAATGATTTGTATTTTTTTTTTTGGTTTGGGCTACAGTAATCAACTCTTTGTGAATTTCGAAAAATTTGTCATTGTTTGTCCCAAAAATTACACTATGCGTGCCACACCCTATTTATCAGGTGGTGTACGTGACTCTATAAAATTTTTTCAACATTCTGCATACTCTAACGATGTCATATCAATTTTACAGCATTTTTATCTAATGATTCCGCAAGCACAACAACAAAAATTTTGATTAGTGTGTTTTATGGTCGCAAATGATCTACAAAGAGCTGATGGCAGTCAATGTCTTTGATGATTGATCTTGTTTTTCATTACTAGTTTGAGTATATTATCAATGAAAATTATTAGACTCTGACAAACAAATATTTTTTTGTTTTTTTGTTCTTACGTATTTTTTCCGCTTTACACTTGCAGATATCTCAGCTGCGCCTGAACGGAGCGACTAAAATTCTTAGTTAGGAATTGATAGGTCCTAAAAATTTCCGTTACACTTCCATTGCAACGGAATGGTATGTAACCTCTTATGTAAGGTTGTCGCTGTACATACATCTATGTATCTGCTCTGACAATAACAATGAGATAAATTCTGAACTCTGCCCATTAGGAACCTTCAAAACATGCGGCAATCCTTGCATTTTTTAACTAATTAGCCATATAACTCTACATTTCTGTATCTCCCACCTAATGGACGTCAATGGGCCACACCTCCCTATGGCTCTCTCCCGTATAAAAAGAGAACGGAAAAGCCCTGATCAAGGGTTTCGGGTTTTGCATTTGAGACAGGGGAAATCACATAAATTTGTGATAAGGCGACACAATTCGCATTTTGGTCGTTGGTTTTGTGGCAGAGACAAAAAAAAGTTTTATGTACATGTGGGATCGAACTGAGTTTTAATTGTATATTTTTGTGTAAAACATGGATGGTTAGTTTTGTTTTGTTTTATTGAAAATTCGATCTTTGAAAGAGTTATTTTTTTGTTTATTTTTTTTTTTGTTAAAAGATTGCGAATAATTGTAAGGATAGTTACCAAAACATTTACCAAAAATCCATGGTTATTTCTGCAAAGCGCATGCCAGAAATCTCGCGGATATCTTATAAAAATTCAAACTAATTTTGAGCAAATCTGAGCATTGAATTGAGCCCTCAATCTTAAAAAAATTTGTTTTTTCTATTTTCCTCGTAAAAATGCTACTTCAGACCATTTTTCTCAAAAACTTCGAAACCCTGTTTAACTATGAGGTAACTACACATTCGGAAGCAATTACTCCAAGAATTGTCTGAATATTTTCTCCGTAACAGACCTGGGGTTTCCCAGGCCCCATTAGGCAATAATAGATGCCTTAAAATGTCCCAAAATATAAAAAAGGGAGCAAAAAACGCCTCTGTTTCAAGATGGCAAAATTGTCAGGGATTGTTTAGATTTTGGAATACCTTTTCATTAGTTTTTGTAAGTAACGAAATTTGAGTATTTCGGAGCTTTTTCATTGTCATTTGTTGGGTATTCGATTACCGTTCGATTGTTTGATTGAGCTAAAGTTGTAGGTTAAATAGAAGGTTATTTAGTTGAGATTTGAAGGGTTTTGAAGTAAAAAGAGTGGGTAGATTACTGTAACGAGATGATTTTAATTTTTGAAATGACGAGAGAGTATGGAAAATGACATCATTTTCCGAAATGAAAAGATAGGCACTCCCAAGAAAGCGTCGCTATAAATTTTGTATATTTTTTAGAGCGCAATTTTCGTATACTTTAGAGCCTTACCACATATACCCAACAAAGTTCATGAAGCACTCCGATTTCCAACAATTCTTATCTCACCCTCAATTATCGCCATGCCCTGTCCCTTCCTCCTTCTGCTTTCTTTTGACGTCGTTTCCAATAATTTTCGACAAGATCAGTTTTTATGGTTTCCTTATCAATTTGTGTCTTTCGCAAGCTAGAATTTTCAACATGATATGTGGTTTTGACAATGCTATTTTGCACGTAAAATTTGAGGGTTTTATAACCGCGGAAAAGGTTCGAAAAAGGAATGTTTGTTCCGGAGAACGTCCAAATTTATTTGTAGAACAAAGTGATGATTTTGTGTTGGGGTTTGGTGTAAGTAGGTGTTATAGCACAGGATATATGCCTGTCTAATAGGAGAGTGATTTGATAAGGAGCATGGTGAGTCAGAACTGTGTCATATATAAGGTAGAATTAAAAAATTTGCCGGCAACAAAGACATGTCTTGAAAAAGTCTTTTATTACGTCCTTGTAAGTGTTTACTGCCTTGAAACTAATTTCCTTAACCGAAGACTACCTAAAACAGTTTGTTTCCTCTTTTATTAGCTCTTCAAAACAACTGTATTTTTATTTGCAACTCATGTTTTTCCTCTTTTCCCTCATAGTTTGACACCGTGATCAGAGGGAAAACAACTGTGCGCACAAACTCCAATTCGAGAGTCCTCTAAATATACTAAGAAACTACGCAACGACATCTGCCGGTTTATAGCTCACAGATAATCCGTGTCTTTTTGGGAGAATTTTGTATTTTTGTTTTTTATAATGTTCTTGTTTTCAGGTTAGATAGTCAGTAAACCATGCACATTCAGTCGGCATACTTGCCGCCAACGATAATCTTTGTTGTCGCCCATATTTGTGGTATTATTGCCTTGATTTTGGTGGGAATATGGATGAACTTTGATGGAAAAGGGTAAGCTTTCGGACCACCTATTGCTGTGGATGTTGTCCTTAATTTTCATTTCTATTGAAAGAAAACAAATTTGTGTTACTTCTAAATCAATATCTTTCCAGATTTGCCCTCCGCGAGAACCCAGCCCTTGAATTCCGCTGGCATCCCATTTGCATGTCGTTATCGCTCCTCTTCCTCAATGGCGAAGCAATTATGGTATATCGAGGTCTTCGACAAGTCAAGAAGATCTACACCAAAGCAGTGCACGCCGTTCTCCATTGCATCTCCTTTATCATTATGGTGCTCGGTCTAAAGGCCGTCTGGGATTACCATGATTACAATGTCACCCCCACAGGGCAACCGGCCCCCATTCCGAACGCAAAAACTCCTCATTCTTGGGTTGGTCTGGCTTGTGCTTCCTTATACGGATGTCAATTATTGGCCGGATTCCTCTCCTTCTATGTCCCACAAACCCCTCTTCATATCAGACAAACTGTGATGCCCTTTCATCGAGCTGGCGGCTTGGTGATTTTCGCATTTTCCCTGGGCGCAGTAATTATGGGAACTGCGGAGAAATCAGCGTGGGCATGTAAGTGATGACTTTACAACAAGGGAATCTCATCTGTTTTCAGTACATTGCCCACCCGAATACGGAAACAATATTTGCCCGGAGAACTTTGTCATCAATTTCTTCTGCCTGGCAGTGCTGGCTTATGGGGCTTGCGTCTTTTTGTTGGTAAATTATCTTTTGATTTTTCACAACTCCAAACTTCAAGATGATTTTAAAATTTTTGATTTTGAGGGTGTTATTGCTCTGCCATTTTGCATTTTTACGGAAATTTTTAATCTATTTTTTGCACATGGGTGAACCTCTTTATAAGCCGTCAACACGTTCTGATACTTGCAAAATACTTTTTTATTTTTCAGGCCGCCGTTCCCGGATGGATTCGTCACCCACTTCCCTCAGAAATCATTGGCCAATCAGCGACCGTTCCCTCAAATGGAACTCACAGTGAAGTCCACTTTGTACATACAGAACGAGTAACCTCTACGAGTTATTAAATCGCTTTTATTCGAATTCTTCGAAAAAATATACATATATAAAAAATGTTTAGATTTCTCTAAATTCGTCGTACTTTAAACATTCCGTTCAAGGTCCCGTTTGATCGCTCTTTGAAGTTGTAATTTTTGAGGGAGTTTTTGGTAAACTTATCGTAGCGGTTTCTGATAACATCACCAACTTTTAGGGAGCCAAATAAACTCAAATTTTCCGTGTTGTCGTAGAAAGGTATCCGATTAGATTTATCGTATAATTCACAGTCATTTTCGTTGCAGAATACATCCGAAATTGCAACTTTAATGCATTTTTGGCAAGAGATGTTGTGAAATTGATTAGATTCTCTTAGATTGAGAGCAATGGACATCTGTAAAATTCAATAGTGACGATTTTTGGACAGAAAATTCGTTGGAAATGTGAAAAATTACCCTACCTGTAAATTGTAATTGGAAGCGTGGTCCAAAGTCTTTTGATTCTCAACAAAAGCGTCAAAGGGCAGATCTAAAGGAGCGCCAATCATAACCAACAAGTCCTTGGCATAATTCTCCAAACTCAAGTAAAAGTCTTGGATTAGCTTGGGGTCAGATTTGTCCGATGATTTTGGTGACAACCTGAAAGTGAGAAAATGGCTGTATTGGGGATATTAGGCTGATACTTTGTGTTCTTTTTCTGGATATTGAAGTTTTGCTACTTATCCCGTTACAGATTGGCAAATCAAAAGTTGTCTCCATAATTACGCATAAATTTCTTTCAACTTACCCCACAGCCACAAAGATAACGTCAAATTTATTCTTCTTCAGCATATTCACTACTTCGTCAGCAAATTTTCGACATTGTTGATTGGAAGTATCAAACGAGGAATAATATGGCCGGCAACAAGGCATTGTAAAACTGAATAACAGGGCAAATTTGTCACTGAACATTTGTTGAATTCCATACACCAACTCTTGAGCTATTGAGTCACCAAGGACAAGCATTCGAAGTTTTCCTTTTCCCTGAAAATTCAGTCATTAATACTTGTGTCTGTTCCAAGAGACACTATGGAAAAAGGTCTTACAGGCAGAGTCCTCTGATATATCCCCTCAACGTTTGCATCAAAGTAGAATTTTCCTCTGCTTTGGTTTCTTTCCAAGCTTCCAAAATTCCTCATTTTTAAGTTGAACTCTTTTGATTTGTAGGCAACAACTTCTTGGTCGTAAATCTTTTTCAAGTGCTTTTTAAAAACTCCAAACTCTTTCAAATTTAATGGCAGCTCCTCCTGAAAAGTTTGCATACAAGAAGTTGCATGCCAAATCGCGAGAACTTACATTTGGAATGGAACAGGCATATTGATAATGCATGAAGATCATCGAAATGTACAGGAATGAGCAAACGACAATCAAACGATTACTTTTGCTCGGCTTTTCAGAAGAAAGAGTTACCGAAGCAGCTTCGAGATGGGCCCAGAAAATGCTTATGGTAAGGGCGAATAGAATCATGTACAAATCTGTAAAAAACATAAATTAGTCTAACAATATGCTGCCAACAGGGTATAGCATAGTCAAATTGCTGTGTAGTAAATCCTAACTTCAGTAACACAACAATCGTAGAAGCCCAAAAAATCGATTTCTGGCAAAGATTACACTCCATAAAATAAAATATTCTAAACAAACTTTCTAGCTGAGGTGAACGTATTTTAGAAATACGAATGTTGTAGTAAAGACTCCACTTACGCTCAACCCAAGTCAGTTCCAAGTTCCATCCCCTATGATACTTCCACAATTCGGTAATTGCATGATTAGTTAAAACTGGCTTCAATCCGAACCTTGCAAACGACAGTAGCCACGGTTCTACCAAAACAAAATCAAATTTCTTGCCAAAGACAAGAAGTGCAGTAAATACCGTCAACAGAAACAGTTTTTGCATGTAAAAGGGAAGAGGATTCGGAATGAAAATTGTGGAAATAACTGTTAGAAGCACCCCAAATGGGGCCAGAGTTATTGGATTTGATAAGACATCTGAAAATGCAAATTTAGCTGTAAAATACGCCGTAGTCAAATGTTAGATTTTTTTATTTTTATAAGCCTGATGTGAGGAATGCTTACTTTGTATTCCAAGTTTCCCCTCAATTTCTCCCTTTTTTTGCTCTTCGATTGGCAAAATCGTCTTCTGATCAGCCAATTCGTAGGCTATTTGGCCCAGAAATAGTGGCCAAATGAAGGATAAAGCGTGGTAGTCCCATTGGCTTATAAGAATACTATCCGCCACCAAGAGTCCCACCGTTACCGCTGATAATAGTAAGAATTTGAATGCACTTGGAAGAAGATTGGAAATGAAAAACCAGCCGGGGAAAAGGAGATTCAGCTGAATCAAAAGGCAAAATGCGGAGAGAAAATCAAAAATCTTCAGATTTGGGATCTGAAACGGGTAGTATAAGTTTTTTTGTGCTTTTGTTTGACCTCTCTTACCGTAGTCTCCTCGAAATAGCCTTTGAAATTGAGAGAAAGCGTCTCTAAAAATGGGAGTTCTCTCAAAAGTTGAGGCTTGTCCAATTCGTCGACTAAAAAGCCTGAGGCGACAACAAGGAGGGCAGACGTGGTCAAGAAAGGGATAAGCAGGTGTTGCATCATTTTCCAATAGAAATTGTTCAACGTAATCAAATCAAATTTGGGCTCCGAATACAGTTGATTTGAGAGGATGAATCCAAAAGAAAAAAGAAGCCTGAAAGTTACAGTAAAAGTAGTTTATTTTAATCTTACAAGCTCCATCCGTAATCGGCAGTTAAGTTTTTATAATAAGCGCTACAAATATTAGCCAGTATGAGTAGTAATAACGCTGTAGAAAATACGAAAGCAGTGTGCCGTTCCAACATCACGTTATTTTATTACTTTCTCTCTACCTTTGACTTCAAGACTTTAAAATTAAAATCGAAGCTGAAAGATCGCTCTGGATTTCGTATATCCACAGGAAAAGGAAAGTCGTTTCTCGAGGTCAATGATGGCCAATTTGCGGTGAATCTGGAGCAAAAGCGAATGCGAATTTTCCTTTTTTGCAACCTCATTTTAGCTAATCTTAACAAGCCTGGATTGCAAATGCAGTAGAACCTTTCTACAACGAACTTCTGTACGATGAAACCTGCCTTTAACGAACAATTTCAATGATCCCAAGAGTCATATTAGGCCAAAAATAAAGTTCAAATTTCTTAAAAATTTCCCTAAAATTCAAAAAAATCGTTTTAAAAACAAGATCCCCCTTCATTTTGCTTGATCCATCCAGTCGAAAGTGGTCGTGTAAACTCAGAAATGGTGGAGCTCATCTTGACCGCTGACCTTGTGTACATCGCAGGCCTTGTGTCGGTTGTTTTGGTCGCCGTTGTCAATGGAGCTGGCCTTTGTTTTCTGATCAAGAAGCTCTCCGTTTGCGAGGAATCCATTTCGGTAAGATTTTTTTTTTGATCTTTAGACTATTATACTGTAGTTTTGTAATTTTTTAACAAATTTCTGGTTTGTACTATTGATAAACAGTCCCTGTTACAGTATGACAGTGTGTATCCGTCGGGGAACAATTCCGGACTCAAGAGAACTCCAAACAAATCAAATAAGACGGGTCCGCCTGCGGCAAAATCCGTGAAATCGACCAAATCCGCCAAATCGGCGATTGAGCCGAACAAAAAGGAGTACGACGAGGCCGCTGCCAAGGCTGCTGCCAAAGGCGCTGATAAGGGCGCAGAGAAGGCCCCTGCCAAGGCCCCCGAGAAAGGAAAATAATCGGATTTATGACTATGATATTGAAATAAAGTCTTTGGTAAATTGGCTATGAATCTTTCACAATTCTTAACTTACGATTAAAAATTAAACTTGTTACAAACGCAACGTCTACAGAGAAATCGCAGAATCTTTCTGACAAGAACACAAAATATACAAAGAGTATATGTATTATGTAGTTTAAAGTCCGTTATCTGTAATTTAACGGCCCTGGCAATTGATAAAGAACGGAAATCAGTGAGAACAGAGCGGGATTTTAGACCACAATTTGTAGAATGTAGTCTATAGCGCCGTATTTACGCACTCATTTCGCTTAAAAAGCTTTTAATAGTTGAAGACGTCTCGCCTAAAAAATTAACAAAGAAGAGCATGTTTTAGACTAAAATGCAATGCGTGTTCTCCAGGTTTGTGGAAATAACAGAGTGTCGAAAAAGAGGCAAAAAAGCTAACAAGGTTAACAAGGCTGTTAGTTTACAAACAAATGTCAAGGCTATCAATGGCCGGGCCAGGCTGAAAAAATGTAAATCTCATATTAAAAGAACTAGTTGTAACCCGATTTCTCATATCTATTTTGGACGAAAAGGGGTTGGAAAATAAGATAAAATTTGGCTTTATAAACTAATCGAGTCATTGCTCGTTGTGTTTTGTACTCCTATTTGTTTCTTTTTTATCAGCAACAACACAGTGACTACATCACGCGTACCACGGCTTAGCTAAAAGAGGCGTATCACACCGTCCCCCAACTTTTCTGTTTTAATCCTCGTTTTGTTTCCCTTCCACGTTTATCATAATAGATTCACTCTCGAGTTTCTTGCCTGTCTCTTTTTAAGAGTTTACCCGTTCTTGCACAATCAACTCATCACAAAACTCAAAACACGAGAATTGTCTTCCTTTAAATAGATTGGAGGGAAGGGGTTGTTATCAGAACAACACGGTTGACGACAAGAATTTCTTGAACCAAAAGATACCAATTTCTTCACTGTTTTTTAGAATTTTTATCTGCAGAACATGTTTTGGCTGCTAATAGCCGCAATACTTGTGGCTTATGTATTGTAAGTTACGTCTTCTTGCAAATTTTTACACTATTTCGGAACAGATTTTGAGTAAAATCGACGGTTTTTCAAACACCTGTGGCCATTTTCTATCACTCTGTTTGAATATTTTTTCAATTTTACACATATTCTTTTCCAGCCATGCCATTTATCACTCCAAGTACTGGGAACGAAAGGGTATCCCAGGCCCAAAACCCACTCCATTTGTCGGGAATTTAATGGAAATTCGGAATCAGAAAGCGTACTCTTTAAATCTGGCAGAGTGGACGAAACAGTATGGAGATGTCTACGGAATCCAAAAAGGACGGACCAACATCCTGGTGATCAGTAATCCCAAGCTCATCAAGGAGGTCATCGTCGACAAATTTGAGATTTTCCATGCGAGAGAAGTGAGTTCCTGACGCGGGTTTACTTTGGTTATCCCACTTCATCAAAATTATGATTCCTCTTGAGGTTGCATACAAAAAAGTGTAATTGTTTTAGTCACCGCCGAGCCGAGGGGACCCGGAAACAATGCCGAGGGCCAATGTGTTTTCAGCTGCTGGAAAACGATGGAAACGGCTGAGAACTTTGGCCAGTCCAGCCTTCTCGGTTGCAAATTTAAAAAAGGCAAGGCATTCTGCATTTTTTTTGATATCTCAACAAATTTTAATTAGCTGTTACATCAGAAAACTAAAAAAAAGTTAACTTTCAGGTAATGCCAATCATCGACGAATCAGCAGACGAAATGATGAAGCATCTGGAGCGACGCCTCACTTTGAATCAGTCCTTCGACATTCAACCGTAAGTTTTTCAGTCATGTTTTTACTCTTTTCCATGGTTCTCAGCAACACCGGTAATTTGATGACTAACACGTCCAATCCCCAAAATGTCCGTATTTTACCTTTAAAATTTTCCAGATTTTTTTTCGAATTCACTTTGGATGTGATTTGTCGTGCCGCTCTTGGCCATGAAAGAAGTATGCAGTTCGAGAACCCCTACCGCGAGGATCTGTATTACTTCTTCCGTCATCTTTCTCATCCCCTGTCCGACCTTTCACATATGATCCCGGCTTTGTGGAGGCCCCTCAGATTTTTGGAAATGGGTGTTCGCCGGTTCGAAGGGGTCGGGATCATTCCATTGATCCATGGAATGGAGAAGGCCGTGAAGGAAAGGCAGGCTAAAAGAGTAAGTCAAGAGATGACTCTTTTGAGGCTTGCTGATGCCTTAAAGATACAAACTTTTTGCACTTTTGCCATTATTTCTGGTACCAAAAGCCATCTTTTTTTGATCTTTCGTTTTGAGATAGGAGCCAACTCTGCACAATTTTTTCAACTTTTACCGATGTCTATGTTGACGGCATGACCTAAAAATTTTTGCATATTTAGAATGCCGGAGATGTTGACTCCGAGCCCGCAGATTTCATTGACATCTTCCTCAACTCTCTTCAAGATGACGTCAAGCTGGAGAAGACTGGGCTTTATGACAAGACTGACGTTCACATCGAAAAGAAACTTTCACTTGGCGAGGTCTTTGCCAACTGTATGGTCTTCCTGTTGGCTGGGTAAGGCATCAGAATTTAAAAAAAATAAATTAAGTCTGTCGTTTTGCAATTAAACTTCAACCTAGGAAGCTTACGTTTACACTCTAGATTAAATAAATATAGTCCAGCTATTCAATTTTTACAGTTGATTTATTTACTTTTTACTCGATTTTTTCAGATACGACACAACTGCCAATGTCCTTACATTTACCAGCTATTTCTTGGCCAAACATCCGGAAGTCCAGGAGAAATTGAGGGCCGAGATCGAGGAGATCTGTGTTGATCAGGTTGGAGAATAAAACTCAGTCGGAGGTTGACTTATTATTTTTTTGTTTTCAGTCGCCCTCATACGAACAATTGAACAGCTTGAGATACACCGAAGCCGTGATGAAGGAGGCTCTTCGTCTAATGCCCATTGCTTCAGCGTAAGTTTTGATTCATAAACTAAGGGTGTTACTAGACGAAAAAGAATGGCCTTGTCTATTATAATATTCCAATTACAGTGCGGTCAATCGAACGTGCGCTCAAGGCACGGTACTCGGAGGAACTATTGAGATACAGCAAGGAGATTGCATCGAAGTGGACGTCGTCTCATATCATCGACGAAAGGACGTCTGGGGAGAAGATGCAGAGGAATTTAGACCAGAACGGTAAGCAAAACTTGGGTTCCTCCTTTGGTCAAGCTCTCTGGGCCACAAAATAGACAGTTGTAAAATACGAATACAATAACAATCATCATTTTATTTCTATTTATATATATCGTCTAAGCGCCTTCTTTTTCAGATTCCTTGAAGAAAGTAAGACCGAGCAGATCTACGGATTCGGCGGTGGTCCTCGTATTTGCATTGGCATGCGATTGGCCTACCTGGAGGAAAAAATGGCGTTGGTCAAGTTGTTGAGGAGATACCGGTTTAAGGCAGGCCCTGAAACTGATCCCCTGACCCTTAGTGGAACCCTTATCCTCAGCTCAGACAACATGAAACTCATCGTCGAAGAGATCTAACTTATTCTTTCTGTAGATCCTGTTGTACATAGATTCAAATGAAAATAAATTTATTTTGCTCAAATATGTTCCCAACTTTCGCTATATAAAGTCAGGATTTGTTACGCGAAATAACAATTCAAGTCTTTATCAGCCTATCGAGAAAATAGTGAACCCAATGTCGCTGCGACAATTATGCCACTTCAAAAGTAATTTTATTTTTTTTGCGACACAATTCGTCTTCCCGGTGCGATGAGATTTCCGATACGAAAGAACACTCACGTCACTATTTTTTCGACAGACTGATAAATCCCTTGAAAAATTTGTAACCAACAATTTTTCAACCCATGTTCCTAGAATGAACTCAAACTTTCCCATCAAACCAAAACTGAACGCATAACAAACGAATTAACCGTAAACAACACCACATTTTTAATCCCTTAATCCTATCCAATTATTTGAAAAATCGGAGTAAGCTCTGCTCTAATGTTGCACTTCCGTTTGCTGTCGCGCCATGTTGCGGTTGAACAAATCGTTGTTGGTACTGGTGTGTGTGTTATTGACTGTTGAAGGATACGATTCGCCTATTAAGACTAAGGCCATAAATCAGTGCAAGAAGTATGTCAGCGTTTTCCTCAGCGACAGTGAGTACTCAACGGTAAGGAAAAGGGAAATTTGCAAACTTTATAAAAACGACAAAATGACTACAAAAGAGGCAATTTTTTGGGGCCTTTAGTCATAACTCTGTTAAGGTCACGAAGATACTTAATTCTTTTACAATTAGAAACGCTTTTGAAGTGGAGAAAAGGCTGAAAAGTTTCATGTATAAACCAACGAAAAGGCGTCAAATTATGACCAACTTTCGGACTAAAAATCTCTGGGATGTAAGCTACCGTATAGCCTGAATCCTGGAATTTTCTGTGAATAATAAAAAATTCTGCTGGCGTTTAACCTTGAATAATACGCCGAATTTTTCAGATGGCAGACTATGTTGTCAGCCAGATCTATTCTGGAACCTCCTGGAATTCCTTTAAGGCCGCAGCCATCTTAAAATTCACCACCGTTTCCCCGAGTAAAAGCGCGAACGTGGTCGGACTTGGCACCAAATACATTACTTCCAATCTTCTGTCTGGTGGGACAACCACCGTCAGCAATGCAATAAGCGCCGTGGGCAACAATGTGGAGCCGTTTTACAACCAACTCCTCGGTTACATTAAGACTAAGAAGAGCAACGGGATGCTCGAAAACGGATGCTATCACAATGTGTATCGGCTGGCCACACAATGGATTACCTACAACCGAGTCAAGTTGATAATGCAACGAGTCAAGACCAAGTTGGGGACCAAGTGGACCACTTTTACCAGTGCCACCTACTTTGGTCCATTATTTGAATTTGGCAACTACACTTTGACATGACATTTTTATACACGGTACCTCATGCATTATAATCAAATGAATTCCTGCAACTTTAATTTTGAGTATTACGTTGGATTTTCGCTATGATTTTGCAGAACTTTTCACCAAAAGTAACACTTGACCCATACGGTCAACTTTTTGCCTCATCTGATTTGTACTCGAAAACCAATAAAACAAAGTTTTATTTGACCGTAAAACAGTCTAATGTGTTTTACTCCACTTCAAAAAAACATAAATTCGGTCAAACTTTATGAAACTTGCGTCATTTCCGATCGCTGTCAGACTTGACACAAGACTAAACAGGTGTCAACTCTGCCTCTGGATAATTTTATTCGGATAAAGTTTCAATGTAAGTGCCCTGAATCACTCTAAGAATGCAACGTGGGCGACGAATAGCTCAACTGATCGAAGCCATGGACAGTCAACCACCACCCGAGACTATTGACACCTATTCTTGGTACAATCCGGAGATGATGTTGGTGGCAGACGACCTAAAACAACTTTATTACCCCTTGTCCATTGATGCAGAGACGTACGAGTTTCTCAATACCTCAATTAGTACTAGTCAGAGCTTCTGCTTACAGGTAAAGCAACGTCTTTTGTATTTCATTGAGTTTTTAGGTATTTTACGGACTTTGCTCCATCTTCCTGCAGACGGTAGCTACAAAAACGACGATAAATGGTATTCTCGACCGCGGAAAGATGTTCGTTTTTTCTTCTGAGCAACTGGGAGCCTTTCTTGGTGCTAATGCCAATTGGAATAGAGAGGATAAAGCGGTATGAACTAATCTGGACCTTATTTTAGGTATTCCAGAAAGCTATCATGATCATGGTATAATTTTCAGGTTTTAGATCTCGGTGCAGGCGATGGCCACGTCACTCAAAAGTTCTCACCGTACTTCAAAAAGATTTACGTCACGGAAGCAAGCAGTGTAAGCCGCTGATCGCTTCTTTTCATCTCACATTGAACTCGAAATCAGCTAATTCTAATTGTTCAGATTATGGAATATCGACTGAAACAAAAAGGTTTTGAATTGTTGCCTAAGGATGACTGGACGTCCAAAGGACCATTTAATTTGATCTCGGCACTCAATTTACTGGACAGATTTTTCGATCCAGCCAAGTTATTGAGAGACATTCTTTCTGTGGCTCAACGCGATAACTGTTTGGTGATAATGGCAATAGTGCTTCCAATCAGACAATACGTCGAATTCCATCCGGATGGCACCAGGAAAACTCAAGCCGGTGGGTGTAACTAGGACTCCCTTATGTTATACTAGATGGCCTTGAAATGACAAGGTTTCGTTTTTCAGATACCGTGATAAATGTGACGGGGAGACACTACGAAGAGCATTTAAACACGTTGATAACCAACGTCCTTAGGCCAAATGGATTTGAGCTCGTTAGATGGGCCAAAGTTCCTTATCTATGCGAAGGAGATTCGAAAAGAGTAAGCGCACTTTTCTATTACTATTATTTGTTTTTTTGGCTTACTACAAGCTCAACGACGCTTTGCTCCTGCTAAAGCCTATTGAAAACTTCACTCCGCCACCAACTTCACAATCTTCCGCCGATTCTCATGTTATTCATGAACTCTAAGTCAAGAATGCTTCTGTTTCAATCTCTTTCGGACGAAAAGTGCACATATCAAAGTTTCAACGTCATCTCGTCATTTCACAATAATAAATTATTCATGATGTTTAATAAATAATGTTTATTAAACATGCTGTTGTAGATCCTTCTTCTTGGTTAAACCGGATCATCTCGTGATTTCAATATCATATACAAGGATTGCAGAAGGTGACCAGTGAAGCATGTAGAACTTACTGCCGCGGGCGGATCTTTTGTACAAACGAATCTCGAACGTTCGGAGTTGGGCCTAATTGGGGAACTGTTTGAGGTGCCCCGGCATCGCTGTCTACGTCCAATCTCGGCATTACGATCAAAAAGTCGTTGTTTAACGAAGAATTTGTTGGTACTACGGTGTATGCTGACTGTAGGGCAAAGGGTGGGAGTGGTTTTTGAGCGCTGCAAGCAAATTTTTTTTAACATCCATTTGGTTCCAGCTCTGGGTAAAGTCATAAAAGATCTTAAACTTCTTAGTTTTAGTCAACCTTGCACACTTTTCCTTAACGATTTGCCCTATTGCCATCCGAAATGCACCCTGTTTTAACCATTCGCCGACGGTTTCCCCTCAAGTAGTACCTAAAAATTCGAAAATCATATTCCAGACACCCAATCTCCACCGAGCTTTCCTAAACGTTCCTTCCGACCACCTAAAAGTCAACAAAGAACAGTGAAACCTTACTATTTCCCATAAATTTCCTTTAGTCGGGCTTTCTTCTCTGCCATTTGTTGAGGTGTGAATGGTTCCAATGGTGGAGGTGGATTCGGTCGCTGTGGAGTAGCCGGATATGGATGAGGAATGTTGTGCGGTGGAGTGTTTGACGTAGGTGGTGTTCCGGGTGGTAGTACGGAAGAACTGGGGACAGGATGCATTTCTGGAAAACTTCAAATATAGTTAAATACGAAGTTTAGTTTCTAAGGATCTCGAAAGTATAGCAAATCAAAATAGCGCTTATGGCCAACAAAATAGGCTCTCAAACGCGGAAAAAAAAGGTAAAACGCGTTTATTCCGAAATATTTTCCATGTTTTTTTTTTGAATAAAACATTATGCCAGAAGGTCAAAACTCGCGTGAGACGACAAAGTTTAAACTAATTTCGATCCTACTGCCTCAAGGACGTCTCCATTTGCCCGCCAAGATTTTCTTTTCCAATTCTTTTCGATCACAATACTTGAAACATTATCTTTTTATTTATTCGTTAAAATGCAAATTCTGAAATCTGGGAATGTCCAAAGTTAGGTGTATACATAATGAACAAAACCAATAAAACTTGAGTTTCGAGATCACGGATCTACTTCCATTTCACCTTCTGAGCTTGACACTTCTACCGGGCTCACTTCATCCGCTGAATCATAATCTTGCGAGGCTTCTGAATCCTCCGAATCCGAGGATTCTTTGAAGTCCTCGTCGTCGGAGGAGCTGTCCAGATTTCCGGTGGATGGAGCGGCAGTCGCTGCGGTTTTGGCCTTTCTCGTTGGGGCAGGTTTCTTTCTTTTTGGAGTGTGAGTAACCTGTTTGTTGTCCTCCTCTTCATCGTCCACTTCTATAATATCCAAATCTTCATTATTTTCTTGCGACGTCGATCCCGTTGGTCTCGAAGTTGAAATTCGACGGCCAATCGACTTCGGGGTTGATGGTTGAGATCCGGGTTTGGCGAAGAAGTCGAAAATCTTTTTCTGGTTTGGTTCCTCTGCTTTGGTCATCGGAGTTTTTGTTTTCGGGGTGGTCGTCGAATTCACCGAGGACTCAGCATTTGGCGTCGCAAGGTTTCCCTCGTTTTCTTTACTCTTTGGCTTTGGAGTTGAACTGGTAGTTGGGTTCGTAGCCGTCTCTCCTTCCACAACGTTCTCTTTTTTCGTCTTCTTTCTGCTTTTTGGAGTTTTTCCAACAGGAGTTGTTCCATCATCTTCCTCCTTGTTTTGGTTTCCCTTGGGCGTCTTTTGCTCACTTCCTTCAGGTAGATCAGTCCGAACCATATCCTCTAACCCCGGTTTGGCCGTTGTTTCTTCTTTTGGCTTTTTCAGAATCGGCAATTCACAGGTTTGGAGGGCATCAGTAGTCACATTATCGAACTCATCGCCTCGGAAATGGATGAAATGATTGTATCCTTCCAACGATGAAACGCAAAGCACTTTTCCGTCAATCGACCATGACAAACTGGTCAGATTATCGTAGGACAGGTCGGTGAGGTAAGCAATGGGCTGTGGATATTGCGTGTCGAAGATGTAAATGGATTCTGTGCACAGTGCGGCAAATACATACCTAAAATAATGTCAATTACATATCAAAACGAAAGTGAAAGAGCTAAATAATCCCCTAACTCCCTCCAAACACACCACAAAAACTATTATCATACCTATAAGGCAGATCAACAAAAGGTTCTTGTTCCTCCTCCGTTCTCAAGGCCAATCTCTTGTTCATAATGGAGACCATGACTGTTGGACGAGCGGTTCGATACATCTGGTAAGGCAAACATGTGTCAAAATCACATCGACGGAAAACATAAACTCCATAGAACGCTTCGTCTTCATTTTCAAGCTGGGCAGCTGAAACAATGCACATTAATCCATCTTACATCTAAAAACAACAAAAATAAAAGTCATAAACGCTTACCAGGAGTGATGAGAAGTTCACCACACGGAGTGAATTGAGGGGTTCTCGTGAATGCATAGGTATGTTGATCAAAGAAGAACTTATAACGCATTCCTCTAATAATTTGATCATTTTCCAGGATCTGGTCCGGTAACTGGATTGAATGGCAGGTTCTGAGACGATGACCCTTCTGAGCCAAGATAATATCCATTCTTTGATCCGTGGAGAGCGTTACTATATAATAACCATTGGGATCCCAGCAAACTCCAGTGATTTTTCGTCGGAAATTGGTCAATTTCCAAACATTCTTACCTAAAATTCAAAAATAAAGATTCTGAACGTAGAAAATCAAGTGCAACATATCAAAACCGAGGGCATTTTCCTAAAAATCAAACCAAAACAATAAAAACTCTTACCATTTCCGCATTTCAACAACCTCAACGCATTTTCCTCAGAAGCCGTGCACAGGAATTGCGAGTTCGGAGAGAAAACAGCACAATTGACTTCGTCTTCATGTCTGATCGGAAGGAAAGCTCGTTTCCAATTTTCTTTGTTCACTGGGATATCAAACAAGGCTTTTTCATCGTTCATCGGAGGCTCTTCAGGTAAAACAAATCCCTCTTCTCGAGGGAAAATCTTCCAAATTATCACTGTTCCACTCACATCACCAGAAGCTATGAATTCGCCTAAAAAAATTGTATTGTACATGGTAAAAATACACATAAAAATTTGATAACAATCGCAAAAAAAAAATGAAACTGACCATTCGGAGAGTACATCGCAAAGTTTAGTGGATGTGCATGACCTTCCAAGTTGGCAATAAAAGTAACATTGACATGCCAGGGATCTTCTTCTTCAGCATCTTTCTTTGGATTCAATGTGATTTCCCAAACACGGACCTCATCTTGCACAGATGCCGTGCAAATCTTAAAAGCAATCTTAGAGGCCTTGGCCGCGTCAGAATGAAATTGATGGGGAACATGGACTGGTTGGCAGTGGACCGACATTATTTGTTTCCGATCATGCCAGAAGATCAAGGGCATCGCATGGTCAATGTTGCTGGGCAGATTACATTGCAATCGAGCTTCGTATTCTAGATACTCCAGCTCTTCCTGTTCTCTTCTGCGCTCGGCCTCTTCTAGTTCCTCTTGAGTCGGCTGGAATGGAACTTTTTTTAGGTATTCTTTATTAGAAATGAGAAACTCAAGGAACCGCTGAACATCCTAAAAAGCAAAACAAAACTTCCAAAACTACAAACCTCACGAGGTTCCTCCTCTTCTTCCTCCTCCTCGAACTCCTCATCATCTTCTGCATCGGCGTCCTCAGCGTTTTCCGAGCCCTCCTCTACTTCTTCTTCAACATCCATCGCCCCCTCTTCATTTCCTTCGACCTCAGCCTTCTCTTCAGCGCTGATTTCGGCAAGGTCATCCTCCAAAAAGTCGTCCTCATCCTCGGGATCCGCATCATCAGCCTCTTCATCCTCGCTAGGTTCTGAATCAGACGTTAAAATCTCTTCTTCCACTTCATCTACAATAATATCCTTCTTCTCTGTTGGGACCGTATCCGAATCGTTCATTTCCTTCGGAATCTTGACTTCTCTGTCTTCTCGAACTTCCTGATTCTCCTTCTCACCATAGTCATTCAGTGCGACAGGAGATTCCGTAGAATTCTGAGGCTTTCCCTTCTTCTTTACCACCAGATCAGTTGATATTTCCGATTTGTCAATACTACTTAGGTCCATCATAGTAAACAGTGAAAATATTAGAAAAAAGACCTAGAAAACCCTTCTGAAAGAATTCGAACAATTTTCTGTAAAAAAGACTTTTCGAATTCCCCGATTTCGCTTCATTGTTTTCGCGGTGGGACAAAGGATTAAAAATTTATTTTACAGCCTTCGCGTCGGACAAAAATAATAGAGAAATTTGATTACTGATATGCTCGAGATCAAACGTTTTCTGTGTATAAACTCATTCAGCACCATTTTTGAGATTCATTGGAGGAGAGCGGATCAAGTTGATGGAGGTTTTAATCTCGTTTGGCATCCATTGCTGACGGCTTCTTTTTCCTGAAAAATAATGGCATCAGAGAGAATTGAGACTCTCAACGTCTGGATTCAAGTTTTTGCTTACTTATTTGCAATGTTTTTACCGAAAATTATCTTATTTAGTATTGCAATCGGCTATAATAATATAAAGGGTTAATTAAAGGTATTACCCTGGGTTAAATGCGACTAATACGAATTTTAAACTTCTGTTATGCTATGAGGTTTATCCTACCTTCCCATTCTTCCAATTGCTTTGATCATTTCGATCGGGAAGGGGAAGATTATTGTTTTATTCTTCTCTGAACTTATCGAGTTCAAAGTCTGTAGATACCGCAGCTGTACTGCGGTTGGAGACTCGGCTAGAACCAATGCGGCATCGCTCAAGGCTTGGGATGCATTCCTCTCTCCAGTGGCTGCAATGACCTGAAAATAATTGAGATTTTAATCATCTAAGTCATGTATAATATATTGATGTATGTGAATGACTGTATAGCTGTATACTTGTCAAAAAATAGCGATAGATTGATAGAACATGTCTTCAAAATTCAGTACCTTAGCCCTAGCGTCTCTTGAGGCTTCGGCTTCAGCCGCCATAGCTCGCTGAAGTTGGACTGGAAGCCTAACATCTTTCATTTCAACCCTTTCCACTTTGATCCCCCAGGGTAATGTGGCCTCATCCAAAGTGCTCTGCATCTGGAGACTGATCATTTCTCTATCGCTGAGCATTTCAGCCAACGTTTTTGTGCCCAGAACGTTTCGCAAAGTAGTTTGTGCCAAAAGTTTTGTGGATTGGGAGGAATCCTCAATGTTTGTGACGGAAATTGTGGCGTCGGAGACACGGAAATAGACGACGACGTCTACCGCTACTGTCACGGAGTCTTTGCTGAGAATCTGAAGAAAAAAGTGAAGATAAATTTGTGGGGGTTTGGCAAAGTAACCAATTTTTTGGTCGGGGATAATCGATTGAAAAAGATATTTCTTCCTTACCTCCTGCGGTGGCACACCGAAAGATAACACTCTGAGATCAACTTTGCGATATGTATCGATGCATGGACAAATGAAAAAGATTCCAGGGCCTTTGGCGCCTCCGGGGACTAGTCGTCCAAGTCTGAAGATAACTGCTCGCTCGTATTCTTGGACAACCTGAAAGTTAGTCGTCATACATTACAAAGAAGTGCACAGCATATTTAAAAAAAATAAAATAAGCTTACCTTTATACAAAAACAAGCGGAAATGGGAAGAGTAACTATGCATAACAGGTAGGAGACTGCAGTTAAAATATGGCCAATCACTCCGACATCTCCTGTCATGCTCTCTGAAATCCATTAGTTATACATTTTTAACAAAATGTTTTCATTTTTTTAGTTCCTACTACAATATAAAAAAGCTCAAAATTACCTCGATAATGCAACCCCGGCTTGTTTGACATTTTTGGACTTGGGATTGTAATACTTTTAACAGCCAGGAGAAACTCGGGCTGTATCCCGCCGACTTACCATGGGCGAAGAATTTGTTTCGGTCTTGGGTGCTCTTATAGAGGAACGTTGGAAGCTGGGCCGACGACTGCACATGGGCAGCCTGATGGTGTCCCACTGAGGTAACCATTGCTACAAAGTGGACTCTTTATTTCGGTTAACGGCAATGACTATATATTCACATGTAAACAGCGTTAAATCACGGGGTAAAGCGAGTCAAGTAGACCATTTTGAAAATATGGTAAATGTAGTGAATAGACTGTTGGCTGATAAAAGGTTTGTTTAGAAACCTACTGAGACCATTCTTAGTGCTCAGAAGGTTTCCGGTCTGTCAATCAGTAGAAAAAGTTTGAACCAAAAACGTCAAAGTGTAGCAATTTACCGTTTTCATTAGAAACCTATGAAAGTAAGCAATATCACAGCCCAGCCCTCCTCGATAATTCTCTAATCAGACCGCGGAAATTGCGTGAAACGTGCCTGCGCCTTGGCCAAGCCCATTCTCGTGTCATTTTTCGCTGCGAAAGTGGCGTCGAATTTCCGCCTGAGGACGGCCCGCGTCAACGGGTAATTCCGTTTATTTTATTTGCCGTTTAGACTGGATTTACAACGAATCCTATAGTGAGAAACTTTCAGCTCTCAGTCCCGTTGCTTCTCAGAGTGTCCGCATTATTAAAGCAACACTCTTAAAAGTCCCATAAATACTTGAAATAACTCTAAAGACGGATAAATTGCGAATGAGGGCCGAAAAGCTGTAAAACGCGGGTTTATCCGAGGATAATCCGGTTGTTTCTTAACCTCCGGAGGGTATGTTCCAAAAGGGTTAAAAATGGGGACGAAGGGGAGTCATTTCTCAATATTCCTTGATGGGAAAAAATGGGATATAATAAAAAATAGGTGGATAAAAAGCCTTGGGAAAGTCATAACCAAGATGGACTTAAATTGCAATGCATTGTAGGCCGCTTGCGCATTAACAGTTTTAAGTGTGAAGCCTGTCGATTTTCGACCTTAATTTAGCTCTGACAAGTTATTTTTTCCCCGATTTTGCCTCTGTTTCAGAAGAGGTGAAAATTTTCTTGCGAAGTGCAGCAAAGGGAAGAAGGGCGTGATTCCTTGCTTTTGGAGTCCTTATGAGACGAAAAATCTGCTCGATTACTCCTTCATAGCTGGGAAACCCATTAATATCGAAATTGGTCAAAACGGAAATTCAAAATTAAAGCGTTGAATGAAAAACCGTCCGTGGCTGGCATGTAAACATCCAGCGTAATGACAAAAACTAAATGTGCTCGAATATTCATGTTGAAAAAGAGCGACTACGGCCGGCTGATTGCACATTTAATAATTCATGGCGAATAATTTCATAGGCTTATTGTTAGGGAAGCGACTCAGCCGAGGTTTCAAGCCGAATAAATGACCTTATTTGCCTGAGGGACTGAGTGCAAAACCATCCGCACTGGCTGAAACATAAACAATTTTTTTTTAAAATTTTTATTAAAAGAAGATAATACCAAGAAAGCGCCACAATTTTGAAAAAAGACGCTTCAGTCTGCATGAACCCGTTCCCGTTTTGAAGTGCCGGACGAGCACCTTGGCCCTCCAAAAATTCGTATTTTTGGGAATATGGCTATGGGCAAACATCGGGCCGTCGTCAGGAAGTGTTTTTCAATAAAATGACTTCTATACGCGAGCGGGGGCTTTTCGCATTTTGCGACGGAAATTTGGACAATCTTTTTTTTTATGTGACGGACCACTTTACAAGTTGAGAAAGAAAGGAAAGGTGGGCTGGCGAAGGAAAAAGTGGCATTTTTGATAAGTTCGAGACTGCATTGGAGATGAAGTAGGACAAAATTTTGAAAAATGCCTAAGGGAAAATTGAGTTTTCTGTTAAAGCATTGCATTCGTAAAATCCTATTTTTTCTGAATTGTCATTTTTAGGCTTCACGCAACCCCATTCATCCCTCAACACCTATAAATTTGCAGGAAACGGGAAAAATTGAAACTTCAAAACAAAATTCAGCAACGGAATCCTTCTCCCCTCCCATTTAACAGATAATTTACGCGAATTTAGGCGGTCTTTCAGCCGTTTTTAACGCGAATGTTTTTTCCATTCCAAAAGAGAAGACAAAAGATGCACAAATGAGTAGTCTTTGTCCTCAATGCGGCCTCCAGGGACTAGATTTGACAGCTAGGATTTAGGGGGGAAGCCTCGTTAGCTGAGGGGATCTCAGGACTTCGGCTTGACCGCATTCGGGCCTCTTAGCGGTGGCAAGGTTGGATATGATGAATTTTTTTGGGACAAATAATTTTTTGTATAAAATATACATAAGCAAATGGGCGCAGAGGATTGTTATGACTTCCAGGGCAAGTAACCCGAATTTTTGGTCGTTTTTTTAAAATAATGTGTATCTTCAAAACAAAAGCCATCTATCTGTATTTAGAGCCTCCAAAAGGCAACCGAATCCATTTTGCAAGGGCTTTAGGAAATTTGAACTTCCGTTTTTGCAAAATTTATTTTCAAAATTGGAAGATTACATAAGTCGTAGGCAGAAACAACACGAGGATTTGTTGACTTGCATTAAAAAATCCTGTTTGTCTCTGGTTTTCCGAGATTCGCAATTGCCCTTGGTATATCACTGCCGTAGAATTTAAAGAGAAATTAAACCGCGGACGCTACATTGCTTTCCTATGAGATGACTTGTGGGTCAAGCATCACCAAGCTTCAGGCTCAAAAAATATATAAGAAGAAGTCGAAAGGATATATCGGAAGTGCTTTGGGCATATACATTTCACACTCCTCGCGAAAGAAACCGAAAATAAATAAATTGAAAAAGTTTGCTGCAAGTCCAGGAGGCCTGAAGTGAGTGCCGCTTCTGAACGGGTTTCAAGTGTCTTCGCCAAGGCCGGAGGGGAAATAAAAGGGCGAAAAAAAGGAGTTTCCGCGGCTTCCAATAAATCATGGGAAGACGGGGATGGCCATTCATTAATGCGTAAACGGGGGTCTTTGCGATGAGTTATTCGTACTGGATATACTGCAACTCCAGGACATTTGAATGGGGTTTATTGGGTCTATTGAACAGGGGGAAGGAGAAGATAAAGGCCGGAGAGAATGAGTGTGTGAGAAGATATGAGACTTGGGATCTATTGGCGACTTAAGGCTTGCAGAATTATAATTTGAAAATACGAAGGACGATAAAAACAATCTTGCTGAAGCCTCGAGGAGAAACTTGCAGATTTTGACGAGAATTTGCACGATGTTTATATTTATAGTAGGCCAGTCATCATTTCTTATTTTTTTCGGTTACGATTTGCCGGCGCAGCCAATAAATTCGGCAATATCGACAGGTCACGGAAATGAGAAAAACGGTAAAACAAGAACAGCATTTCTCGAGGAGGTCTTATAATGTACGATAGACCCGAACCTCTACACCCTCAAATAGAAACTTTGCAATAAATCAGTGGCAAAAAGAGGATTCAACCCGCGGCTTTTGCCAATATGGACCTAAAAAATCTCAGAAGAAACGTTTCTTTAGGGAGGAACGTCATTGTCAGAAGGGAAGAAGCCGCCGAAATCCTGTTAGCCCTTTCTTTTTGTGCCAAAAATCTTCATTTTTCAGTTTCTTTCCGAAAAGGTTGGGAGGGCTTCGAACGAGAGCGCATAAAGCTGTATACCAATGGTAAAGAAATGAGCTAAAAATATAAACAAATATCAGGATGACAGTGGTAAAAACCATGTCAAATCAAAGAAAGTTCATTATCAAGAATTGAGGAACTTGTTTTACAAGAATCGAACAAAGGATTCAGAAGGAAAGCCGTGGAAACATCGATAATTTTTTTCTTGGACCAAACATTAGAAACTTCACGACTTGACCAATTTTTGGTTGTTAGCCCTCGCAAGAAGTTCCTTTCTCTACGAAAAATGGATTAAGGTTCTATTCAACGAAATTTCCCTCGCTAAGTGCCAAGAAGAGCTCCTTCGGCTAGCTAATTGTGCGACTTTATCATTGCCTACTTCTATAAGTGCGCTTTGCACAAAGTTTGAAGGCGTATGTTGAGCCATTTTTGAACAGTCAACCGCACTTTCTGTTTGTGACATTTGGAAAGATTTATAACTTCCTTCAACGAAGTTTCCCACTCTCATCGAAATAACACTGATCCTGTTCCTTACATTTGTAAAAACCTTGCTATTTCTGAAAGTTGTGGATTTAGAAACACAAAGTCACTAAGAGCATCCCAGGCTAGTCTAACCCCAAAAAACTTCGAATCCACTTAGGCACCCTTCAGCAAATCCCACCCGAAATAATGTTATTTTGGGTGGTTACTAATCCCGAATGCACTTCGTCTCCATTCTTTCTCTTGTTGCTCCATCGCCTCGAAATCCCCGGGGCCTACTCGATAAAAGATTGCGGATAGTGACAAGAAAAGTTTGGACTTACCAAAGAAATGGGCGGAATATGACAAATAAATTTGGATCAAACACAACGACAGGCAGGATGGACACGAGACAGGGAATGGATGGATGACATGTGGAGTAAATAGTGGGGGTAAATATGGTAATGGAATTCGATTATACGGAAGAAAAAGAGGCAAGATGACATAACTTTGAATACTGAGGACTCCATTAGATTTTGTCGAAGCTTTTAAATTAAAAATCAGATTTCCTGAAAAACAAGCTTTTTTCTACCGCCCTTTGCACAAACCACAAAAATCTTAAGGTCAAAATAAGCCAAGCAGCAAGCACCTTTAACTTTTTTTTAGTACTGAAAAGCGCTGCTCTAGCGTGACGAGAATTGGCTTTTATTGCCATCAGTTCGCTTGCACTTTATAATATTCGTCACAGCAATGAAGTACAAGCCGTAAGAACTTGAAGAAGTAAACAAGAAGTTTCCATGGTGTCTGAAACAATAAACCTTTCCTTATCCCGCCACTCTTAGACTTCGAACTATCTATAGGCAAAATTTAAAATTAAAATGGACTTAATTCTCCTTCACAGCTAATTATAAATAACCCATTTTACGAATTCAACGCAAAAACAAATGCTGTCCGTCCGGAAAACACAAGAATATGACGACGTCCAAGCATAATCTAATTTGCACCCGCTGCCCGTAAACAAACTCCCACCAGATAGCGCCATCTTACCCTCGCGCGGCGCTCAGCTTGACATTTATAAGCAATTAAAATTTTAAAATGGGAGAAGCCGGAAGCGGCCGGCGAGAAAAATTGCCCGCACAATTTAGTCCCCAAGAAAGTTTTTTGAAAGTGAGAAAAATTGAATGGGTCAGCTGTTGTTTCGAGGCCGGCTTGGAACTCCCGCAAAACATGGGGATTACAAGGCAAGTGGTGAGAGATTCCCGGAAATTTTTCATAATCACTTTACTTTACTTTTGGGGGAAAAACAAGGTTGTCAGGACTACATGAGCTGGCCAAAATCGTACATATGTAATTTGCGGTGGAGGTAAAAAAAGTGAAGCCAACATTTTTTAGTACTTATAATCACAAAATTTTTGAAAAACAAAAAAAATTTAATTGAGTGTTAGTATAAACAAACAGACGCCTTCGAGGAAACCGCGCTAAGCATGGCTGCAAACCGGGCCAGCCCGGCCCGGCCCGGCCCGGCCCGGCCCGCAGGCCCGGGCTTAAATCTCCAAGCCCGGCCCGGGCCCGGGCTTAGGAAATTTGGAAAGCCCGGCCCGGTTCGGCCCGGAAAATTTTATACTAGGTTGGAAAGAAAGAAAGCGGGAAATGAAAAGAAAATTATGGCAAATTTTCGCAAGATGTAAAGAAAAATTTAGCAAAACCTAGGTACATACGGTCACTTTACGTTCGCTATCAGCATTGTGTTCGAAAAAATGAAAAATCCTGTCGTAAAAGCTTATTTTTTCATTTTTTCCGGGCAAAACTCAAATTTCAAAAAAACCGGGCCGGCCCGGGCCGGGCCGGGCCTGAAAATCGAAGCCCGGAGTCGGGCCGAGAAATTAGTCGGCCCGGCCCGGGCCGGAAAATTTTGCAAAGCCCGGCCCGGAGCCATGCCTAAACCGCGCAACACTCCTTGCGCAATAATTTTTATAGCAAATTTCTGTCATGCGGCAGAAAAAGCTGCGAACTCGCGAGAAAATGTGGGGAAATCAACAATCGCAGAAAAAGAAAAAATATATATAAGTTGGTAAGCTGGGTTCTATTCATATCAAAATTTACTTTATCGAGTGATGTCTACTGCCATGGTTGCTCCTTTTTGTCCAGCTTACTCGTGTCCATCTCAAGACTTCTACTATGAGTCCCCGACGTTATATCCTCAACCAACTTTTTACCGTCCATCTGTCTGCCCGTTGCCTGCAAGGCCTCGCTTTATGCTGCCAACCCCTCCTCAAAGCCCCCCTCAACTTTCATCGAGACCTCCACTGGCAATTTCAACGACCTCTTGGCCGACTCAAGGTTTCTCCGCTCAAGTCCCAACACATCGACGTCTCCCAATTTTTGTGGAGATCCACAAAAAAGGGCTATGGGAAAAGGCTGCAGCCGAGAGAAGAGAACAAGAAGAACAGAGGTTAGAAGTGGCGTCAACGATCTCAATAGCGTCCTCAACGATGGCAAGGTCCGAATATGCGGTGCCTTTTCCCTCCGGCTCATCAACGATTTCATCGAGATCCAGTGGCCCGTCTCAAAGTTCGTCAAGGTCTCAGAGTCCTAAAGATATCCCTAAGAACTTCAAGATGACGCTGTGTCGTCATTTCTTGAACAAAGGAGTCTGCCCCAAGGGTAAAAAGTGCAATTTCGCCCATGGTCAACATGAGTTGAGGGCTAGAGAGGTGAGTATATTTTTGAACATGGTGTTCTTGATATAATATCTATTTAATACTTTATATTTAAAACGACTTTATTATTTTTGTTTATTTTTTAGGATCAACCAGAGAGATACAGAACAGAGCCCTGCTGGAACTTTGCCATCGGAAGGTGCGAACATGGGGACAATTGCATTTTCTTGCACTGAGATCTATTCGGTATAATATGATAATATCTTTCTGTGAATAATAAACATAAAATTTTATATGAAAGATTCGACAGTGATGTTCCTAATCTGAATTAGGTCGTGTTAAAAAATTTGAAAAATTGCAGCTCTAGAATTTAATCCATTTTGAGGTGTAATCATGTTCTGTCCATTAAGGGGTAATTTTTATCAAAGACACATCCCAGGCTATACAGTTTTTTTTGATTCCAGGCCGTTAATATTAGGCTGATTCAAAAGTTTTCCTCCATTTTTTGTGACATTTCAAAACAAAATTTCTAGAGCCTGATTGAGTGTACGTTAAAACTGAAAGCATAGATGTATGAGGCAGACCTTTAAAAAACTTTTGACTGGTAGTATTTTATTTTCTACAACCTTCCGTTTGGGATATTTCAAAAAACTAAAACATTCTTTGCTTGTGTCATAGTGAATATCCCGGGCAATTTTCGAGCCCACTAAAAAGTCTCGAGTTTTGGGTTACTCGTACTTGGGATGGCTGTAGTTTCTTTTGAATTTATTGCTTTACTTACATTTACTCTGAAGTTTTTTGTAGCATCCCTTTGTAGCGTCTCTTAAGATGAAGGCTAGCGTTTGAATGAGCAATATGCGGTCAGTTCAAAATTAAAAAAAGTCTGAGAGCGTCACCTTGAAGACATCTCCTGTTGGATCTTTGCAGCACCTCGAAGACACAAGAAACACACTGTACCATTTGATCTGATCACGGGCCTATCCCTTCTCGCCTACTCGATGATGTAATAACATTTTAATTGCTGGTTTATCATTTCCATGAGCTGATAAAGCTATTATAAAACTAGCGAAATTTTGATTTTTTATTATGTATAAAAATACGATGCTTTCCAAAGTTGTAATTGCAACTTTGTGTATTCAAGTCTTGGCGGACCAGATACGGATTCCGATCAAGAAAATCCAGAGCGATCGGCAAAGACTCGTTGGCGGAAGACTTGAGAAAGTCGACAACACATTCCTCGGTAAGATATTAAAGGAGTCTTAGATAAGCATGACCGTCTATACTGGTTGACAAAATTTTCTTTCCACCTCGTATCAATGGAACGGCTGGGCCTAGAACCTCCAAATTCGGCATAGAAACATCCTAGGACAATGGAACACCATGCCCAAAAAATCATATCATTTGATGCACTTTCAATGCACTTTTTATGCAAAAGGCAAAAAACCGGATGACAAAATTTTCTTTCCACCTTAGAAAAAACGTTTGTAACGCATAAGCCAGAGGGTGTTAAGGCATGATTGTGGTATCGTTGTGATTGCGAAGAACTGCTCTCTCGATTGGTGTCACAACTTTACAGGGGTTTTCGTTTCTTCGCCCTTAGGCGTCGGCTCATCATTGCCTTGTCCATTTTCTGCCAAATTCATGGCCAGAGGAGCTCGCATAAAGTATAAGGAGATGAAAATGCTCTTAAAAAATTTGGCATTCATGGTTGCAACATTGTTTACTCCGGCAGTAGAATTAGATTTAATTTAAGTGCGCTTCAGGGGAAAATGCGCGCTTCCAGTGTTCTCGTTACCAAAAAATTAAGTTATTATGGGAACACTGCAGATAATTCAAGTAACTTTTCCTGCTTATATATTTTCTATGAAACTACAGACTTAAAAAATAGTGACGATTTTAGTCTCTGATGTCGCGCTTAGGTGTGAGCAGAAGAAAGGTTCCACATGTCCCATGTGCAAAATTTGCAACTCTAAGCTTTCTGCGCAAGCTATTCGCCGTGGAAAAAAACGTTGAAGGCCTATCAATGTCAATGTATTGAAGTAGTCTGAAAGCCAAAAGTCCCAATATACCAAGCTTAAGTAATGCCAATGCCTAGTGCACCAACCTGCGGTACTGGAGACGACATAGACCAGAGGGGGGTAAGATAAGCTGGTAAACTTCAACACATGCTGTCGTATAAGCCCTAAAATACGCCGTATGTATAGCAAATGGATGTAATTTGGACGTTTCCATTCTGTACAGAAGTGATTCTTCGGGTTTGCGGGCCCTGGTAGGGCGCATTTTTCCCTGCAGCGCACTTAAATGAAATCTAATTCTACTGCCGGAGTAAACAATGTTGCAACCATGAATGCCAAATTTTTTAAGAGCATTTTCATCTCCTTATACTTTATGCGAGCTCCTCTGGCCATGAATTTGGCAGAAAATGGACAAGGCAATGATGAGCCGACGCCTAAGGGCGAAGAAACGAAAACCCCTGTAAAGTTGTGACACCAATCGAGAGAGCAGTTCTTCGCAATCACAACGATACCACAATCATGCCTTAACACCCTCTGGCTTATGCGTTACAAACGTTTTTTCTAAGGTGGAAAGAAAATTTTGTCATCCGGTTTTTTGCCTTTTGCATAAAAAGTGCATTGAAAGTGCATCAAATGATATGATTTTTTGGGCACGGTGTTCTATTGTCCTAGGATGTTTCTATGCCGAATTTGGAGGTTCTAGGCCCAGCCGTTCCAGAGATACGAGGTGGAAAGAAAATTTTGTCAACCAGTATAGGAGTGGTTTCACTTGGAACTCCCTTGCAAGACTTCAATGTGGCCTTTGACTTGAGCAGTTCTATTTTGTGGGTTCCGTCATCCAGCTGCAAGTGCGACGATGATTGTGACATCCGTAAGGTTTAAAAGTCTACAAGAAATCAGTCCTTGTGTTAGAGCGTTTTCATTGCAGTTATGAATTTCAGCCGAGATCTGTGCCGAGCAATGCAGTGCCCACTGCTGTGGAAGTGGAACCATTCCCGAAGACATCATTCCTGAGGATCACGAAGACGAAGACTTGTCGGGAACTTGTACTCACAAGCTTGCCTTTGACAAGGACGCTTCGAAAAGTTTTATTCCCAGTAAGTTGGATACATCATAGTAAAATAAGTGTTCTATCTTATATGCCGCCCAAACCTTACTGTTATTTTAGCTGGGAAGACTTCTAAAGTAGTTCTTGACAAGACGCATCTAACAGCAGACTTGGTCTACGATCACCTAAGTCTTGGCCCGCATCATCGCCCTGGATTGACTGCCAAAAACATTAAATTCGGACTTGTGAACAAATTCCCAGGTTCATATGACAACACTCAATTCGATGGAGTCTTTGGGTTGGCGATTTCTGGAGCCAACAACGAAAAGAGCGTCGTCGGACAGCTGGCCAGCAAGCATCTCCTTCCTCATCCAGTTGCTACTCTCTGGATCAATGGAAACCGTACAACCTCTATTGTCGATGGAGTTATTTCCTTCGGTTTCCTTGATGACAGAACGTGCCAATTTGATATTCTGTCGTATGTGAAATTGTCCGCCCAGGACGCATGGGAATTCCCTGTATTCCAATTTGTACAAGGAGGGAGAATAATTCACAAAAAAGTTGAAATTGTAGGTAAAATGTGATTTCAATTACTACGCTTGGGTCTTGGGGGAAAACTCTCAATTCATGCATTGAGAAGTCAACACATTTCTTTTACCAATAGTCTGCGTGCCTATCAAATTATTGCTTATTTCTTTGCTTCATAACCGTCATTTCAGGGAGTCCTAGACCTCGGCCAGAGAGACCTGACTGTTCCCAAGGCAGCCTTTGAGAAATTTCTAGTCGCTTTCAATGCATCCAAAGATCCGGTTAGCGGTCAATACGTGGGCAATTGCGAACCTCAAGGAGGGATTTTTCTCAGCTTCCACATCGGCCCTGAATTCTACAGCTTGCACAAGTCACAAGTGACCAGTGAAGTTGGAAATAAGAAGTGTCAGTTGCACATCAACGCAGCTGAAAGCAAAGACAGACATCAATACAGATTTGGAACCGCCTTCCTTGAGAAATTCTGCGCCGTTCTGGACTTTAATGGACGCTTGGGACTGGCGCCTGTTAAGGAAATAATTGCTGTTGTTTAGAAAACGACAACTTTTCAATAAATTAGTTCTGCATCGAACAGGACTTCCAGCTCTTGCTGCACACTGTATACAGTATTATTTCCAAGATATAAGTATTAGGTTGATTCAAAATTATCCGGCGGTTTTATTGGCGCGTTTTTTGTTAGTTAAAATTTGCGTTTCGTTAATGTTTTTTTTACTAGTCGCGCCATAAAGTCCTGACACATTTTGTCGCGGGTGTCGCGCGAGAAAAGTGGCGAACTCGCGCGAAAGTGCATGTCGCTAGTGCAAAAACGGGGAATTGCCGCGACGAGTGCGAAAGAAAAACAAAATGCACTGTGCAAATGTGTCAGGACTTTATGTCGCGACTAGTATAAAAATAATCTTCTCTGGTTAGTTAATAAAATGGCAGTCGAAACCCATACTCATATTTGCCACATTATGCTCTACCACTTCGAGAAAAGTTGGAAGTCAGCACGGTCATTCCGCGATCTCAACTTGCTTTTTTGCCTTTTTATCGCAAACACACAGTACAACACGCTGTAAGCTCCAAAAAACACGAAACCTGCAGTGCTGCAATTTCATTCATTCAGCGCTCTCTCCAATGGTATAGGTCTTGTCAATTCACCCTGACATCTGCAGTTATCTCTTTTCATCGTTGGTGTATAGTATAGTAATATTGGATTGTTGGGCCTGGTACAAGCGCAATTTTGCGACTTCCAAAAAAAGCGTTTTCTTTCGTTTGGCTAGCCAAATGGGAAAAATGACTTCAAATTGCGTTTCTATGCGGAGAAGAGTAGAATTTAAAAGACCCACTGGAATATGCGGCTTGTGATTTTATTATAATAATCAAATTTCAATTCAAATAAATACACCTTTTTTCTTGGGCAACGCCAGTCGGCCGTTGTAATCAAAAACAGCACAGTAGTGCGTAAAAAATGGAAGGCCATAGCGGAAGTCGTATTTGTCCTTAGCATCAGTTTCCTTGATCTTTAATTGACAATTGCCCCCAGCGTATGGAGTTGACAGAGGCGTGCCTAATACTTTAATCGTTTCACCGCCAACGTTGAAGTAAAAGTAAAAACCGCGACCGCAAGAGAAGAGCAAACGGCCTTCACTGTCACGTCTCCCGTTGATGTATTTGAGAAGCAAGTCAATCGCCACTCTTGGCATATGGAAGTAGTCACTTCCGAAGTCAAAGACTCCCTAAAATCTATAAATTAGAACTGCAGTGAAAGTATAGATCGAGGTCCTTGAAACATGCTGTCATCATACCCGCCAAGATTCGTTTTTAACTCCATAGTTATCGGTGACGTTGAAGGCGGTGGCACTCAAGACCCATCCTTCTTCCTTCTCGACGTTAACGAATCGGGTGGCTGGAAGACAACGCTGTCTGTCCAACTGTCCGACAGTAAGAACTCCGTCAACAACATTGTTGGGAGTTTGAGGCAAGAAATAGACGGATAGCAAAGGAGATGGGATCACTCCATGATCAGCCAGCTGCTTGATGGGGGAGGGGACTCCATCCTTGGAGGCCAAGCCAAGACCAAAGACTCCGTCGTAGTTAACGTGTTGGTAGGCCTTGCTGAATTCCTTGACAACGCCAAATTGAACATTGTTGGCGGTAGGGCCAGGACGATAGTGAGTGCCAAGGCGGAAGGTGTCATGCCCAAGAGCGGCTTGAATCGTGGAGCCCAAGAACGTCAAGTTGGATGAGCCGGTTCCTAAAATAAAATGATGTTGTTTGAGAAACGCTCACATCACAAGGTTAGAAATATCTTTTGTAATTTGGAAATTACCCTTCACGTAGCTCCTTGATCGCTCCGGGTCAAAGACGTTTTTGTTTGAGCATGATCCGGAAGACTTTTCGTCGCTGAGTTTCTTGGCGCAGCAGTGAGAAGCACAGAGGTGAGGGCACAGCTTTTCTAAAGGATATTTGATGATCATATGTATATACATACCATCGCCACATTGAGCTCCACATGAACATGAAGCATCAGGAACCCAGAGGGCAGAAGTGCTGGTGTCAAAAGCAACATTAATATCTTGTCCGGGGTTCCCAATGGACACTACGCCAACAAATGCTTTTGAACCAGGGTCAAGATCAATTGGAATTCCTGAAGAAAAACCGCTTTCCTTCCGTTGAACCCGTCTGATTGGAATCTCAATGGCCAACGCGGCCACCACCAGTAATAGAGAAAGGCTGAGAAAGCGCATTTTCTGTTCAATATACTCTCTCTGGGGAAACTTGAGTTATTTTATAGTCGTCAGTTAACGATAAAACTTCCATTATCATTCTCCTATGTTTTTAATTAACATTCAGTGGGGGCTTTAAACGGGAGCGCCTCTTGCAATGGGCCTGAATCATTTTAAGCCGTGATGTCAGTATAATATAATACCAATAGATAAGATGTAGTTTGGCAGAGTGCGCGCCTAACAATACAGGAATACAGGGTGAAACAAAAAATGGAAACGTTTTTTTTTTGCTAAAATACTACCCTTTATATTCTGAACAAATTTCCAGTCCCAAATCTGGTTACACTTGCAGCTCCAAAGAACGCCGCGGCCAAACAGCGAAAAAAGCGGGTACGGCTATCGTAATCTCCCTTTATTTCAGGAATTGATAGCACTGCGATCTTGATTTTTTGATTTTTACGTTGTATACACATTTCTCAATGGGATAGCTGGTCTAAATTAGGGTTCGGAAAATTCGGGTATATTCACCCGAATATATCACCGGGTATATACCCGAAATCTCGGGTATATTCGGGTATTTATAAAATTAACCTAAATTAGTCCAATATAGTACCAATATGAAGTCGTTAATGAATAAGTGGGAAGCTATAGATTAACCTAATCATGTTTGGAGTGATACTACAAACAAAACTAGTACTTTAACAATCAAAAGTTTAGCAATCGATTGAAAAAAAAACCTCGGAATGCTGTGCAATCCAATATTTGGCTTTCAGATTTTCAATTTTTCCCGTTTATTTTCCGACTCCGGCCAAGTAAATTTCAACCTTACAACCAATTTTTGAGAAGCAAAAAACAAATTATGACAAAATGTCAACATTTATTGATTTTTTATGACAAAACTCGACTTTTTTTAAAATTTTTTGAATGCAAAAGTAATTTGAATATACCCATAAATACCCGAAAATTTCCGGCCTCTCGGGTATTTGGATACCCCGTCCGAACCCTAGTCTAAAGGCGTCATTTGAAAAAATGGTTAGCGAAATTAACAAAAGTTAGAAACTACAGTAACCATCGTATAAAGCCTGAAATAAAGCCTCAAATTTTTATTTTCGGATCTGAAAATGATTCGTTCCGAAAGGTGCACCTGACGAATTGTGCACCTGGGTGGCTTGTGCACCTGTGTGAACAGTGCACTTGATATTTTCTTTTTTGAACACTGCACCTTGAAATAAGTTTATTTGTGTATAATTGAAGAAAATTTGAAAGGTTTTCGCTTCGGAACAGGGAAAAAGGATTTTTCTGGAAAATTTTTAAACAATTTGAAAGGCTTTCGTTCCGGGACAAGGAAAAAGGAATTTTTTGGAAAGTTTTAACAAAGTTTGAAAAGTTTTCGCTTCGAGACAGGAAAAAAAGAATTTTTTGGAATATTTGAACAAAATTTGAAAGGTTTTTGCTTCGCGACAAAGAAAAATATTTTTTTTTGCAAAATTTTTTAAAAATTTGAAAGGTTTTCGTTTCAGGAATAGAAAAAAGAAGATTTTTGTGAAAATTGAACAAAATTTTGAAATGTTTTTGCTTTGGGACTAGAAAAAAGGAATTTTTTGATATTGTAAGGCTTGTCAAGGCCTCGGAGTTTATGTTAGCACAAAACAAAATTTTTTTATTGGTAAAAACATGGTCAAAAATACACTTGCACGGTGTCGCGAGAAAAATTCTGAGGACAAAAACATGTCATTAAACCAAAATTAGGCAGCTAATTTTTATGTATTCCGAATCAGAAATTTTTTGCGATTTTTTTTCATATATATCTCGACCTGTAACCCCATACCCCATTTTCCTTGTCAGAAAAAACAGCTTACCTTGATCCCCCTTGTCATATTTATCTTTTCACATACAAAAAAATGTTTTTTCTCTTTCCCGAAGCGAAAACTTTTCAAATTCTTTTCAATTATTTACAAAAAATTCTTTTTTCCTGGTCCCGAAATGAAAACATTTCAAATTTTGTTTAAATTTTCCAAAAATTGTTTTTTCTTTGTCCCGAAGCGAAGACATTTCAAATTTTTTTTTCAATTTTTAATAAAAAATCTTTTTTCAAGGTGCACTGTTGGCCCAGGTGCACAGTTTTTTTGTTTCAGATGCGCTGTTCGGACACAACCCTGAAAATATTTTTCTCAGGCTGTGTGCGGCGTGGCAATCAATGGCACCGTTTGAGAATTCATCATCTCCATTTTGGTCCTACAGTACCCGAACATACCAACTTTGATCGCGTATATCTCAAAAACATATTTTTATTTTGGATTTTTCGTGTGTCCAACCTCTATAATCAAGCTTAAAAACTGGTTACACTCTTTCCAATTTTTAACAGTAATCGATATGGTATGTTGAGGGTTACAGTACTACCATAAGATGAAGAGATACAAAAAATGTTTCAGTAAGGAAAATGTTGGCCATGGTCGAAAACAGCCACACAGAAAGTTTTGTACTCATAGAGCCATCACCCGACCCACCACAACGGCCGTTTCATAAAAACAAAATGTTACAGTAATCCCGGACTGGTTGAAATTTCGCGAAACCCTTCTTCGCTTTTCATCAGCATGCTCAGGTCCTTCTACTGGCCGAGTTTCATGAAATTTGGTGATGGTCGTTGCATCAATGTCCGGGCCCCTTTGAGGGAAGCTTCAGTTTGTAAAAAACTCTGTTTTAAAATACCAACTGGAATATGCGGCTTGTGATTTTATTAATCAAATTGCAATTCGAGTTACTCTCTTTTCTTGGGCAACGCCAGCAGTCCGTTGAAATCGAAGACAACACAGTTTTTCTGCAGCACCGGAAGACCGTAGCGGAAGGCGTATTTGTCGTTAGCGTCAGTTTCCTTGACCTTGAATTGACAATTGAACCCATCGTATGGAGCTGACAGAAGCGTGCTTGAAACATAAATCAATTCACCGCCAACGTTAAATAGCACGTCACGACTGCTACGGCAAGGGTAGACCAAGCGGCCTTCACTGTCATTTCTCGCGCTGAAGTGTGAGCGCAACGCGCTAAACGCCGCTCTTGGCATATGGATGTACTCACTTCCGAAGTCAAAGACCCCCTAAAAATCTAGTCATTAAAACTGCAGTGAAAGTAAAGATTGAGATCCTTGAAAAATGCTGTCAACTTACCCGCCACGATTCGTTGTGAGCTTTATAGCCACTAGCGTCGATTTTGAAGGTGGTGGCACTGAAGATCCATCCTTCTTCCTTCTCGACTTTAACGAATCGGGTGACTGGAAGACAACGCTGTCTGTCCAACTGTCCGACAGTAAGAACTCCGTCAACAACATTGTCGGGAGTTTGAGGAAACAAATAGAGGGATAGCAAAGGAGATGGGATCACTCCATGATCAGCCAGCTGCTTGATGGGGGAGGGGACTCCATCCTTGGAGGCCAAGCCAAGACCAAAGACTCCGTCGTAGTTAACGTCTTGGTAGGCCTCGTTAAATTCCTTGACAACGCCAAATTGAACATTGTTGGCGGTAAGGCCAGGACGATAGTGAGTGCCAAGGCGGAAGGTGTCATGCCCAAGAGCGGCTTGAATCGTGGAGCCCAAGAACGTCAAGTTGGATGAGCCGGTTCCTAAAATAAAATGATGTTGTTTGAGAAACGCTCACACCACAAGGTTGGAAATATCTTTTGGAATTTGGAACTTACCCTTCACGTAGCTCCTTGATCGCTCCGGGTCAAAGACGTTTTTGTTTGAGCATGATCCGGAAGACTTTTCGTCGCTGAGTTTCTTGGCGCAGCAGTGAGAAGCACAGAGGTGAGGGCACAGCTTTTCTAAAGGATATTTGATGATCATATGTATATACATACCATCGCCACATTGAGCTCCACATGAGCATGAAGCATCAGGAACCCAGAGGGCAGAAGTGCTGGTGTCAAAAGCAACATTAATGTCTTGCCCGGGGTTTCCAATCGACACTGTGCCGACAAATGCTTTTGAACCAGTGTCCAGATCAATTGGAATTCCTGAGGAAAAGCCGCGTTCCTTCCGTTGAACCCGTCTGATTGGAATCTCAATGGCCAACGCGGCCGCCACCAGTAATAGAGCAATGCTGATAGAGCGCATTTTCTGTTCAGTATACTCTCTCCGGGGAATCGTGGGTTATTTTATAGTTGTCGGTCAACGATAAAACTTCCATTATCATTCTCCTATGTTTTTAATTAACATTCAATGGGGGCTTTAAATGGGAGCGCCCTTTGGAATGGGCCTGAATCAGCTAAGGCCGTGGTTTCACTACAAATTGATAAGATGTAGTTTGGCAGAGTGGGCGCCTACATCTCACAATTTGAAGCTGATTCTATCGTTCTGGTGGTTGTGTATCCGCCAAATTTTGAACCGCGAACTGAATGCGCTCACGTCACGGAGCTGCGGCCCACCCCTTTGACTTTCCGACATTTTTGGCGCCGTACGCACTTTCTCTCGACTTTAAAGATCTGGGGCCTGTTTCACGAACGCGAAATAAAGAAAATAGAAATATGAGTGAGCGAGGGAACAGAGGAAATGCATGCGAAACGGGAGAGACGGCAGGAAAATGAGGATTGCGCCAATTCTCAATCGGAGTGACTTTTTACGTCCAAAATTACGGGTTGGCGGTAGTATTTGGGCCATAACTTTCCTCTACTTGGGCCTACAAGCACCCTCCAAAAATTCAAGTAATGCTGAGACTTCGGGCTATATAGATCTATAAAAATTTTTGCTCTACCGCCAATGACAAAGTTACCATAGGCGTTGTAGTGTTGAATTCTTCTACTTTATAACGCTAAAAGGCCTTTTTTCGCGTTGATTGAAATAGTAAAAAATTCTAATTTATGTCAGTCGATAGACAATTTAATTCTCTACAAAACATTTTTAGAGGGCCAACTGTAAGTCATTTTTTGGCTGAGTAATGACTGATTTACTTTGACAATCCCTCGATTTTCATCACAAAAAATCTTTCGAAAGAGCCCTCAAATCAAAAGAAGAAAGAAATTTTACGGTAAAAAATGGGATGCGGCTAGACTAAATCACCCATAACTTTATCATTTGGTGAGATATAGACGCCCCTCTAAAAAAATAAGGTGGCCAAGACAATTTTCTTTACAATTATATAAAATTTTATACTAATATTTTATTATTTGGAACAAAACCTATTTTTATTCTGAAAAAATGAAAAAATGTTGCAAACTGCTGCACTACTATATATTTGTTGGTGCCGTAGATCGCCAAACATCCTAAAAAATTACATTACTGTAAAGCGCAGACTCAGCTCTACATGATTTTTTTTAAACGGTGTCGATCCGACAATTTTGGACCAAGTTATGAGGAAATTAATCTAGAATTACACAAGTTTTGTAGAAAATAGAAATATGCGCAATACTACAGCTATTTTCGAGCGGGTTTTCGCAACTGTGCAACGAAACTTGCACACATGACAGTCCAAACAGTTAGCATTATTCGAAAATTTGAAGGGTGATTCTACGCCCATGGAGGGGAAAGTTATGGCCGAAATACTACCGCCAACCCTGATTTTGGACGTAAAAAGTCACTCCGATTTAGAAGTGGCGAAATCCTAATTTTTCTGCCGTCTCTCTCGTTTCGCATGCATTTCCTTTGTTCCCTCGCTCACTCATATTTCTATTTTCTTTATTTCGCGTTCGTGAAACAGGCCCCTGAATTTTTTAGAAAAAAAAAACTTTTTTGCAAATCATTCCAAAAATTTTCTAACAATAAGTTTTAGCGGTTTCGGCTCGGAAATAATTTTCAAAAACTTTTTAGTAAAGTCAATTCAGAATATTTTTTCCAGAAATTCAATCGGTTGAAAATGGCGAATCTCAGCACCAGAAAAACCTAAATTTCATGAAAATCGGCGGAGTCTCCGCGGAGAAAGCTAAAGAAAGAGGACGGAAGGTTTTGGTGGCCCACCCTGTATCTCAAAAAATCAGAAAAAATGTGCTGATCAAGGATATATAAGAGCGAAGGAATAAGAATTTTTTCTCGAGCTCGAAAATGTTTGCTGGATTCGCTACCAATTTCAAAAAGTAGCGGAAACCTCAATTTGCAACCTCCAAAAAAAACGTCGGAAGCAAATCGGTCGTTTTGCGACGGCACAAAATTGGGAGGTAGCAAATCGGCGATTTTGCGACGGCACAAAATTGGGAGGTAGCAAATCCATGGATTTGCGACGTCCCAAAAGAAACCCCGCCCCCTCAGTTTTTCAGCCATCACGTTTTGGCTTTTTTTTTGCCGGAAAAACACTGTTTAGGCCGAAAAATATAGCTTATAAATCGTACATTTACGATACTATGAAAGAAAAAAAGGTCCCTCGATTCATTTAAACATTTATTGTATAATGACGTACATTTTATGAAATATATATATATTACTTTTTCCACAATTTTGTCCAAATACGGCCGGAGAGTAAATGGATGGGGCTGAAGAACATTTGTTTTTCCACAATATAAAGGTGGTCATATAAGATCTCGGAATTTTTTTCCCCAAATCGCGATTTTCGGTGCACAAAAAAGTCGACGCCCAAATCGAAAAATTGGCGTCGACTTAATTTTTACTCGGCACCCAATTCCGGAATCCGGTGCATTTTTGCTAAACCCAACGCCCGTTTTTCGAAATCGGTGCACAAAGTCTTAAGTCTGCACCAAGCCCTAAGTCGGAACCGAATTTCGGAATTCGGTGAGATTTGCGGAGGATAGGTTACCCCGAGAATAGGTTACCCACCGGATAGGTTACCCCAAAAAACATATAACCCGGAGGATAGGTTACCCCACGGACAGGTTACCCCACCGGATAGGTTACCTAGAGAATAGGTTACCCTTTACCAAAAAAAGAAAACATTTTTTTTTGAAATGTTTTCGCTTCGGGACTTGAAAAAAAAGGATTTTTTGTGAAATTTGAAAAAAAATTGAAATGCTTTCGCCTCGGGACTGGAAAAAAAACAATTTTTTGGAAAATTCAACAAAATTTTGAAATCTTTTCGCATCGGGAGTAGAAAAAAGGGTATCTGACTGACTATTAACTGTGGTGCCGCCAGCACTAAAATTTTTTCTAAAACCAATGGTACCACCTGGTACTATATAGTACCACGTGTTTTTGGGCTCTACTAAGCACCAAATCATCACCATTACTTCCCTACGGCCAAATTTTCACATCTCACTAAACAGTACCATTTGGTACTATATAGTACCAAGTGTTAAAACGTGTTTTTGGGTTCTACTAAGCACCAAACCAACGCCATTACCGCCTTACGGCCAAATTTGCACCTCGTACTAAATAGTACCAGGTAGTACTATTTAGTACCAAGTGTTAAAAATGTGTTTTTTTAAGCAGTACTCGGCACCAAAACAACACCATTAACGTCTATAAGTGTTATAAGTCGAAAAAATTTCAAAAAGAATCCCTAAAGGTAGTATTATAAAGTAACAGAAACCCAGTTTTCATATTCAGTCAGTTCATACTCAGTTAGCTCGAAAAAATTTCAAATTTTAGATATAGGTTTATGACTGGCCACTAAGTTAATTATACCATGAAAATAGGGCTAATTTTAAGGAATAGCAGCTTGACCGAGGGGCCAAATACGTGAAGCAAGCACAACAAAAAAATTTGGAATTGGGTGCCGAGTTAAAAATCGGGGTCTTAAGTCGACGCCAATTTTTTGATTTGGGCGTCGACTTTTTTGTGCACCGAAAATCGCGATTTGGGAAAAAAAATTCCGAGATTTTATATGACCACCTTTATATTTGAACCCCTTTTCGCTTAATTTTTCACTGGTTTGCGGAAATTAAGCCAGTTTTTGGGCATTATCACCCCTAAAAGCCTAAAATGGGCAGCTAAGATTTATATATCCTTGATCAGCACATTTTTTCTGATTATTTGAGAAAGTCCCGTCAAAAAGTAGGAGCCCCCATAAAAGTACCTTCCTTGTTAAAACACGATTTCTGACTCGGTGAATTAGCCGTGGACATAGGAAATTTTCGATTTTGAGATTTACAGCTGGATATGACCGCACCCATCATATAAGTGTGTCCCTGAAGCCTTTTGCCCTAATTCTCCCGTTAACCTAGTTTTATTTACAATTTAAGCAATTTACAGTAACGTCAAATAACTCAAAATTGAGAAGACACAGAGGCGTAAAACTGTTACCATGTATGTTTTCGGGTACTGGGAATCCAACGGAGGCGGTTTTGGCTCAAAAGGATTACTGTAACATAGCAAACTTGCGCTTCGGCCGCACAAAATCGGCCGTAAAAAAGTTGTTTCTGAAAACCCACAGCTGAATTTTTGATATGTTGATCAGCATAAAATTCTGCCCTAGAAACATTAAAAAAAGTCCAAAAATGCGGGGGCTATTTTCGTGGTATAGTGGATTTTGACAAAATCTACCAATCTGACGGCCCGAGTTCGAGTCCGGGTGGACGCAAATCGCTTAGAATTGGTCGGGAATGACTTTAAAGGCGCGGATATGGAAGATTGAGTTTATTTCAGGTGATTTTGACAACATTCTGGCAATTTTCGGATTTTTTGGTGAAAAAAAGGCGAAAATACAACTTTTTGACAAATCGTATTTTACACGGCTGTTTTGCGTTCATGACAAAATAAGAACTTATATTTAATCGTTTGAAGAGTTTTTTTGGCAATTAAACTCTTCAAAAAAATTTTTTTAATATTGTACTTGACATCTGATAAGCAAGCAGTGCATGGACCTTCCAGGTTGTAATTTCTTTCGCTCTGACTTGACAAATTGTCTGCAAAGGTTATAACTAGCATAAAATTTGAATTATTTGACGGCTAACCACAAGAAATCTAGTTTGAAAATGAAATTTTCTCCGCATTTCATCGATTGTTCTATAGAGGGAAATCACCTTGATGATGAACCGTTTTCTGAAAAAAGTGTGAAATATGGTCATAAAACAGTGAATTACGTTGTTATTAGCCAAGTTTCGTTACTACAGATGCCTGCAAGAGGCAAAATTAACAGGTACCTAGTATAATATCTGAATACTCAGAAAATGGTTTCTACTTAATGGAAACGCTTTAAAAACACTACATATAAGTTCTTATTCTGTCATGAACGCAAAACAGCCGTGTAAAATACGATTTGTCAAAAAGTTGTATTTTCGCCTTTTTTCCACCAAAAAATCCGAAAATTGCCAGAATGTTATCAAAATCACCTGAAATAAATTCACTCTTCCATATCCCCGCCATTAAAGTCTTTCCCGACCAATTCTAAGCGATTTGCGTCCACCCGGACTCGAACTCGGGCCGTCAGATTGGTAGATTTTGTCAAAATCCACTATACCACGAAAATAGCCCCCCGCATTTTTGGACTTTTTTTTAATGTTTCTAGGGCAGAATTTTATGCTGATCAACATATCAAAAATTCAGCTGTGGGTTTTCAGAAACAACTTTTTTACGGCCGATTTTGTGCGGCCGAAGCGCAAGTTCGCTATGTTACAGTAATCCTTTTGACCCAAAACCGCCTCCGTTGGATTCCCAGTACCCAAAAACATACATGGTAACAGTTTTACGCCTCTGTGTCTTCTCAATTTTGAGTTATTTGACGTTACTGTAAATTGCTTAAATTGTAAATAAAACTAGGTTAACGGGAGAATTAGGGCAAAAGGCTTCAGGGACACACTTATACGATGGGTGCGGTCATATCCAGCTGTAAATCTCAAAATCGAAAATTTCCTATGTCCCGGCCTTGCACACGGCTGTGAGTCAGAAATCGTGTTTTAAACCCAAAAATTTGCAAGACTTATGGGACACCCTAATATCAACTGGAATATGCGGCTTGTGATTTTATTAATCAAATTGCAATTCGAATTACACTCTTTTCTCGGGCAACGCCAGCCGTCCGTTGAAATCGAGGACAACACATTTTTTCTGCAGCACCGGAAGACCGTAGCGGAAGGCGTATTTGTCCTTAGCGTCAGTTTCCTTGACCTTGAATTGACAATTGAACCCATCGTATGGAGCTGACAGAAGCGAGCTTGAAATAGAAATGCTTTCACCGCCAACGTTAAATAGCAATTCACGACCGCTACGGCAAGGGTAGACCAAACGGCCTTCACTGTCATTTCTCGCGCCGAAGTATTGGCGCAACACTCTAACCGCCTCTCTTGGCATATGGATGTACTCACTTCCGAAGTCGAAGACCCCCTGAAAATCCAGTCATTAAAACTGCAGTGAAAGTAAAGATTGAGATCCTTGAAACATGCTGTCAACTTACCCGCCACGATCCGTTGTAAGCTCCATAGCCAGTGCTGATGTTGAAGGTGGTGGCACTGAAGACCCATCCTTCTTCCTTCTCGACGTTAACGAATCGGGTGACTGGAAGACAACGCTGTCTGTCCAACTGTCCGACAGTAAGAACTCCGTCAACAACATTGTCGGGAGTTTGAGGCAAAAAATAGAGGGATAGCAAAGGAGACGGGATCACTCCATGATCAGCCAGCTGCTTGATGGGGGAGGGGACTCCATCCTTGGAGGCCAAGCCAAGACCAAAGACTCCGTCGTAGTTAACGTCTTGGTAGGCATCGTTAAATTCCTTGACAACGCCAAATTGAACATTGTTGGCGGTAAGGCCAGGACGATAGTGAGTGCCAAGGCGGAAGGTGTCATGCCCAAGAGCGGCTTGAATCGTGGAGCCCAAGAACGTCAAGTTGGATGAGCCGGTTCCTAAAATAAAATGATGCTGTTTGAGAAACGCTCAAACCACAAGGTTGGAAATATCTTTTGGAATTTGGAACTTACCCTTCACGTAGCTCCTTGATCGCTCCGGGTCAAAGACGTTCTTGTTTGAGCATGATCCGGAAGACTTTTCGTCGCTGAGTTTCTTGGCGCAGCAGTGAGAAGCACAGAGGTGAGGGCACAGCTTTTCTAAAGGCTATTTTATGATTGTATGTATATACATACCATCGCCACATTGAGCTGCACATGAGCATGAAGCATCGGGAACCCAGAGGGCAGAAGTGCTGGTGTCAAAAGCAACATTAATATCTTGTCCGGGGTTTCCAATCGACACTGTGCCGACAAATGCTTTTGAACCAGTGTCCAGATCAATTGGAATTCCTGAGGAAAAGCCGCTTTCCTTCCGTTGAACCCGTCTGATTGGAATCTCAATGGCCAACGCGGCCGCCACCAGTAATAGAGAAATGCTGATAGAGCGCATTTTCTGTTCAGTATACTCTCTCTGGGGAATCGTGGGTTATTTTATAGTTGTCAGTTAACGATAAAACTTCCATTATCATTCTCCTAAGTTTTTAATTAACATTCAATGGGGGCTTTAAATGGGAGCGCCCTTTGGAATGGGCCTGAATCAGCTAAGGCCGTGATTTCACTACAAATTGATAAGATGTAGTCTGGGAGAGTGGACGCCTACGTGTTTCAATATACTTCTTTTTATGATAATAGTTTGTTTATCGGGTTTGATTCATGAAACGTGGGCGAAAGTTATTTTACAAGGAAAGTAAATACTTCTATGGGGTATGGAGTTCCAGGTCGAGATATATATCAAAAAATTTGCAAAAATTTTCTGATTCAGAATATATAAAACTTAGCTTCCTAATTTTGGTCTGATGACATGTTTTTGTCCTCAGAAGTTTTCTCGCGACACCATGCAAGTATCTTTTTGACCGTGTTTTTACCAATAAAAAAATTTTTTTTTGTGCAGGAATAAATTCTGACGTCTTGCGATAGGGCAGTGGGTTGAGCATTTGCGTTCTCTATGTAGGGAGGGGTTAGTTCATTTTATTAATTTTTTTCTGATTCTTTTCCGAGATTTTGCACATCTCTTCTCAATTGAGAATTGGTTTCCTTAGGGAGTATTGATCTATCGGCCCAGACAGTAAATAACGAAAGGCTCTGACGTAACGCAAGCGCCGTTTCTATATACCGTTGGGAAACGTCGGTTATTTTTATGCCCCGATGGCTAGTTGTCCTGCGGTGGTCTCTGCAGACGATTCCTCCAACAACTTCTACCGGGAAATACTTGGCCTTCCAAGGGGAAGGAAATCGGGTAATCGAATGATTTCGTTCCCTTTTGAAATCAACATGATAATAAACGATAATCAATTCGAACAGATAAGTTTATCAAGAAGTGACAAATACAATAAAATTAAAATAGCAATACAATAACAAAACACAACGCTACAACAACACTCAACAACAACCTACACTCACTGCAGCACGACTACAACTACTACAACACTCAAATCAAGATGGGATAAAACCTCAGAGAACGTTACGGTGTCGTGATTCATGCTCTCCGCTTTGGGATCTCTCCATCGAACATTCTCGAAGATCGGTGAAAAAAGAAGCTGGGGAAAACAATTGACACGGGGAGACATCTCTCTCCCTCCATAAATTCCATCGTGATGCCATCGAGTTGGCACTAAGCATGGCTGCAACCCGGGCCGGGGGCCGACCGGGGGCCGGACGGCAAATATAAATACTGCATTCATTACGAGGTATAACACATTTTTTGTTATAACAATCGACCATAAATTATTAAAACAAAAAATTACCAACCATTGCCTAAAGTGATTGAGTACGGAAAGGTCCGCTGCGGAAAGGTCCGCTAAAAAAAGGAAAGCGGAGGGAGGGGAGGGGGGGGGGAGGTTCTCAGATGGCGCTGATTTCGAAAATCATAGCAATTTTTTCTGAATTTTACAATTTTGCTTAAGCAGTAGTGTCATTTTCGCTGTAAAGACGAAAAAAGCGCCATAAGTTTTTCAAGTTTGACCAAGTTTTTACCAATTAAAACGTTTATTTTAATGAATTGAGGAAGATAGGCAAGAATTCAGAAGAAACGGATACAATTTTCAAAATCAGCACCACCGAATACCCCGAAAATTTTTTCAAATCGACATGAAATTTTTTTTGCGCGAGTGGTAAACAAGGTTACTTTATGTTCGCTATCACCCTTGTGTTGGAAAAAATGCAAATTTTTGTCAAAAAAGCTTATTTTTCCCTTTTTTGCGGGTAAAACTCAGATTTCAGAAAAACTGGGCCGGCCCGGGCCGGGCCTAAAAATCAAAGCCCGGTATCGGGCTGAGAAATTAGACGGCCCGGGCCGGGCCTAAAAATCAAAGCCCGGTATCGGGCTGAGAAATTAGACGGCCCGGCGCGGGCCGGAAAATTTTGCAAAGCCCGGCCCAGAGCCATGCCTAGTTGGCGCATCGTGGATAACTCCAGGTTTCGTGGAAGCTGACGGTCCTGATGGAGGCGAGACCGCTGCAAGAAATTTTTTCCTTTCGGCCAATTGTTTTCATCCACCAAACTCGAAAACAAAACTTGCCCAGTGATAATTGTATGCGAATGTGTATCTTTTATTTGGCAACATTTTGAAGAACGGCAGGAGAATGAACGGTTATTCAATTTTTTTCAACAATGAAATACTTTGTTACGCGGATTTGCCATGGAAACCGACTTTTAATTAGGAGCTCGTTTTAGCCTTCTTCTTGGGCAAGGCCAGCCTTCCGTTGAAATCGAAGACAACACAATGTTTCGCCAGTGCAATGGCTCCGAATCGGAAGGCGTAGTTGTCGTGGGGACTGATTTGTTTCAGCTTTAATAGACAGTTTCCGCCGCCCCAAGGTACGGTGAGCTCAGTGCTCGGCACTAGAATCGGCTGTCCTCCAATATTGAAGACAAATGTGGTGGCTCGGTTGCAAGCAAATACAACGCGACCTTCTTCGTCGATTTTCGCGGATAGAGATGAGATAACGGCGGTGAAAGCCTTCGGCGGAATGTGAATGTAGTCAGTGGAGAAGTCGAATGTTCCCTTAAAGCCACTAGGTTAAACATTGAGCTTACAGGGGAAGTACTCCAAGTGCGACGCTCAGATTTGGATGAAACTTGGCACAAATTTAGAATAACTTTTTTTCTGAGAAAATTTAGGTCTTTTTGTCGAATTTCGGCACGAAAAGTTTCATGCCCATTTCGACCGTAAAATATAATTTTTCTACAAAAAATCAAATTTTTCCGCACGAAACTGCTAAAGTTATGGCCAAAATGCGCTTTTCTTTCTGACCGCTCTCCACGTTTAGCGTGCTCTCTCGGCGGCAAAAATCGTTCGAATTCTCGGCGGCGCCCGCAATGCACGAGCTAAAACTTTCAGGAATTGATATATACTTAGTTCATACCCGACGTGTGTGCAAAATTTAAAGAAAATCTGAGCGTCGCACTTGGAGTACTTCCCCTGTTAATAAACTTTCATTTGGAGTTCCAAGCCTTCAACAATAGCTTTACCTTCCAACCGGGATCCGAAACACTCGCCGAAGAGGACGCGTTGAACACTGGGGAACTAAAAACCCAGCCTTCCCGTTTTTCCACTTGGATGAAATTCTCCACTCTATCGCAACGTTGAAGATCAACTTGACCCAAAGTCAGAACCCCATCGACAACGTTGTCTGCATCTAACGGGAGTAAATAAACCGTTAGTAAAGGTTTCGGGATCACCCCATGCTCAGCCATTTGCTTTATGGGAGAAGAGAGAGCGTTGCCGACCGCCAAGCCAATGCCAAACACCCCGTCGTAGTTGACTTTCTGGTAGGATTCGGGGAAGTCCTTGACCAAAGCGAACTGAACGTTGTCCGAGGTTGGCCCCGGTCGGTAATGGGAGCCAATGCGGAACGTGTCGTACGCCAAAGTTGCGTCTACAGTTTCGTTGAGGAAGCTGACTTCGATCTTGCCTGAGGCTGCAAAATCGTTTGGTAAAGCATGTGGAGAACAGCAAGAAGTTTTATTAAACTTTAGTTAGAAACTCAAAAAATGAATAAAAAGTTCCTGCAAAAAAATCTTACTTTTGACATAACTTCTTGACTTTGAGGCGTCAAAAATATTCTTCTTGGTGCAAGTGCCCTTTGCTTTTGTGCCAATAAGATTGGTGATGGTAGTACAACAATGAGCAGCGCAGAGTTGTGGGCATAGCTGCTCTAAAACGCGTACAAATCACAAGGTTGATCGTGCTATTGTCGTTTATTTGACTCACTGCTTTCACATTGAATCCCGCAAGAGCACGCGGAATCTGGGACCCATAAGGCGGCACTGTTTACATCAAACGCAACATTAAAGTCTTGGCCCGGATTCCCGATGGAGACAGTTCCTATATAGACGGTTGATCCCACATCACGGTCGATTGGAACTCCAGAAGCGAACGGTTCTGGCTCTCCGACCAATCGTTTTACCGGGATCTCGAAAGCGAGTGTCGTTGCAAAGAGAATGAAGTAAAGGACTGATGACTTCATAGCAATTCCTGACACTGTTTTGCTGAAATCATTTCATTCAACTGGTCTTGATAACAATTTATCTGTGACCTCAAAATTTTTAATTAAACAAATATAATTTCTGGGAGCGCCGTTCGAGCCGATTGTTATGCGAGAAAAGACGAATGTTAAAGTTACCTGTAGAGTATTGGAGAAAAAGTCAATTGGGAAAAAATATATAGAATAATTCCTTTGCCTTTTTTAGCTAGCCAAAACGATAATGTTCTAGCCCAACTTCACAAGAGCATATTTATAGTCGTTTTCATCTATCCATGCCGTTTATTGGCCCTAAAAAATATGCTTACTGGCCATATTATCTTTCTCATTTTTCAGAAGCTTATATAGAGGACGCCGTTTAAATAAATTGAAACAATGTGCTTGTTATGGGAGCCAGAAGCAATTTCAAAATATCTACATATAAGAACGGTTCATCGATTAGGATCGATTCCGTCTGCGGCAGATTCAAAATTGGGGATCCGTTGAGTGAGTCACCTTTTAGAAACACTGTGTCAATATCAAGCCACGTATAAGTAGGGAGGAATTTTTTTTCGCCCGCAAATGGACTTTTCGATGCCCGCAAATTTTCGCGGTTCGCGACCGCAAATTAAATCGAAATTTGCCCGCACTTTTTCTGCCCGCAAATTATAAAAATGTTATGAAACGCCTGGAATATGGATAATTAGTCAAATATCCGTGCAAATACGGTGAAATTAATAAATTTACATATGTAAATGTGCATTTGACAAAAAAATTTTTTGAGAAATGTTTCTAATCCATGTTTTCTGGGATAAAATTTCAAATAACGGAATAATATCATGTTTTTGGACAAAGCTGATGAATATGGAGTCCAAATCAACTTGTTATAAAGGCCGAACAAAACTTTTTTTTGTCTAAACGAACTTTTCGATGCCCGCAGATCGGAAAATCGGGTCCTCGGACAATACGAATGTAAAACTCTTCATTGTAATCCCTTTTTGAGCAATTCCTAGCTACCACTAGGCCATTGCCGCATGTCTCTTCGCAGAAAATTTGAATTTCAGTTTTGCGGGCAAAAAAGTTTGAAAACTTTTGGATGCCCGCAAACAAAAAAATGCTCCAAAACCTTTCGTAAGCCACCGTAATGAAAATTTTTTGATTACTATGACAAGATGAAGCACTATGATCATTTTGTGGCAATTGAGGCCGATTTGTTTGCAGGAAAACAGATTTTTGACAGAAAAAATACAGGGTGTTCCGAGAATTATGGAAAAAACTATTCATTAATAACTTTGTGCTCGGTGGTCCAATCCGAAAAAATTTTTTTGCATTTTACAGGAAAACCTTTGAGTTTTTAGAATCAAAAAAAATTTTTCTTTGATCGGCGGAGACTTTGGTAATCCTCCTTGAATTCGGCGGAGTGTTTTTTTCACAAATGCGGCTGTAAATTGTTGTATGTGTGAAGAAAATGGGCGGAAAAGGATTCAGAAGATACAATATGACATTTATTTCAAATGTTTGTCATTCGGCGGAGACATTTTTTAACTTCGGCGGACGATTTCCTCGAAAAAAATCTTCGACTTTGGAGAGTCAAAATTGGCTAAAACCAAAACGAATGGTATTCCTGGTGGCATGGCGCCTAAATAGGACTGACTGCGTCTTCGGCCTACTGGGAGAAGAAAAAAAGGCAATTCGGCGTAGAAATCGGCGGAGAAAAAATGGACCCATTTTTACAGTCTCGTTTGTGAAAAAAGCGCTCCGCCGAATTCAAGGCGGATTACGGAAGTCTCCGCCGATAAAACAAAAAAATTTTTTTTGATTCTAAAAACTCAAAGGCTTTACTGTAAAATGCAAAAAAAAATTTTCGGATTGGACCACCGAGCACAAAGTTATTAATGAATAGTTTTTTCCATAATTCTCGGAACACCCTGTATTTGCGGGCAAAAAAAGTTCTAAAAATTTTTGAATGCCCGCAAATCTGAAAAAAGCTTCTAAATCAATCGAAAGTAGTTGTGATGAAAAAACGAGTTCCATAAGTCACATTACGACACTTTTGCGGCCAGTGACACCGATTTTTCAGTTGAAAAATCCAAATTAAAATTTGCGGGCAAAAAAAGTTCCAAAAATTTTTGGATGCCCGCAAATCAAAAAAGGCTTCCAAATCAACTAAAACTTATTGCCTTGGGAAAAATTGGACTCATAGTGCCATTATGACAAGTTTTATGACCACTGATACCGATCTTTTGGTTGAAATGTTGAAATTTAAATTTGCGGGCAAAAAAGTTCCAAAAATTTTTGGATGACCGCAAATCAAAAAATTTTTTCCAAATCAATCAGAACTTCTTATTAAGAAGTCACAATATTTTTTGGTATCGGCGCGACCTGAGCAACCACTGTCAAAAAAAGTTAAACGCAAAATTATTTTATGTGTCACTTTTTTATGCAGCTTATATGAGTAAAAGATGGCGGTTTCAACAGTACCAAACATTAAGGGGTGCATTCATTTAGGCCTGCGAAACAAGACTTTAATTCTCAAACCCAAAAATACACAAGACTTAAGGGACACCCTAGTAGTTACCGGCGTGCAACAGGAAGAGGCGCCTTTTTTTGAGGACATTCATAATAAAAACCTTCACTTATTACTAAAGTTTCTAAAAAGCAAAATAAATATAATGTGACTTCTTAATAAGAAGTTCTGATGGACTTGGAAAAATTTTTTGATTTGCGGTCATCCAAAAATTTTTGGAACTTTTTTTGCCCGCAAATTTAGATTTCAACATTTCAACCAAAAGATCGGTATCAGTGGTCATAAAACTTGTCATAATGGCACTATGAGTCCAATTTTTCCCAAGGCAATAAGTTTTAGTTGATTTGGAAGCCTTTTTTGATTTGCGGGCATCCAAAAATTTTTGGAACTTTTTTTGCCCGCAAATTTTAATTTGGATTTTTCAACTGAAAAATCGGTGTCACTGGCCGCAAAAGTGTCGTAATGTGACTTATGGAACTCGTTTTTTCATCACAACTACTTTCGATTGATTTAGAAGCTTTTTTCAGATTTGCGGGCATTCAAAAATTTTTAGAACTTTTTTTGCCCGCAAATATTTTTTCTGTCAAAAATCTGTTTTCCTGCAAACAAATCGGCCTCAATTGCCACAAAATGATCATAGTGCTTCATCTTGTCATAGTAATCAAAAAATTTTCATTACGGTGGCTTACGAAAGGTTTTGGAGCATTTTTTTGTTTGCGGGCATCCAAAAGTTTTCAAACTTTTTTTGCCCGCAAAACTGAAATTCAAATTTTCTGCGAAGAGACATGCGGCAATGGCCTAGTGGTAGCTAGGAATTGCTCAAAAAGGGATTACAATGAAGAGTTTTACATTCGTATTGTCCGAGGACCCGATTTTCCGATCTGCGGGCATCGAAAAGTTCGTTTAGACAAAAAAAGTTTTGTTCGGCCTTTATAACAAGTTGATTTGGACTCCATATTCATCAGCTTTGTCCAAAAACATGATATCATTCCGTTATTTGAAATTTTATCCCAGAAAACATGGATTAGAAACATTTCTCAAAAATTTTTTTTGTCAAATGCACATTTACATATGTAAATTTACTAATTTCACCGTATTTGCACGGATATTTGACTAATTATCCATATTCCAGGCGTTTCATAACATTTTTATAATTTGCGGGCAGAAAAAGTGCGGGCAAATTTCGATTTAATTTGCGGTCGCGAACCGCGAAAATTTGCGGGCATCGAAAAGTCCATTTGCGGGCACCGAAAAGCACGTCCTATAAGTAGACTTTTTTCCAGAGCTCAAAAATTCTACCGGAGTGTTTTATTTATTGAAATATTCGTAAAAAAAGTCGTAGGTAGACTTCATATTTTATTTTTGAAAGATCGATAATATATATACATACACACGCACGCCAAATTACTTTCTATTGCAAAACGTCAAAAAAATGATTCGAGTCAAGTCTTCCCCCGGTCATTTTCATCAAGTGTTCCCCTCTGCAGAAATACCGTAATAAAACCGCAGAACAAGATTCTGTAAATGCATAAATAAAGAAAGTATGCAGAAATAAAGCAGACAAATTAGAAATTACACAAACGAGACAGATAAATGTTTGCTTTGGCATAATTTGGGGCTTTGTTTCAAACCTTGGACGAAGGTAAGTCAATTTGGATGATCTGTAACTTTTCTTATGGAACGAAAGCTCAGGTTTTCTTCTTATAGGATTATAGGATATTGCTTCAGCTTTCAATAGGTACCTCATTTTTAGCCCTTGCATCATCTTACGTTGAGTTCATTCTCAAAAACTGAAATTTATGACTTTTGAATTTAGATGAAATTGACTGGTTCTACACAATCACCCTCCGCTGCAACTTCGACATCGCTGTATTCCAGAGAGGACAAGAAACGAAGACAACAGGAATAGAGTCAGCTCATGCACGAGAGAAAAAAAACTCAAAAATCACGATATTACACTACCCCAAGGTGATCAAAATCGTGATATTCGTCAGAATTGGTAGGTTTTTTGCCTTAGATCCTCTTGATTTTCAGATATATTATACTTTAAAGAGTAGGCTTTCATAACCCGTCAAAATTTTTGAAATCGGAACATTAAATTTTGAGAAACTTCTAATTTATTTTTTTGCCCGGCAGGGATTTTTTACTGGAAAAATTGCTTTTTATTCATGTTATTGTTTCAGAACGTGGTTGGATACATCAGCAACACAACTGCGACTAGATTATTGCAATCCCAAACACAAGACCACAGGCTTAGCCAGAAAGATAACGACGAAATTTCGGATATTACAGTATCTCAGAATGACGAAAAGTTTGATGTTTAGTTGGAATTGGTAGTTTTTTTGCCTTAGATCTTCTTCATTTTAGGATATATTATACTTTGAAGTATGGGCTTTCATAATCCGTTAAAATTTTCGAAATCGGAACATTAAATTTTGAGAAAATTTCGATTTAATTTTGTGCCCAGCGGGGATTTTTTTGGAAAAAGTCAATTTTAGTTCGCTTTATGGTTTCAGAATGTGCTCGGAGACGTCAGCAACAGAACTCTTAACTACAGGCACCGACGGCGAGAAGAACTGGCAGCCACCGCCAGAGCCTCAGGGAAAAAATCCAAGAAATTACAAAGGAAAACCTGAAAAGCCTATTCACCTTTGAATTGATTCCAACCGACGATGAAGAAGATATTAATGTTGTATCTTAACACATCAGTTGTTCTTCTGCTTTTATTTTGTTGTTAATTTTACGCTTTTTGGAAATGAGTGGGTTTTAATAAGCATCGTATACAATGGTTGCCGAAATGTTTGTAAGGATGGGCGCAGCTCGCAAAACCATTTTTTGACGGCAATAATTTGGCGTGCACACGTATTGTTGTTGTCTTTTTTTTGAGGTTCTTAGTATGGTTTATATTTTCGTGTGTCTTGAAAGGGCGTCTGCCGAGCAGTGCGGAAGTCACGAAAGGTCGTTGAAAGCAAATGCTTCTGGTCTTGAATCTTTTGCCAATTGGTTCCATAGTAGTGTATGAATACAACGTTCTTTCCGAATCGGCTGCGGGTTTTATTTCCCAACGACTTCCCGTACGCCGACTCTAAGTGCATAAATTCCATTGGCAGAGTGCGCTATGGATGTGCGTATCCCGGCTTGATGGTGGATGTAGGTTATACAGTATGCGTCATAATTATAACCGCACTTTAAAAATGAGTGTACCTTTTGTGATTGTTAATAGAAATGTGTCATATTTGGCGCCAATGTGCATCAGTGTACTAGAAATGATGTCCCAAAAAATTATTTTGAAGAGTTTCCGTATTTTAGAGAAAATCTGCAAAAACCAAAATTATGATACTTTTCGGTGTCGCAAAATTATAACCGCACTTGCGAATTTGGGGTATTACCCTAATAAAACACGGGATATCAATAACTGATGTTTAGTTACGCTCCCTGAGGCCTCAATAACGCCCATCACACGACCCGAAACCCTCTGGGCAAATTTTTTTGGCGCATCCTGACCCATCTTGTCCCTGAACCGGAAAACGGCAGATTTTCGCTTAGTTACGGTAGAACACCGCTTTTTGTAGCGATGTAATCAACGGGCGAGGGGGCCCCACAAGTTTCATATCGGGAGCGAGTCTATGGTGGCAAACGCCTTGCTGTCAAAGGAACTGGTATGTCGACCTGCTATGGTGGACGTGGGCATTATCCAACAAAAGTATAGCCAGGTTGCCGGTACGGTACCAGATGTTCGCCTAAGACTTCGTAGTACTCGAAGCTATTCATTTGAGTTGCTGTGGCCGCGGACGGAAGGCCTCCGGCTTTTTTGAAGGCGCCCCAAGTCATCAACGGGCGGCCTCTATAATTACGACACGAGAAGCGACGCGATACGTTTTTAATGTCATGCCATTGGTATGTAAAACCGTCAGGGCATCGTGTGACTACGCAATCCACAAGGAATATGGTATTGCAACGGTCTAACGTCGGTTTCAGCGACCTTCCACTAATCAACCTCTGTTGTGAATGTCTCCTTGGCAAATTTCGGCTGTGGATTGCCGTAAACCGGGGTCAGCTGGGGTCACAGCTTCACATAATACCTTATGATGACGTCGCGGTGTTTTCCGACCCTCAGCACGGTGCGTCCGCTACTAATGAAGCTCAGTTCTTGACTTAAGTGAACCCCAGAGATGGCGGAGTTAGAAGTCCGGCGGATTATTTCTCTTCAACCAGAAGCAGTGGTAAACTTTTGTCTGCCATAACATTTAGATTTGTTAAAGGCTTCCGAGACGACCAGAAAATTCCTCACAACTTGAGCCCAGCGGTCTAACTGAGCGAAAATCTGCCGTTTTCCGATTCAGGGACAAGATGGGTCAGTATGCGCCAAAAAAGTTTGCCCAGAGGGTTTCGGGTCGTGTGATGGGCGTTATTGAGGCCTCAGGGAGCGTAACTAAACATCAGTTATTGATATCCTGCGTTTTTATTAGGGTAATACCCCAAATTCGCAAGTGCGGTTATAATTTTGCGACACCGAAAAGTATCATAATTTTGGTTTTTGCAGCTTTTCTCTAAAATACGGAAACTTTTCAAAATAATTTTTTGGGACATCATTTCTAGTACACTGATGCACATTGGTGCCAAATATGACACATTTCTATTAACAATCACAAAAGGTACACTCATTTTTAAAGTGCGGTTATAATTATGACGCATACTGTAGTGACCGCTGAGAAATACGACATTCTTCAGATCTTAAATTTCATCGCCAAGGAATTGGGGTATGTTCTACACGCGAGAGTTGACCACGACCTATACTGGAAAGGTAATATGACAGAGTTGCTAGAACTGGATGATATAGATACGATAGGCGTGCCGCTGCAGAAAACGCGGGAACTGATGCAATATGGAGAGTTTACAAAGTCGCTGTATACGGTAGGCCAGACATTGGGCTGCAAACTCTACATAAAAATAATAATATTTTTAAATGGAGCAGTTGCAGGCCGACGGACGAATTATGATTTACACTGCGGCTGACATGGACGATGGTTGGTGGAATGTGTTCAAAGTCTATGATAGTGCAACATGGATTATGATGCTGATAATGATCATCGTCGAGTGTGCCTTTCTCTGTGCCGTGAATCACTTGGAAATGCGGGTGCGCGCAAAGAAACGGGTGAACCACGTCGACGTAAGGTTGACTCCACAATATCTATCGTCTTCTTAATGCCTTACCATAATACCTTAACATTTTCATCCTCAGGTTGTTTGGAGCATCGTAGAAGTCCAATTTTTCCAATCTGCCTCAAACAATCTTCGTTTCACCTCAGGCAAGCTGTCGTTGTGGTGCTTTGCTCTTCTGCAAACAAAGCTGATGCTGGGTGTACTGACCTCTTGGTTCTTGTCCTCATTATTGACCGAGCCGAACTTTTCCAGCTTATTAGACGAAGATTATGTCTTTAATCAGATCGCAAGTGGCAGTCGGAAGTTGATATCGCAAGGGTCGACCTCGTGGTTTTACACGGAAACGGGAGCCACGTACGCCCGATTGACAAAGGTGCTGAATGGGAGCTTTGCGGAGATCGTGCAACCTGAAGGTAGGACACTCGCCATCAGTGAATTCGGTGGGGAAAGTCTCAGAAGAGCCGCGTAGATATTCCTCAAGCTTTAAATGTAGCCTGTACACGTGCATTAGGCAGATCCGCTATTTTGAACGACCGACATTTTTGGTCATATTCCTTGCAACTTGAGCGTTTCCCCGTTTGTAAAAATTCAACCATGCCGCCAATTTAGAGATCGTTTCTCGAATGCGCAAAGAAGGCGCTCTGCTGTTTACCGAGCTCGACACTGGAAGCTATGTGGAGGCCAGCCGATACTGTGATATAGAATCAACCAGGGTCGTCTTCCCGCAAATTGGGTCCAAGATTATGCTACCCAGGAATAGCTCGCTGCTTCCGAGATTCAACGACATAATCGAGCACAATCAGAAACGGTTTCAGAGTATCTACAGGAAGTACACGGAGTTAAAGGAGGATTCAATTTGTCATCGTTTCAAATTAGGGGATGACTTGAGTGAGTAATACAAAATTAACATTCATTAAAAACAAATTTCATCTCTTTTCAGCGGTCACAACTTTCACTGGCTTGTTCGTTATATGTGGGGTTCTTTTGGGCCTTTCGGTTTGTATCTGCATTGTTGAGATGATTGTGAATAAACATGTTCTGAAATAGTAGACGGATATCGTATTTCGAGCAACCATTATCATTCCCAAAATCCTAAAATTTCATTGTTCGAAACGAAAAGCATGTGTTCAACCACATTGTTCATCTTCATTTTCAACATGGAAAGGAAAGGGAAACTGTGACGGTTGGCATAATTTTATACTTGAATCTGTGTATTATCTTCTACCAGGCAATATGGGACAGTATTCGGTGGCCATAACCGCCCCTTCCTATAACCTTTCCATTACTATATGTAGGCGCATATGTATGTATATTGTGTGCCAAATATAAACATAGTTTATCAAGGGCCGTTGTTTGCTGGCAACAAAGCTGACCTTCGTAGACTAACATCCGTATTTCTACGAATTCGACGCCCTCTATCTTCCCGGATTTTGAAACCATGTACAAGACAACACTCGTGAAGGCAAATATCTCCGCTGTGTGTCAGCTGTGCGCCTCTTCATACACTACAAAATCCCGACGACAGGAAACGCAAATAGAAACAAAGATTGCACTATGATTCCTCGACCATGTACGGCCGTCAAACCGATGAATCTAACGTATGAAAACAGGCCGCTTAGAGTGCTGTTCCCAAACCGCTTCCCATACATACGTTTCGGTTGCATTGATGGTGCAAACAAAGTGCGTTACGGGTGTACATACCAAGGATTGATGGTTGAAGTAAGTTGTAAAAGGATGTTTCCATTATTGCAATTTTAATCATATACAGCGATAACCGGTAACGTAACGACTGCTTTAGATATTCACCTTGCTCGCCAAAAGACTTGGCTACAGACTACAAATCACGATAAACAATGACCTGATTTGGAATGGAAATTTAAGTACGATACTTGAGGAGAGCGACGTCGATGCTCTTGGGATTCCGTTGCCAACAACTAAGCATCCCGAAATGTATGCTGACTTAACACTTCCAATCTACAAGGTAAAGGCTTTGAGGAACCGCCGTACAGCTTTAAACTATCATCTTTAGGCAGAAGAGAACATTCTCATCTACCTCCCCGGACACATGGACGACAGCTGGTGGAATATGTTCAGTGTTTTCGATCGAACAGTTTGGATTCTTCTGCTGGTAATGTTCACAATTAAATGCGTTTTTTGTTGCCTTGTGAACCGAGCCGAAGTCCGGTTGAAAACGAAGAAATCGTTGTCAGGCTTAGAGGTGGGTACCAGACCCGGCTATCACAATGTATATTTTCTAATCAGGTCGTTTGGGAGCTCATCCAACTGCAGCTTTTCCAATCTCCCTCAACAAACTTCACCTTTGTCTCCGCAAGAGTGCCGCTCACGCTGTTTTCGTTGTTGCAGACAACTCTTCTGCTCGGCATTCTGACGTCCTGGTTTTTATCGTCGCTTTTACGCGTGCCGAACCGCGCCGCTTTCCTCAAAAGTGACTACATCTTTCGTGAGATTACTCGGGGAAGAAGGGAACTGATAAGTCAAGGACCAACTTCCTGGATTTACACCAATACTGGCCAAGAATACATCCGATTGACCGGCGCTTTGAACGGAACGTCCATTAGGAAGGTCCCGCCTGAAGGTAACACAGGAACGGAGCTGGCAGCACAACCGTTAAGTTGCCAATTTCAGAAATCTTGAAAAAGGTTCGTGAAGAAGGCGCCTTACTCTTCACCGAAACAGACACTCGGGGTTATTATGAAGCCAGAAAGTATTGCGACATATTCCCCAGCACCTTTATGCTGCCTCCGATCGAAAAGAGCATCATGCTGAGGAAGGACAGCCCGTTGACGGCTAAATTCAATAAATTAATAAGCGAAGACTACCGACGATTCAACGGATATTATCGCAAATATTCGAATATGAATCAAAACACGCGTTGCAACCAGTTTAAAATTGGGCAACCGCTGGGTAAGAGAACCTCTGTTTTTAATACTCAAAAATTTATTAGAACTCCAGGTCTTTCTTGGCCTTTTCATGATCTGCGCCTCTCTCAGCGTCGGTGCATGTTGTGTTTTTGTCGTCGAGATGATTGTAAAAAAGCGTATGGTTAAATGAATTGTGCTCGACAATTTCTCGTGTCTTAACGTCAGCCGAAACAAGAAAAAAATGAATGGAAAATGGACGAAAACAATCGGTAAATGTGCATATGATAATTACTTGCGTCTTTCAACCATGCCTTCTTATGAGCGCTAAAAATCCCTGAAGAGTTGCGTCGTCATTGTTGAATTATTTGTGAATAAAACCATTTTCAAACAACAAAAAATAATTCGTGAAGATTTGTCGTTTCTTTGGTATCTTCAATCTTCAAACATTCTCAAAAAACACCTGTTTCCCAACCAAAAATATTTGTTATTTTTCCGTGATTCCTGGTATGTGTTATGTATCTTTGTGTATGCTTTCGAAGGCGTCTGCAGAAAAGTGCGGAAGTCAGTGAAGGTCGCTGAAACCCAATCCTTGCTGCATTAATTCATGCCAATTGGTTCAGTGTATGAATACAACGTTCCTTTCGAAACAGCTGCGGGTTTTGTTTCCCAATCACTTTCCCTACGTAAACTCTGAGTGCATAAATTCGAATGGCAGGGTGCGATACGGATGTGCGTATCCCGGTTTGATGGTGGATGTAAGCCCGTGTTTCATGATTTTTGAACATTCAAAAGAGGTTTCCGTTTTGCTATTACAGCATTTGTCTTGATGATTTAGATCCTAAATTTTATCGCCAAAAGAATGGGTTATACCTTATATGCCAAGTTGGACAACGACCAGATTTGGAGGGGAAACGTTAGTGCCCTGTGGGAGCTGCCCGATATTGATACAATTGGAGTTCCACTGCAGAGAAGTATGGAACGATTGAAGTATGTGGACTTCACAAAGTCCATGTATGAGGTGAGTTGGGCTTTCCGTATATAGCCCATGCTGGCTGTTATTGTTATCGCAGCAGCTATAAAATCAAATATATACATTTCAGGCAGAAGGACGAATTATGATCTACACGGCAGCCGACTTAGATGACGGCTGGTGGAACATGTTCAAGGTTTACGATAAGACATCCTGGATTATGATGTTGGTGATGCTAATTATTGAATGCATCTTTCTATCGGCTGTTAACCATTTAGAAGCCCGTGCATGTTTCAAGAAACACGTTAGAAACGTCGATGTATGCATAGGGATTTAGCAAACAACGTTGTTGCTGTTCAAAAAAAAATATACTCTTTATCCTCCAGGTAGTATGGAATGTGGTAAAAATACAGTTCTTCCAATCGGCCTCAAGCAACTTTTATTTCACCTCAGGCAAGCTGTCGTTGTGGTGGTTTGCTCTACTGCAATCCACCTTAATGCTGGGCGTCCTAACGTCGTGGTTTCTGTCATCGTTGCTCAAGACGCCCACCTATTCTAATCTGCTGGCCGAAGATTACATCTACAAGGAGATTGGCACCGGAGAGCGGAAGCTGATCGCTCAAGGATCCACCTCGTGGTTTTACACGGAGACTGGGGCCACTTTTTCCAAATTGGCAAAAGTTCTAAACGGAAGTTTTGCAGAGAGAGTCTTGCCTTCTGGTAAGCCATCATTCATACATGTATGTCGTATTCCATTACTGCTTTCTTGTAGACATTATTCATCGAATGCGAAACGAAGGTGCCCTGCTCTTCACCGCGCTGGACAAAGGCAGCTACGCGGAAGTACGGCAATACTGCGACATCCAATCGACAAACATTGTCTTTCCTCCAATCGACGCCAAGATTATGCTAGCCAAGAACAGCTCACTGCTTCCGTGGTTTAACGACATTATTGTGCACAATCAAAAACGCCTTCAGAATCTGTATAGGAAGTACACAACCATAAAGGTTGATTCAATCTGCGAAAATTTTAAGATAGGAGACGAGCTGAGTAAGTCATGTCAACCGTTTGTAACGAAAACTAGCTTTTTCAGAAGTGAAAAGTTTCACTGGCTTGTTCATAATTTGTGGGCTTCTTTTGGCTATTTCATGCTGTGTATTTATTATTGAGATGATGGTGGATAAAAATATATTGATATAGAATCTGCACTAGTATTGCGTATTGTGCAAATTCATCGTCGAGGTAGATCTAAAAAATAGGTTATATGAGCTATACTTACCTCAAGAAGATCTAACGTTTCTCTGTCAGATCCTACACGCGAAGAACCAGACGGAAATGGAAGAAACAGAAACGGTAAATAAATACTATCTTTCTTCCTCCATTCTCATGTTTCTCACGTCCCGGGAGGGCTTTGTGGGTGCCATTCCCGATTCACCTGTCTTAAGAAGCTTTTCTCAAGCCCCCAAAGAATTCTCCAAGATTTAATCTGCATGTGTTTATTGTGTCATTTGTGATAAGTTGGTCATCAAATTCAATTTTTCTTTTTTGGGAATGCGATTCCTCCAGAAAAGTCAAAAACGACGCAATGCTTCCTCAGAATTGGCGTTCCGAACCGGAAATTGTACCGGTCTCCCGGAGCTGTCGCTTTTACTTTGAGCAGGCATGTATCCCCACTGTAATCTTCGTATAGTTCAGAAGCCCGAAATCGGATGTTTGTTCCTCCAAGAACAAACTCCATGGAGAGATCGGCGCCGCAATTCACTAGAAACTGACCTTGGTCGTCAATGTTGGCCCCCAAAGATTGGTCAAGCAATGTGACGGCAGGCCTTGGCATATGAATGAAGTCGGTTTTTAAGTCAAGAACGCCCTGAAATTTGGGCATTATGCGTTGAAAACGAAGCGTTTACGCTTTAATGTAACGCTTACTGTCCAAGATCCATTTTCGACCTCATTGTTAGGTGGGACTCTGAATGACGGTGATCTGAATGCCCAATTTCCATCCTTCAAGATCTCGGCGAACTTGTCAACTGCCTCGCACCGCATCTCGTCTATCGCTCCCAAAGTAAACACGCCATCGAAATCATTCTTCGGTCTTGATTCTAAGAGATAGGCCGACAAGATTGGAGCAGGGATAGCTCCTTGCTCGGCCATCTGTTTAATCGGCGAAGTCAAGCCATTCTGTTCTCCCAATCCAAGGCCAAACACTCCGTCGTATCTGACGTGGTTGTATTGGCCATTGAACTGTTTTACAAGGCCGAATTTAATGTTCTTCCTTGCGTTGAATCCTGCGCGATAATGTGGAGCGAAACGGAAGGAATCAGCGGCTAGTTCTGTTTTGATGGTTAGGTTGAGGAAGCTCAAATTGGTGGTGACGTCTTCTAAGAATGAACTTCAGTAAATCCGCAGCATGTTAAACCCAGCGCTCTTTCCGTAACGGTATAAAGAGCTCCCAAAATTCTTACCTGAATTGAAAGTCCTTGACTTTCCTCTATCGAAAAGATTTTTGTTCTCGCACGATGCTGGTCTTTCGACGTCCACTCCACAAGTACTGACTGCGTCAGGCACCCAAAAAACAGGGGTGGTGAAATCAAAGGCCACATTGAAGTCTTGTAACGGAGTTCCAAGAGAAACTGTCCCAATATACGACAAAGACCCCTTGTCCATATCGAGAGCCATTCCGTATGCCGCTTTCCCGAATTCTCGCGAAGAACGTTGCACCGGAATCTCAAAAGAAGCGACGGTTGCTGCATGGAGAATAAGGAGAAACACCTTCATGGTGTTTTACATGCAAGAAAACAACTAGGATAACGTTTCTTTTATAGCAAATCGCTGTCGTCCTTAGTGCAGGACAAATGCCAGATGATCTGGCTTAAAACCACTGATAAAACTGTCGTCCTTGTATCGACTATCATAATCGCTACCTACCCCTTCTTTGCTTAGTGGTCTGCTTTATGTTAGGCAAAGGTAAAAAGGTGAAGCGTTCAATATTGCGCTCGAGACATTCAACGCAACGCTTGACAGTCAAGACCGTTTTATCTACCCTTGCAAGATCAATGTTAACTTTTACTTCGACGTCGGCGGAGAAATATTGGTCATACATAGCAGCTACCTCTCAGAACGGTGGCAGCTATTGCCAGCTCAAGATTCGGGAAAAAAGTGCAAATGACAAATACGACCTCCGCTATGACCTTTCAGCTTTTCAGAAACACTCTGTTGTTTTTGATTACAACGGACGACTGGCGTTGCCCAAGAAAACAGGGTAATTCAAATTGCAATTTCATTAATAAACCACAAGCCGCAACTTTTGGCTTTGGGCTTTACCACAAAGAGACGCCAGTTCTGGTTCTAGAGACAACAGTTGTCCCTTGCGATTTTAAAAACACCAACTACATATGTAGGTTTCGCAAGTTGTAGTCAGCTTCGTTTTGGAAATGCGCGGCTTCGCTGTATTCTGTTTTCTTTGATGTAGCAAGTTGACAAATTCGGCGAAATTTAATCTCAAATTAAAAACGTTTTTCTGGGAAGGCAACTCGGCCGTTGTAGTCGAGCACAAGACAATTCCGTTGCAACAATACCGTTCCAAAGCGGAACGCGTACTTGTCCCGGTCCTGCGTCTGTTTGATTTTAATTGAGCATAGCGATCCATTGTACCGCTCGTATAAATAATTGGAGAGAATACTAATTGGTTGCCCTCCAATGTTGAACGTTAAGTACGCAGAACGTGAGCACTGGACGGTAATATGTCCGTCTTTTTGTTGTTGAAGACTTAGGTAATTTTTGAGAGTTACAAAAGCTGCAGGCGGAATGTGGATATAATCGGTGGTGAGGTCAAGAATTCCCTAAAAATCGTTTATTAAGGTAACAAGTCTTCTTTACCATCCATAACGGGTCGCTAACTCCATACGTGCTTGTCAAGTAGAATGAAGTCGTATTGAAAGCCCAGTCACCATTTCGAATGACTTCCGAGTAAGCTTCGATGCCTTTACATCGCACTTGATCCTCACTTCCGAGGGTCAACACGCCATCGCTTGTGGCATCCGTCTTGTTGTTGTTCAAATAAGCGGTCACCAATGGAGTTGAGATGCTCCCGCGCTGAGCCAACTGTTTGATTGGGGAATTCAGCCCATCCGATGAGCCGATTCCAAGACCAAAAACACCGTCGTAGTTGACAAGTTTGTAGGGCCGGTCGAACTCTTTGACCCTTCCGAATTGAATACTGTTGGCAGTGAAAGCGGGACGGTAATGGGGGCCCATCCTGAAGGTGTCGTAGCCTGTCTCTGCGTTTAATGTGCTTTGCAGATACTTTATGGAAGCACTTGCGTTATCTAAAATCATGCATTATAAATATGGCAAGCCTACTGCTTATGAATGTCCTTGACTTTTCCACATGGTAGACGTTTTTGTTCGAGCAGTGCCCGCTCTCTTCATTGGCCATTGCATTTTTAACACAGCAATGGGAAGAGCAAAGATGAGGGCACAGCTTCTCTAAAATGGAATAGTATTGAAAATTGATGACTTTATAATACCGTTGCCACATTGCTCTCCACACGAGCACGCTGCATCCGGCACCCATAGCGCTGGACTGCTAAAATCAAAGGCGACATTGAAGTCCTGGCCTGGGGTGCCTATCGAGATAATACCGACGTAGACCTTTGAAGTCTCATCGATATCTAACGGGGTTCCTGCAGTGCGTTGGAGGCTGCTAACTAAAGTCCTTCGTTGTAGTGGTATTTCAATAGAAATTACCGCCGCTATTAAGCAGAATATTGAGAAAAGAGGTCGCATGGTCGATGTCCTTTAGAAATGATTTGCCTTTTCAGTCTTTTATTATATACAAAGTTCATTTTATTTTGTGCTTTTAATGAGCTTTTCAGAAGGTAAGTGGGAGTGCTTATCATTGCTACATTAGAGTGATAACAGAAAACGCCTCCTCATCGTAATTAAATAACATTCCATATCAAAATTTTTACTGTCTAAATATTAATTAATTTTCGATGCTTTGAAATATGTGCAAACAGACCCACGCAGGCCGTAGTAAATTTACAGGGCATTTGGCATCACTTTTCCCACATTTCCTGAGTGTTTTTGCCGGCATTCTCCATTTTTGAATAGGAAATCAGTGTTTCTAACAGTTGAAGAACAAATTGAAGATCAGAGTCCATGACTTACACATATAATACTTTGTACAGAAATCAGGCGTTTTGAAGCTTGAATTTGAAGTGAACTTCGAGAAAATATAAGTATGGGGGTTTCGGAATTCGTCGGCATCTGTTTCTTGTCGTTGGCAAGAATCGAATTTCGCCGCGGTTTACACGTAATGAATGAATCTCACAAGCATGTTTGAACTTTTTAGCCATGAAATCTGTCATACTTTCACTCTTAGTTGTCTATTTGTATATATCTACTGTGTAATGATGCAAACTCTCGATGCTTTGCTCACTAACGTCGCCAAATTGGATGATTCGCGCCAAGAATTGCGGGAATGCCTTAGCATATAATGATGCTTGGGCGTGTAGGCGAAGTTCGGGATATGGACCTTCAGATATCTTGAAAATAGAGCATTTTCCGAAAAATCATGGGGGTTCATACTGTCATGGGCTTTAAGACACCCATACAGTTCCGAAAATATGATGATTGTTTTAGATGAGCTACCTCGGCACGTTCTTCATCCGAGAATTCGTTAAAGAACGCTGAAATGTTCTTGGCCCATTTACATCCATCTTTTCCACTCAGTTCGCCCTTGTAGTCGTAGTATATTTTAAGCGATTTTAAGGCGGAGACAACCTTTCCCATTAGGTGGTTATGATGATGGGGCTGGGAGAAAATTTTCGATCTTACAGGGGAAGTACTCCAAGTGCGACGCTCAGATTTTCTTTAAATTTTGCACACACGTCGGGTATGGACTAAATATCAATTCCTGAAAGTTTTAGCTCGCGCTGTGCGGGCGCCGCCGAGGTATCGAACGAGTTTTGCCGCCGAGAGAGCACGCTAAACGTGGAGAGCGGTCAGAGAGAAAAGTGCTTTTTGGCCATAACTTTGGCAGTTTCGTGCGGAAAAATTTGATTTTTTGTAGAAACATTATCCTTTACGGTTGAAATAGGCACGAAACTTTTCGTGCCGAAATTCGGCAAAAAGTCCTAAATTTTCGCCGACTTTCGAGCTAAAAATCTCGGTTGTTTCTGCAAAGCGCGAGCTAGGATTCTCGCATGTATCTTAGAAAAAATTATTCTGAATTTGTGTCAAGTTTCATCAAAATCTGAGCGTCGCACTTGGAGTACTTCCCCTGTTAGAATCAAAGAAAGGTGTACCGCACACACCAAATTCGTCGCTGTTGATCACCTTTATAAGATGCAATTTACGTGTCTTATCACAGTTTCGAAGACCGAGAAACGTCCATATTTTTTTGGTTTTACATACTATTCTGTAGTTTTATACTACAAAAGATTAGCGGGAACAGAGAGATAATAATTCGGTTGGAGACAACATAGCAGATGCCTGAAGTTCGGTTGATTTAATTTTTGTCTTTTGCTGTACAAAGTTGGAGATAAACTTTTTTCGCAGCGCACGGTGCATTTTTCCACTTTTTGAACTGTGCAGTGCAAAAAGCCGCACGATCAGGCAACCTTTACAATTTCCGTATTCGATATTATTTTATTGGGGACTGTGAATAGTCGAAAATAGAGCCATAGCAAATCTAGAAACAACTGAGATTTCGCCACAAAAGGTTTATTGCGTTTCCTTTCAACAACATGATCCTCTGCGGTTAACGCTGTGCGATTTATGCTCGGTTTATTCGGTAAATTAGACAGCCTTAGGAGTTAATGCAAGCCTGCCGTTGTAATCAAGAACGATACAATGGTTTTGCAAGATTGACAAACCATAACGGAAGGCGTACTTGTCTGAGGGATCTGTTCCCCTAATTTTGAGTTGACACAGTAACCGACCATAAGGTTCGGACAACAGCTTTGTGCTTAGTACAAACGGTTGGCCGCCAATGTTGAAGGTTAAAGTGCTATTCTTATCGCACGGATAGGTGATACGGCCTTCCTTGTCAACGGAGCCCTTCAGGTAACTTGCAATGATGCTGAAAGCAGTACGAGGAACATGGATATAATCCGTGTTGAAGTCGAGAACTCCAAGCCAACTTGCGTTGCTTCTCTCGTAATAGGAGAGTTTTAAGGACGGAGAGCTGAACACCCATGCACCGGTGTTATGGACGGTCTCGACAAAGACCTCTACGTCTCCACAGCGTCTTCTGTCAACTTGGCCAATAGTCAGAACACCATCAACAGTGCTTTGATTGCCTTCGTTGAAAATGTAGGCGGTGAGGAGAGCCGAAGGAATGACTCCATAAGAAGCCAGTTGTTTGATGGGAGAGGAGAGTTCGTCAACTTCACCGAAGCCAAGCCCGAAAACTCCATCGTAGTTGACAAGTTTGTAGTACTCGTTGAAGTCCTTCACACGTCCGAATTGAATGTTGTTGGCGGTGAGCCCTGGCCGATAATGAGGTCCAATCCTGAGGGTGTCGTAGCCAGTAGAGGCCTTCACCGTTTCTCCCAGGAATTTGAGGTCGACGTTCGCGTTGCCTGAAGAGTCAACTTATAGATTTTATGTATAGACGGGAAACAAGTAGAGAGCATTACGACACCCTTACCTCCTACGAATGATCGCGACTTCTGTTTCTTAAAAACGTTTTTGTTTGTGCATGAGCCACTCTTATCGTCGGCCGAGAAACTCTTGGTACAGCAGTGGGAAGCACAAAGCTGGGGGCAAAGTTTCTCTGAAAAAAGATGGTTTCTTCGTCTTCTGGATTAAAACATTCAAACGTTATATACTTTAGTCCGCACAAAGAGTTCAACTATTACCATCTTTGCACCTGTCGCCGCAAGAGCACGCAGAGTCGGGCACCCACAAAGCTGGCGTATTCAGGTCAAACGCCACATTGAAATCTTGACCTGGAGTTCCCAACGAAATCACTCCAACGAATGCCTTAGAGGTTGTATCAATATCAATTGGAATTCCCGAACTGAGAGTACTAGCCACGACCCTCCTTTGGATCGGTATTTCAATTGAACTGACGGCTGCGGCAAGCAGGAGCGACAAGCAAATAGACTTCATTGGTATAATACAAAACTTCCACAAAACATGCCTTTATATTGTGTATGACAACTGATAAAGGAATTCATTAACCTTAATGGGCAGTTTTTTCATTATACTTTGGCTTGATTGCGGGGTGTGCCACTGTCGTCATTTTTGATTGCGAAGTCAAAATAACTGCCGCCCACTTAATTTTTTGATGGCACCAAAGATTCCTTGTCTTGAGCGTGTTTTCGATGTGAATTTTTTGGAGAGCCATTAGTGAAGGGTAAAAGTGGCGTCGCAGCACTTGCGGGCAACCACTTTACGGGCAGCCGACATTTGCGGGCAACAGAAGAAAGAAACACGCTGATACTGTTGTAAGTTTTGGATATCAACCAACCTTTCTTGGCAGCTTGTAAAGAAGATCAGAGAAAAAATATATCGACGAAAGGAAAAGCCAATGTGAACAGCGGTTGCCCGCGAATATCGGCAAATTTCCGAAAGATCGCAGCAATTTTTTCACCATGTTGCCCGCAAATGTGCGCCCGCCGCAAAAGTGTGCTATTATCTCCTGTTTCCCAATTTTGTTTTGCATTGCTAACTATCTTACTGAAGCTTTCTTGGGTGTTACCGAAAAATGAGATTTACTGACAAGTAGAATTTTGAGAAAGAAAAATAAATAAAATTGATGAATAAACAAAGACGCCGCATGCTCCATCAGTTCATAACCTTAACAATGAGTACGTATTCCTTTCAAAAATGCTTGATTTACTTTATTAGTTATGTTTTTACTAATTAATTATGTTATCAACGTCGGTTCTGGCCAAGGGGAAGGCAATTCGGCCGTTGTAATCCAAAACAGCGCAATGTTTCTTTAAGAAGACGGCTCCGAATCTCCATTGGTAGACGTCCAGCCTTTCTGCGGGGGATACATGCAATTCGCAACGGTTGACCCCGACTTCTGTTACGAGTTTAGACAGAGAGAAAGTATAAGTTGAGCGGCCAATGTCGTAATAAGTAACATCTGTGTTGCTGCTGTTTCTTGGACATCGGCCGACCCAGGCACCCGAGACGGGGTCTTTAGAAGCTCCTAGTAAGGAAGTAACTAAGTCAAAGAAGGGCTTAGGTACGACCAAACCAGGAATGTTAATATCGATAACTCCCTGAAAAGGTTTCTTATATTTTGGAAGGAAATAGTTCGTCATGTATTTGCGGGATGTGCCTACCGACAAAACGGAGTCAAAATCGATCAAATCGGCTTTTAATTCGATGTCAAAAAGGTGTGTAAAAGTCCCTAATTCTGTTGCTCCTTTCAACAGATTTTTTGAGTTTCAAAAGGTCTCCAACATCGTTTTTATGTGACCTATTTTCGTTACCTTAGTGGTCTTGTTGAATTCGTTAGTGGTTCCCAATTTAGCCGACCATACATCGAATTCCCAGGCCTTGGTCGAAGTGACAGGGATGTATTCCAACTCTTTGACATCACAAACACGGCCATCAACATAACCAAAGGACAGGATACCGTCGACAATAGCGGTCTCTTCATTGCTGTTCAACCAGAGAGTGGCAACTGGCTCGGGAAGGAGATTTCGGCTAGCCAATTGCTTGATGACACTCCTTTCGTTTTTGCTGTTGGCAATCGCGAGGCCAAAGACTCCGTCGAAGGCGGTGTGTTCGTAGGCGGCGGGGAATTCCTTAACAAGACCGAATTGAACATTTCTGACGGTGAGGCCGGGGCGATGACGTGAGCCAAGACTCAGTTGATCGTATGCAACCTTGGCCTTCAAACTAACTCCGTCGTATTTGACCTCAGTGGTCTTGCTGACTAAAAAGAAAAGAGTCATTGTTTTTTGTTGGTCTGTGGTAGAAGGGTGTCAACAGTACACTTTTCGTGACTCTTCAGTGTTTTTTAACTTACGGGGCAAGAAAGTGTGAGACCCGTTGACGTCAAATGCAAGTTTGTGGGTACATGTTCCGGTCAATTCGGAGGCAGCAGACTTGACCAAATCTTCTGGGATATCTCCCTCGCTGCAGCAGTGTGCTCCACATTGTTCGGCGCAAATCTCAGCTAAAGGACATTTAATAATTAGCGAAAATACTTACGGATTTCACACTCTTCTTCGCATTTACAGTCTGGAGAAGGAACCCAAAGGAGAGAACTGTTAAAGTCGAAGGCAACATTGAAGTCTTGAAGGGGGGTTCCCAGGGAAATTACACCTGAAGATGATGTGATTTTAGTGTTAGAATCGGTAAATTAATACTGCTATTTATTGTGGCCTGCTCGATTACATTGTAGATCTTTCTTAAAACGAGAATCGACTTAATTTTTGGTCAGTAGCCAGAGAATAGCATAGTGCTTTCTAAACGTGCTTTGGAAGCCGACTTACCCACAAAAGCGTTATCCAAATGCTCCAATCGTCCACCCAGAACATTCTTGGCCTCCTTCTTTACCCTCCGAAGGGGCACTCGAAATGGCTCGGAAACAAACGTTTCGGCCAGCAACGCCGCCAACAACAATTTGATCATCATGTTTGCGATGATTCTGAAGACTGTTCGTAAGGCCCAATAGACAGTCTATATAAATGGATCGGGGGCAAGAAGCTAAGTAGGCGTTGATAACGGTGCTAGATCGTTGCCTATCCCTTTCATAATTCGCCGGCACTCCCTCTGCCCGGGTTGCGGCCGGTTTTAGGGTTAATTAAAAAGTTTTTGACGGGTGCAATCAACGGCTGCTTATCATCATACCACGCATTATTTATCAGGCCACGTCAGAGTGTAGGACTACTCTTTTCGTTGTCTTTACATATTAAAAATTATCAAAACTCTAATTCAATTCATATTGGGGGTAGCAGATGCTTCCAGTTCAAGGGAATAGGCTACGTTTTTTATTTACGAAATCTTAAGAATTCTCTCAAAATGTGCCTGGTGCGACTTTAAAGAGACTGCATGTATGGATTAGTCGGATCGATCAGGACTTCGTATCTTCGTTGGGAGAATAAGAAAACAGAATTTCACTGGTTGTGTATGTAAATAATACGAACCATTACCTAATCTCTCAGCGCTTTATTATTCAATTTAACCCACGCAAAATCATTAAGTCCTTATCAGCTGTGCCTTATTAAATTTGCTGATTGGGTTTTCATTCTCGTTCTTCATTCTTGAGTCATCATTTTTACAACATCTACATTGAGCAACAGGGTCGGTGACAATAAACAAAGTGTAAAATTGCCTGTGGCACTCCCAACAATGCGTGACCACCAGACTGGTCTCGCATGTTTCTCTTGCGCAATTTTTTTTCTAAAGCTCGACATTTTTCTCATTTTACAATTTATTCACTATATAAAATATAAAGTTTAAGATGCCCCAGAAATTCAGGGCATAACAATATTATACATTCCGTAACTATTAGGTTGGACGGAAAGTTCGTACGATTTTTTACTGCTGCTATTTTTTCTTGCGCTGATGGAAAAAGACAAACACAAATATATGGTGTCGGTAGGGGACAGGCATCCCTATCTAGCAGTACAACCTTCAGCCATCTTAAGCATTTACGAACTGAGAACTTAATTTAGACATTTACCCATCTTTGGTCCAAAATTACAAATCCTTGGCTGGTTTGTTTAATAAGGCCTACCAGGAAATTGTTTTGGCACTGCTAAAAAGCCTTCTTCTGTAGCTCTTAATATGCGTAAAGTCGCCGGGGACTAAATCAAAACATAGCCATAAAATTTGACTTTTGCAGGACCACCCCAAGTTTGAATATAACTGCAACCGCCGCTTTGCCGGTGCATTTCTATGTGTAAAACTATGATATGCAGAAACTAAGGACAATCCCTTACACTCAGCTACTCCTCAATAGCCAACTGTTTTGCCGTACGACATAATAGAACTAAATTACTTTTCTCAAAAAATCGTTGGTGAACTGTTGGATCATCCCGTACAATTCTAAAAAGAGCTCATAACATCTTTCCACTCCTCCCTTTCTTGGGTGCAAAATAGAGCCGCTTTATTGCTCTACTACCTCGTGAAACAATGGGCTACCATTGTTGACTGTCACAAAATTACGCGCATTGCTCTACAGCTATAATTTTTGGCAATTTTGTCTCTTTGCGGATAACCCGAGGCATCTGTGATCCGGTTTACTCATGTTGCACGTAAAGGGCTCTCTATGTGCCTTACTGCACCCTATTGCAGAGACAGACAATAAGAAATACGCGGAATAATAAGAAAAAGTTTTCATAGGGGGCCTTTGCTGAAGACTTGCTTGAAAGTGTTGCTATTATTTTATCCGACACGCTTTTTTATGATTTCTAATTGTGTTTAACGTAGTCAGAAAGACCACTGGACATTGCCTAAAAAGTTTCAGAGCTTCATCGAAAGCGATCTGGAAACTAGAGTTTGCGTTCTGGACCCTACCCGAAATAGCCGCAAAGCGGAAAACCTCTTATAATTAAGCTCTTTTTGGCGGAGCTAACGATTGGCACGTAGCATATAAATCTTCACACTGTACTCTTGTATATGCTAGGTATTTACGGTGGGCAATCGGTCTTGGCGCGAAAAAAATTAAATTGAAAGTTGGGTAAAAAATCGTACGAACTTTCCGTCCAACCTAATAGAATATTACGGATACAGCATCAAGAACTCGTTCTTCTTTTCCGGCTGCCGATCATAGTTGCCGTAATAGTAGTCGGGACTGAGGTAATAGGGACCGTTTTGCTTGAGAGCCTTTAGGAATTCATCGGCTTGGTGTTTATGTCCGTCTCCGGCCTCATTCATTTGTTCAGCTGGTTCGCCTTCGTCGCTCTCCAAGGTCTTCTCATCGTTGCAATCCAAAGGAACGGTCGAGAAGAAGGACTGAAACTTCAGATATAGAAGAAAATAGAAGAAAAAATTCCCCGCCCTTTTTGGTGATTCGTTCAAAACGAAATGTCACTATCGATAAAAAGCATTTTCTTATCTTTTTTCTTCCTTTTCGAGAAAAAGCAATTATTTCGGGCGAGAAAAAGTGCTTTTGGAAGAGCAAGTTGGTTTTGCATAACCAAGGTGCTTACCTGATCGCTTTTAGGGGAAGAGTTGAGCCTCTTTTCGAACTCGGAGTAGTTTATGGGAGAAATGGATTCGGTCTCGCTAATCTCATCCGTCTCAATAATCGATTGATAGGTCTCGAACTCCGACGGGTATCCATCTGCACACGAGGCAAAGTTGTATTCACTCTGGAAGACGTAAAATTAGTTGCATAAATCGACGTCGTCTGACGGAACTTTTCCGAAAATGCCTTAATTAACTATCAGTCTGGTTAAAAAAATTTTTTAAGTTTAAAAACCACTAGCTCAACTTACATTCATTTCGTCGACCTCCTGAATATCTAAGATCGACCTCATCGAGCGGTACTCGTTCCATCTGCCTTCCTCGACAATTTCCTCATCAATCAACGCTGACTTCAGCCCATTCAGAACCGGTCGAACTCCACCGACGCACACGATATCCCTGCAAAAGAAGGGAGAAATTTGCAAAAACAACAACAAAGCCGATTTTATACGAAGATAACCCACGTTATACGCGACCACATCGAGGAGAAAGTGAGGTGTGAGAGTAAAGCGGGGAGAATATTCGACGTGTCTTCGAAGAAATGTTTGTCGAAAGTGAGAAATTCGAAACAAAGATTGAGACAGACGACATTTTATTCAAATTTTCGTTAAAAAATTATCTTTTTGGTGGGAATTTGCATTATCTTGGACGAAAACGGGATTTTTTTATAAATTTATTCAACGATCATTTACAAAATTGACATAAACTGAGAAATTACGCGTTATTATTGGCAAAGGGATCTCTATTCTCGTTCTGACCCGTGATGTCGGAGAGTGATTGGATCAGAGAGTTCATTGAGAGGAGCCTGAAATAATTTTGCTTATTTTTTCAAAAAGTATCATGTATACAACAAATTATAGTTTAATTTTACCTTTGATCTATCCCAACGGTTTCAAAGAACGTCTCATGAACTCGATATCGCTTTACGACCACCAACAACGATCCAATTATACCGACAACGAGGACTCCGACGAAGGCATGGAAAGCGGTAAATCCTCCGGAAGATGATTCATCCGGCACTGGCTGTATGAATCGGTACTGGAGGACATAGCCATTGGATGCGAGACTCCTATCAGATTTGAAATACAAAGTCATGGAGGCGGAAGAACTCCGGAATGGAGTGTTGAAATATTCCAGGCCGGTGAGCCTGAAAAATTTGTTTTCTAGGAAATACCCAGGTATAATAAACATAATTACTCATTTCGCATTTAGTCCATAAGTTTAGGCTCGGGTTTCACTTGCGGCAAAACCATTTAGCGGAATTGTTAGCGGCAGAGTACGAAAAACGAGGAGGGCCGGCGAGACGAAAAATGTTTTTGGCCATAACTTATGTTTTTTTTTCATATTGTAGCCATAATTTTTTCCAGGTTTCGGAAAGCCGGACGGTTAACTTATCTTGCAAATGACCGGCCAAGCATTGAACTTACTGATCAATTTTCGACGAGTTCATGGAATCCCCATCAAACAGTGACAGAGTATCCGAGGAATACTCCAAATCCAATAAAGTTACGTTAACTTCCACTAGTTTCCCCTCCGGCGCAGTAATGACATGAGTGCAGTTCATTGAATCACAATATGGGTCAGGATAATCGGGAGAAGTCAGCTCTTGCCAATCATCGGTGGCTTTAAGATGTGCCGCAGGGCAAACACAACCTAAAATAATAACCTCATCTTTTACAGTGGGGGACTGATCCAATGGCAAAAAACGTACCATTTTGCATCCGGCAAGTATCAAAAATGTGGCAAAATGCTTCCTTCTTCAAGTGAAAAAACTTTGTTTTGAATGGCGCGCCCTTTTTCCTCACAAAAAGCGCGGATGCGCTTTTGAAATCTGAGTTTCTTCACTTGGAGAAGGAGGTATTTTGCCACATTTTTTGATGCTTCCTGGATGCAAAATGGTACGTTTTTTGCCACTGGATCAGGTCGTCCACTGTAGTCTTCAAGTTGGATAAGAATCAATTATTTTTTCCTTACGTTTTTTCCATTCGATCTTAATGTCGAGTAAATGGTCGACTCCTTCAACCGCTACGGCTTCACGATGATACCAAATTTTTACTGGCTCATCCAGAGCTGGTAAGACAATCCGTTTGTCCGATGGATGTTCGTCTATCGACATTTCTGGCAGAAGTTTAAAGTGCCTAAAAGACGATACTATATGAATTGTGTAGGACAACCATCCCTACTTCATAATGTGGGCACTGTCATGACTCAAAAAATCCGTGTAAAATTCAACGAATTCGTTCTCATCTTCGAGCTTGAATTTTGTATCAAAGACAACTCGGTAGCGTGACTCCTGAAATGAAAAGTGGTGCCGAGTTTTATTATGTTATTGAAAAAAGTCTTGAATTAAAGAGACCTACCTCATCTTGTGGAGGGACCAATCCCCAAAAACAGTCCAAATATTGGCAACGGGGCCTGATCTTGAAGCTGATCCGATTATTTGCCAGACTTGGGCACTGGCACTCTAAAATTTGACTGGTTTACTCGCTTGGACTGCAGAGTAATCTAATGGAGTCTTTTTTCACTATCAATCCTAGTTAAACGGTTGAAAACATGGGCTCACCTTTTGGAATTTTAATCGCTTCAACGGTGGTGTTGAAGCCCTTGTAAGTAACTGAAGCATCCGATTGAAATCGAACCAACGCATTGTTGTGCTGTATTGTGAACACTTTAATAGCCGCATCGTCGAAAATCAGGTTTGGCGAGTATCTGAAGACCAAATATAATCATTTTCTTTGGAATCTGAAATTTCGTGTTAGACGGAGAACCCACTTTTTTAGCATTATATCATCTTCATAGAAGATAAGACTGTCATGACTCGGCTCCAGTTCGACTTCATGAAGATTGAATTTAATGGCAGTGATCTCATTTTTCTTCAAGTCTTTGAAGTTTGCGACAAAATTTGATGAGTAATTTGTCGCATCGCAATATTCAACTGGCCAGCCAGGAGATACAAATTCGACGGGAGATGTCGTAATGTTGTACGTCTTGGATTCATAATGGCACGCTGAAAAAATATCGTCTCTGAGGTATCTACATCTTCAAGATAGAGAAGCGTTCTTACGGCTCATTATTTTTTGATAGTCGATTTCATATTCTCGCACTTTCTTCATAATAATCGTCATCGACTTGGATCTGCTAATAACCGTGACCGGGAATTGTGTTTGATCGATTCCATTGATTCTGAAATCACGATTTCAGGCCATAAACATACAGTGATGGACCCGATCCAGTGGCAAAAAAACATATAATTTTGAATCCGGGAAGCATCAAAAATGTGGCAAAATGCTTCCCTCTCCAAGTGAAAAAACTTCGGTTTGAAGTGAAAAAACCTTTCCCTCATAAAAAGGGCGGGCGCGCTTTTGAGCTCGGAGTTTTTTCGCTTGAAGAGGGAAGCATTTTGCCACATTTCTGATACTTCCCGGATGCGAAATGGTACGTTTTTTGCCACTGGATCAGGTCCCTCACTGTAAGTCCTTCGTCTTGCAGACAGTTCAAAAGTAGCTATGAACCCAAAAATCAAGCCTTTACCTCGCCAAGACTTTGGTCTGCCTCCTCAATTCTTCTCGTAGGTTCTCCGTCTCATAGACTTCCAACAATCCAAAGGTGTTCAGTCTGGCGACGTTGATCTCAACAGATTCAGTTGAGTTGATTTGCAGTACGCAATTGAGTTCATGGCTGACATTAGCGGGATTTGACGCGACTTGGGTCTTTTCAGTCGCCGTTAAAACAATTTCTGGGCAATTCCGGGGGCTGAGTTTGACATCGAACCGATTGAATGACATCAAAAATCCGGCAAAGTCAGATTCGGAAAAGTCGGACTTAAAGACGATCCGGAAGCCACCTCCTTCCTGGGAATAGAAGTTGGTTTGTGCGATTTCGGTGCCGGAGAGGCTAAAGAATGACAATTTGCTGCATCATTTTTTAAGAATTTCTTACACTGCATGCTTGATTGCCTTGGGTTGCCCATCAACTCGGACCAGTTGATAAATCGTCACATAGTCGTGGTATTCTTCAGTCGAGAAGTACTCAATAGTCAGCGCCACCGCCTGGTTCTCTGACGGCTGGATTTCGAAGGCGCACTCCCAGTTCGGCTGATATCGTTGCGGAAATCCGGGCGTCTTAAAGGACCCACTCTGCACGGCCTTATCAAATGACTGCGAAAAGCATTTGGTATTTGGGAAGGCATGTCTTGAACACTGGCATAACAAGAGAAAGGAGAATATCAGAGAAAAGAGCAGCATTGAAATTGGAAATAATGGAGTTTTGTGTTTATGGTCATATCAGAGAGGGTTTGTTTATTGGATGTTCAGAAACTAAATCTGTGGTTCGATTTCATGTCATCACAAAGCGTATTTTTAATCGATTATGTTTCGTATTTCAGGTTTGGCTATCTTTTGGGATAGCAGGGACCAAAAATTGATTATATGGTAGTCCCCTCTGAAAACGTCACTTTTATTGAGGATTAAAAGAGATTTCAATTTATGCAATTTGATCTGAAAGGAGCCGAAACTTGTCCCTCCTTTGGCCGTCGCTCAATCCGTCGTTGCTTGTGAAACCTCATCGTTATTTGAATTTTCACATGCCAGGCTGAAAATTCAATTCAAAAAATTAAATTCAAGCCCTCACCTTTGATTTTCTCGGAGCCTTTGCCTTATTTTGATAAATTGGAAGATTACAGCTATCAAAACTGACAGCACAAAAATTGTCGCGCAAAAAACAATCCAAATCCATTTTGAATCCGGCGATGGAACGCTTCTGAACTTTATAATGTAGCCTTCTTGTCGCACAAAACGGACTATGTGCAATGAAAAAGTCACAGTGTTTGAAGTGCTTCTTGTGATCTTGCGATGGTAAGAAGTGTAGTCGAGCAACGCGCTAAAAAAGATTGGCAAATTTAAAGGCCAATCTCACGAATAAAGTGTTGATGACTTGTTAAACCCGTCGTATACATAAATTGACGTTGTGTGTGATCTCCCGACGTTGCGTACGGTAAACTCAATTGCGGAGTCGCGCTCTGATTTCACAGTGAAAACACAATGAACATTCCAGTAATATCCCCATCCATATACAGGCATTAGCGTGGTCCATTCCTCGGTTGCGGTGAAATTTTCTCGGGGACAAGGGCCATCTGAAAGCCCGTTAAAAGATCCTCGGCCTCTTGCCTCTGTCATATTCAAATTGAACATCGATCAAGGACTCTTGAAGATCAACATCTTCGCTTTTTTCCCGATGAAACCAAACGCGCCCATATTCGCTGGGATTAAACTTTTTCGTATTGCGAAAGCTCAGAGAAGTACTAAAACTTTGCTGTCTAATTTAACTACCGCAAAACCTACAGATAGGATGACAAAGGCGGTAGCAAACTCAGCCTTTCAACTGCAGGTTTTGCAATCGAATTGTCATAGACGTTCAAATCGTTGTAATCCTGAAACTGCTGTCTCTAATGTGGATGCTCACATGTCTTGATCCGCTGCTGGGTTTCACTTCCAAGACGCAATCAATATACTCACAGTGACGGGGGACTCGAAAGTACAGCCTTTGATTTGTAATGTTAGGGCATAAGCAGACACGTTTAACATATATGGCCGTGACAGTAACATTATAGCCTCTCCCCGGCCTTTGGGCAAGTGAATGAAAACGCAAACTCGCCTTATTGGCCGGCACTAAGTAGGAGGATTTAATCTTATGAATGGAACTTGAATCGAACCTAAAATCATGTGTGAGTCCCAGAGAAGCCTTGTGTAAGCTTACACCATCACTTCTACTCCTTGAGAGAGCACTGAGAGATAAACATAGGACCTCGGAACATTGAAGTCATTAAACTGCAACTTTATCGCAGTAATCTCGCCATCTTTTGGAGCAAGTTTGGCGACAAAATTGGTTGTGCAATCGAAACCTGGGCAGTATTCAACAGGGTAGCCAACGGAAAGCTCGTTATAAGGGATGGTGCCTAACTGGATCACCTTATTCGGGCATTCACATCCTAAAAGAAATACAAGTTGCAGCTGGATGCGTACTAACCATTTTTCTTCACCCTTCGATAGACAATGTCATACTGGTCGCCTTTATAAATCAGCAAAGTCAGCGAATTGGTCCTGCTGGTTACTGTGAACGGAATTGAGGTTGAACCATTCAGCCTAAACACAGAATCCCAATGGTTCGCATTTTCTCACCTGAAAAGCATTCCTTTGAAGCCAGCAGATTGATAATTCACGGTTTCATAAACCTCCAGAGCCATACCATTCCCCATTTTTTGGCCAGTAATCTCGACAGACCCGGTCGAATTGATTTGCATAACGCAGAGTGGAATGGTGAAATGTGAAAGTCTGACGTTGTGATATTTGGGCAATGAATAGTGGATCAGTTGCCGCTCTTTCTTCGCCTTATAATAACTTGTTGCACAATCCACCTCCGTCTGAGTGTAATGAGCAGTAATTGTTGATCTGGGACAATACGGAGTGTCCTCAGAATGGTCGATAATTCTGAAGCCCTCATTTGACGATGAGTGGAAGTGGTGGAATCCTTTTTGTTGAAGATGATTAAGGCTAAAAAGTTTTATTTTTATGTTAGTCGGAGTCATTAAAATTCAAAGTAACCTTAAAGAATGAAAGTAAAAGCTTGCTTTCCAATATAAACAGGATTAACACCAAAATTGACCTGTGACAGAACAAACAATGTCAGGTTTTTGTAGCATTCGACATTATCCACTTCCAGGAGTACCGAGTAAGCTGTTCTTGGCTCAACTTCATAGACTGCACTTCCAGATCGGTTCTTGGACAAGTCCCATTCCTTGAACTCGTCGGGACGCAAGTTTTGCAAGGTCTTCACCAATATCTCGTCCGATGAAAGCCATTCTGTGCATGACATAAGATCAGCAACAGAAAACAACAGCAGAAGGAAAAGCATTGTGTCATCAAATTGAAATTTTTCACCAAAGCTGCTGGCGATTTGTTTATTGAGCTCGATTAGAAATGCAAGTTGTAAAAAAAATGAATTGAAAAAATCTAGAATTAGAACGTCCTTGGTTCAAGCAACTGGTTGTGTCTGCACAGTGCAGACCAAACACAAAGCAATCTCTCGCACAGTGCAGATTTTAATTTTAAAAAATAAATTCCAATACCAAAAGTCACCTAACGGCAAGTCCTCTTACAAAAAAACAGAGTTCAAGTCTGTTACAAAATAACTTTATTATGAGACCATACACGTACATGTAAATTTTAAACACGACTCATAAAGGGTTAAGAAAAATACCTGGGGACAAAATTGGAGGTAAAGGGTTAGATTAGTAGAAAAGACTGACTTCGCAATATAGTTAGAGACAAAAGGTAGGGGTTACAAGGGGGGACTAGACAAAATCATGATTAAAAATATGAGAGATAGAAAATTTGGAGAGAGACACAACTAAATTACACAACAACAGTTAGTATAAAAGACAAAACACAAGGATGGGTTATTACTGGGCAAAACAACTCGGAAAGGCAAACAAAGCAAACCTGTAGAGATAAAACATCAAATTCCAAGACAGGCTGACATACAGCAAACACACCAATCACCATAAACTTGACCGCCTAGTACCATTAACGGCTGTAGTCACTGATGACTCGGTAATGCGGGACATTGTAATGATCTGATCCTTGGAGCTTCCTCATGTAGTCTGGTTTGAAGTGGCCAATCCTCTCCAAAATCTTCTTTCCACTGGAATAATTCTCGAGGCGTGGGCGCAGCTTGATAACGGTCTCGGCGAACTCGGTCATCCAGCTCGATTTGCCGGCCACCTTTCCCTGGCTCACCTTGATCACGTATTCCAGGAGTTTCTGGGCCACGTAGTTGCCGAATTGGTCCAGCATCATGACCTCGAGGGCAGTTTGTCCTTTCGGATTCGTGTTGTAGTCCTCAAAGATCTCGGTGCAGAGACGCTGCATGTAGGTTGAACTGGCCGTCTCCAGCGCGGTCTCCACCACATGGCTGGCAAACTTGTCCTGGGAAAGTTGAAGAATGTTTCCACTAAAATTAGATTCCTTTAGACATCTCCAAATATTGGCAAAACATCTCGAAATGCCGAAAAATAAAAACAAATTTTATTACTTCAAGATCCGTAAGAACAATATTCTTCCAGATTTCGACCAATTCTAAACTAAACTTTCCGAAATTCCCAAAAAATCTCATAAAACCCACTTACATTATAACCACATCGATGATATAATCGCGTTGCCTTTCCAGAGCATGATGTTTCATCAGGTTTTGGATCACATAATTGGCATATTCATTTTTCGAATACTCTCGAGCCTTCTGCAAAAGCGGCATGACCAGGTCATTGATGGCGTCCGGAACCGTGTCCTCTGTGATGGCATTCGCCAAAGTCTCCAAGCACTTCTGAACAACTCTACATCCGTATTTGGACTTGACAATCACATCCAAGATGGCGGGTTCGGCCAGCTGAAACATTAATATAAACTCAAGCATCAGTATTTTAAAATAAAAAAAACAGAAAATTGATGTGCACATCAAAAAGCGTCATCTTCAATATATTTCCAATCAAAATAATAAAAAAAAGCCTCAATTCCCAAGTAAAATATGTCTCAAAAAATAATTTCAATTCACTCCAATAATGCTCGATACCCCTAGATCTTCCTCAAACAAAAAAAAAGAAGACCTACCCTTTTGGTGAATCGATCAAAGACAGCGTAATCGTGAGTATCAAAGACCTTCTGGATCACGTGATTCCCGCACTGATCCGTCGCTATCTTGAATTCCTGTCCATGCATCGAGGTCAAAAACTTCTTGATCAATTGCGGTTCCATGTGTTGAATGGCTTCCTGGAGGACTCTGGATGAGCACTTCCCATTGGAGAGTTCCCTGGGCTGCTTCATGAATTCATCCATAATCTGTGCGTGTTTGCTTGGACACGATGTGATAAGGATCTGAAATCATGGGTTTATTCTCGTTAAACTGTACCAGCAACCCACCTGGATAATATAATTGGCATTCGAATCCATGGAGAGTTTGTTGATCAGCTGATTCGCGATCAAAAGGTCGGCTAAACCGTGGGTCAACGTGTCCGAATGCTCCAAGTGATCTTGCAAATACCTTAAATAGCTAAAGACATGACAACATAAGATATTACACCTATAAAAATTAAACTCTAAAGATTCCATTCAAAATTTATATTACACTAGGCAAGCTGCGGAAACACTATGAAAACACCTTCAGAACGCAACAAAACAAGCAAATGCTTACTTGAACGCCTTTTTGGAGACCAACAACGCTACCAGGTCATCCCTTTCCAAGCCTTCGAACTTCCTGAGAAGGGTCTCCGCATCGAGGACAAGCATTTCTTCAACGAACCGATCCACCATCTCCAGAGTGCGCGAATCGCGGAAGAGCGAAATCGAAGAGCCGTGGAAGGCATGGGAGCGATTGTAGGACTGGTAGGAGTTGGCAAACATTTCGGAATCGTCTTCTATGGCCGAATCAAACAGCTGCTGCACAGAACTGGGAAGGGCGGTCTTGGGAGTCGACTGAAGAGGATTGGAATTGTCCGACCCCTTTTCCGGACTGCAATTGAACACGGACAGCTCGAGCTCGTCGCTGGTAAGTATACCGGACTCCTGACTGATCTGATGGGGGATGGTGAAGAGGGGGATTTCAGAGATATCCAACTTCTCACTGGAGGACTCGTCGATGACTTCGTACCCTACTTCCTTCAAAGCGTCGAGCGTCAAACACGCCAATCGAGCTAGAGAGTATCGAGAATCCTGAAACCAAAAAATAAAGGAGATTTATATTATTCATGGCATAATCGAAACAAAATTGCGAAAAATCGTTGACACAAAAACGCCCGTCCATCAACACCTTCGCAATATTGTATCAGCCCACATTCACGCCCCTTTTCACAGATTTCAACCATTTTCCGCCGAAAGTGCGCGTGGAAACTTCGGTCTTCTCAATGTTATTCATTCACAAAGATAAAAAATTCCTCAGAAGTTCGAAAAATCTCCCACACAACTTGGCAAAATAACAGAAACCAAATCCCGCCACGCCGACAAAGCAAAAAAGTTTCGTCCAGCAGCGAAAACTCAAGCAATTTGGCTAAACGTATCAGAAGGATAGTATCAACTAGAAAAGGGCAAGGCGAACCGAAATCGCATCTAAAACAAGAACAATATAAAAACCACTTACCAGATAATGGAAAGGATCGTTCTCCCAATCCAATGTGTAAATTTGTGTCTTGTCTTCAGCTCTACAGCTCATCACAACCAAACGAAGCCGTTATGTTCTTCGTGGTGTGGAGGCAGAGCCCTAGGAACTGAATTGTTAGTATCTCCCTGAAAACAAACAAAAATAATTGAAATAAAGTGGAAAAAACGGTGAAAACACGGGTTAGCCGTTGAGAACAACATGAGCAAAGTGAAAATGTGAAGAGTTCAGGTAAAATACGCAAAATGAAAGTTTCCCAGGATTTCAAAAATTTCCATGAAAAGCGAGTAAAACTCGTCGAAAAAACGTCAAGAAAGGCGAAAATCCACAAATTTGCTATAGGGTAACAAGAATGACCAAATCACCCACTGGCTTGAAAACAGGCCCCGCCCACCGGGTGAGAAACGAAATGTCACAAAAATATTGGATTTGGATGAAGTGCCACAGAAGATGACTTTCACCAATGGAAACGATAAGACGGACTTCGTAAAGTAATATTAAGTTACAGGAATCACAATATTACCTGTTTATCCCATTACTACTCCGCGAGAAAATTTTACAGAGCACGGTAATGCGGAGGCAACCTTACAAAAAAAAGATGTTTGGACATGTTTCACTGTTTTCTTTGACGTTTCCAGAAGTCCCATGTTCGGAGGGCCATGCCGGGGTAGGTTGAAGAGGCCGGTCAAGTAGAGGAATGTTGGATGTAGCCAAATCACCGTGAATACTTCTTCCAATCTTGCGATCATGAAAAAGCGGGTAAGCGGAGCGTTGCATCGTTAAAAAAAGTTCAGCGCTTCATGGCATACGATATACCGTATAAGAAAGTACTGCTTAAAATGTCGGAAACTTAAGCGTCGCGCCGCATCTCATAGATGAGAGAAGATCCTGTAGAAGAAAAAGTTGGACGTCGGTCCCTCGACATCTGAATCCGATCGCCTATAGATGTATTTTTTAATTGGAGGACACAATCTGATGACTATGCGCCACAAAGGCTTTTTAAAGCTTGGCGACTCGCCAAGTAATCGTTGCGCCAAGAACGGGACCGATTTCACCAAAAAATGCCGTGACGGATCACCGAAGATTTGAATTCACGTTTGGAGCTCTGACGCAACGAGCAGCCTCTTTGAAGCTGGCTGAACATGATATTGATAATGCTATGTTATTGATATTGATCGTTACTTTTGTTAAATTTTGGTTGTAAAATAAAATAAATATAATGAAAACCTTCTGACGTCCAAAAGCAACATGTTCAGGTTTCAAACGCAACGAATTAACGCACAGCGGAACACTTGACTCAAACGTTGATAGATGTGTCAAGTGTTCCTCTGTGACCAGATTTTCGGTCGTTTCGTCAGGTTTCGAGGACATTTTCATCTCTGTGGCTGGAACTGTTTCGTTGTTGGATCTGCAACTTCAGCTGTATTTGTTTTTTTTAAGCTATGCTCCATGGATCCCTCCTGGATCCCAATAGAAATAACGGAAGAGCAGAAAAGAGTCTTAGAAGCCTTCAAAAAGCAGGTGAAAACGACCGTTGCCCCTAATTGTTATGAAGGCTGTTCACTTGTTGAGCTGGAGCAACTGTTTGCGTAAGTTATTTTGATATTTTTTCAGTTGTTTTTAGTCCAAAAAGTCAAATTTTATTCATTAAAAATAATATACTTTATAAATGAGCTTTTGAGCACAATCTTTGATTTTTCCGGAAGAGCCCCCTGAAAATTGAAATTGCATTTTATAATAAAATTTTTTAAGGGAAGATTGGGGATGTTCCTTGCGGGATGTTTGTCGAAAATGCGGCATGGAGACTATAGCGCAACTTCTCGCAATGGCCCATGAAGTAATATGCGTGGTGGTTTTACAGACTGGCGACGTCCGAATCTACCCGACAACAATCAGCGCAGATGAGGCGAAAATTATGGAAATGATCATCATCTCCAACGAGTCCGGTTTATTTTGTCCTTTTTGAGTCGTTTTGTCTTTAGGAATGCCATTGAGAAGAGAGCCCGGAGGGAGCGGTACGATCGCATCGACCGCAGAAAATCTTTGGGACGGAGCAACGGAGATTTACCCCTTACCCGATCCAAAAGTTTGGCACCAAGATCAATGGGTCTCAGCGCACCGAACGCCATTCCTGTTGGTGAAGCTTTTTCGAGTCAAAGATCAAATGAAGTTTCCTCTGTTACATCTTCACAAAATGGAATTGAGAAATCTGTTCTAAGAGTCATGAATATGATCTCAGAAAAGGCCGAACCAAGCAATGATAGGAATGGTAGGAAAATAACGATTTTTTTATCTGACGATTATAGAAACTTCTCATCCAACACCGAAGAAGGTCGACGTTATGGGCAGGCTGGACTCTCCGGCTAAAAATGGTGTTATTCATGGAGACCAGATTGTTCAGGAAGAAAGTAATGTTGGAAATGAAAAGCCCGAGATCGCCGTTGAGCCTTTGCCAACCAAAAAGATCGACGAAACTCAAGTGAGGTCTGAAGAGAGTACATCAGATGCCGGAGCCGCCAATTCTGAAGGCCTTGATGCTAGTCATTCAGAATCGCCTCCAGTAGCCGAAAAAGCCGTCGAGGAGGCATCCGTTAACAGCAATAAGTCTTGGAATGTCAGCGATTTATGGAGTAGACTAGACACACTTACCGTTCAAAGGTAGGGCTTTTATTTTGGAAGCTTCAAAGTCGCCGAAAATGGTCTAGAAGATTTTATTTTTTTAGGCGGAAGTCCGATGGGGATGCCCCTGAGACAATAATTCCGAAAGCCGACTTGAATGAACGTCATCTGCGCATTCTACGACGATATGTAAGTGGATTTACTATCATTTGTTTACATTTTTGTCTTTTTCAGAGGTACCTCAAACAATTTATTCATATCCTCAAGTCACATAAAAGTCTTGCTATAGACGTCTTCAAAAACGACCTTCAAAAATACTACGGAATTCAGCTGAATCAAGCATTCGTAGGTTTCATGTTTTTTAGTTATGTTTGGTTTTTAGTTTTCTGAAAATTTTGGCATCGACACACCGAATGTTCTGTACTCTCTGGAATGCATTCGCCCGAAATTAATGATATGCAATTGGAATCATGAGGTCGCCCAGATTTCGCTGGTTCCACATGGTATGTTTTTGAGTTCATTTTTTAATTTTTAGTTTAGCACAAGGTGAAATAAAACCTAATTTCAGCCGAAAGATTGCTGGAAATGGACTCCGAGTTGTTGGCCGATGACTTTAATCCAATTCTGGAGAGATTCCGGCGGACAGTGGATTATGATATATGCGAGAAGAGTATGGCCAACTCAACTCTGCCTTCTTGTTTCTTCGATTCTAATTTCGATGTATCCAGAAGTTCCAGAAGCCAGCCTGATGCATCGCAGGGCCGTAAATCCCCGCCGTTGCCCTCAAGCCTTGTGGGTTAGTATAATATGTGGAGATCCTAAAAATATCGACGTTTTTTTGTTGTGTAATATAACCGTGAATATCAATGTATCTTGCCTATATATAGTGTTTTACTATTTTTTCGCAGGGATTGGAACAAAAACCTTTTCATAACGAATCGCGTTTTAGAATGGGTTTAGTTGATACTTGCCTCAAAAGTACCCTTCCATTTTATCCTACCCTTTTTTTGCATCCAATCTTCTTTTAAAGTTTGTTTTTTTTTTATTTTTCTTCACATTTTCCGTCAAAGTTTGCATAAACTTTTGATTTGCATTGGTAGCCGACTTTTCTTTTCACTACTTGGCTTCGCAATCCAATGGTTCGTCGGCGGCATATGCCAGGCAAAACTTTCGCTTTCCGGTGGGTGGAAAGCTCCCTTGGCCATCATGTCATTGACACTGTTGTCGCGCTTATCGTATTTGGATTAAATTGAATGGTTTCAGCGGAGATGACAGAAAAAATACCACGGTAAAAAAATAAGAAAGCATTTTCGGATAATTGCAGATCTAATGACTAATAATTATTTTTGATTTGACATTTCGGAACTGTTTATACGAGATGAGACGTTCAAGCTGATCACAGAGCATTTTTATAAAAAGCGGAAACATATTGGGAATGTAGAAAACATTAATTGTAACAAACATTGGAGAGAGGGCTTCGTCGCTATGTGACCCTTTCTTTTTTCCATATAACCAAGGTGATTTATATCTGGCGGCAAGGTCGGTATGCCGATGAATTTTTACGCCTACTTAGCAAAAATAAATTTTTCTGGAGCTGAGACCTGCTATTTTCAACCGACAGAATTTCAAGCAAAATCTTGAATTGACCTTTCTATGTCTTCCCAAAGTCTTGAAGAATTATTTTCGGGCCGAAACCGCTGAAACTTAGAATTTTTTTTGCCAAGTAGGCGTAAAAAATCATCGGCATACCGACCTTGCCGCCAGATATAAATCACCTTGGTTATATGAAGACTGTAAAAGTTGCCAACAGACCGACCAATAACCATAGAGAACGGTTTTCTTATATCACCGTCCTCTTTTCCACATGAAGGCCGCAGTAACTGCTAACAAACCAATCAGCAAGCACATGAGAATTGACAGCAGAGTCGGCGATCCCTTCCTAACGTATCTGTATCGTAGATAAAAAGGTTCAGCGTATTCGAAGTCCAAACCATTGAAGCCAACACCTATGATATTCGATGAACTCACGTTCTGCGAGATTGTAATGTTGTGGCGCCACAAACTGGAACATGTTTGCTATGCCTACAGTCCACTCACCTTATCATAGTCCTTCCTTTCTTCTTATGGAAGTGCACGGGTTCATCGTAAACATAGAACTTTGCCAAATATGGGGGCGGTGGAAGCTCTAATCTAACTTCAATTACTGTGCCCTCCGGCGACGTTATGTTGCTCCAGCACGTAACGTCGCGACAATAGGAATCTGGAGAGCCGGGGAGATTGAAGGTTGCCCATTCCAACGACGCTTTCAGTTTTCTTTCCGGGCAACCGCAGTCTATCATTATACGAATCAGACTTTACTTACCAGCTTTGATCTCCACCGCAATATCAACCAAGGAATGCCCGTTCATTCCGTCGCTATTTTTTTGTCGATGAAACCACAACACATTGCTGTAGCGTTCGCCTTTGATATAGGCGAGTCTGTGATGCCCCAGGGTTGGAATGGTTATTCTACACCAAGGGGTAAAACCGGCCTTTCAGTTATTATAACTCACTCGCTGACAGGTAACCATGGATGCCTCACTAAGCCTAGGAACTCGGTTTCATGATGTATGACTGAGTTATCGAAGATTTTGAGCCGGCGGTCCATTCTCTGAAAAGCTTGATTTGAATAGAGAAATAAAGCATGTAGTACCAAATTACTGTCATTTCCATGGCCAAAATCCCACAAGCAGTCCACATATTCACACCATGGCTTAATCTCAAAGTAAAGTCGATTCCCGTCCAATTCAGGACAAGTGCAATCCTTGTGAACTGCAACAGCTTCCACGGTCATATTATACCCTCTTCTGGGTTGATGACCCCAAGAACAAGGCCTCAGATGGGCTGTTTCGTTGAAGACAACAATAGAGTTTAATTTGAGATTTCGAAAATCGTTCATCTTCACTCTAAAAGGTCGCAAATCTTCTCATGAACTTCGATCAACATACTTAAATCCTCCTGGCCAATATCCGATCCAATCCAGGTTAGGAAGGTCAAAATCATTGAGCTTGAAAACGATGGCAGTCCGAAGATTCTCCGCAACTTGTGAAGCTGCAGTGAAAGTAGTGTTGCATTGGAGATATAAACAATAATCATCGGGATAGCCGGTTGAGATCTCGTAATATGGGGAGGCGTCTAGTTTCACCTTATCTGGATTACATTTACACTCTGAAATTGTTGCAGCTTTAAGCCTTTACAAGGCGTTTTTTTCAGCATGGTCAAAACGTCACCCGACACACATACCTCTCTCGGTTTGTCTGAAACTAAGAGCATACGTTTTCACTCTGTACATGACGACAGTTACTGAATTTGTGCTGCTCGTGAACACTCGCTTTTTGTCGGATAGTATCTCCACTCTAAGACAACAAACCATGTAGTCGGTGTCATCGCCCGTTTACCTGTTTATCTCTTTTTGCAATCCCGCGGCGTAATTGTTTGTTTCATATACGAAGATTGCTGTTTCATTGTTCTTTGGATCAAGAAACATTCGAATCTCGACCATACTTGACGAATTGAATTGGAAAACGCAGACATCAATTGGCCGAGACCAACGGCGATATAGTTGATCAAAGCGGCCAATTTGAGGTAGCAGTCTCGATCTTTTGGTCGCTTTATAAAACGACCTGGGACAAGTAAAGTTTTCTGGGACATGACGGCCAAAAATGAACTCGTCCTCGCAATCCATTGACTCATCCGATGTATACGTTAACTCGAAACTTTCATTTATTGGTGACCGGAATGCCCTAACTCCTTTGTCTATCATGGCATTGACACTGAAACTTTTTTCCGTGTCTAGAGCTGACTTACTCTCCAGCGAAAATTGGTGTAATACTATTGTTTATATTCGCCAGATAGTATATCTTGAGGTCCTTATAACACCCGACATTCAATGGCCGTAAAACTGTGGATAGATTGACCTGCGGCACTATTGTGTAGACATGTTTGCCAGCAGGAAATGGCTTCAATTTGAACTGCCCATAACTCTCATGCCCACTTTGATGATTGGTGATAGACTGTGGAGCAAATAGGGCTCTCGAAGGGCTAAAAGTCAGTATGAAGAGGTAGACAGATAAAACCATTTTCAAAATTAGAAAGATATGAGTGATGTTACTGAGATTGGCTTTTGTTTATTGCGTTCAGCTTGCTTATTCACGTCCATGGATAAAAAACTTTGCTTTTTTTGCGAAAAAACCAATTGAAAGATAACTTGTGAGCTGTTTATGACAAACTGAAATGCAACAATCGTTTGACAACCATTCCTTTTTACATAATAAAAAGAATACAGATAAAGAAGAGACAATGAATAAAGGAAGACCTTACAGTAATCTTCAGAACATATTACTTTTGGATACGACGACTACAAACTTTTCGAAAAATAAATGCAATAATTTAAGGCGCAGTATAAATGTATGTATCTTATTTTTAGAACAGGTCATCAACTTTTTTTCTTGACTGCAAAACGCGAGCTAACATTATTTAAATCTGCTCATTGCAACGATTTTTTCATATTTTAAAAAAATAGCTGCGCTACATTGCAGACATTTCACTACAAAGTATTCATTTTAAAAATCTCAAAACCCCCATTTATCTGACCATGTTTATTCGATTTGACGGATGGTTCCGCTAGAGAAAAATGACCAACACTTTCTTGCGATGACATCAAAACACTCCGCATCCACCTTTTGTCTTCTCAGCCTTTTGCTTAATCGTTTTTTGCCTGCGGCACTCCTGGAAAAAACTGAACTCATCCGCACAAAGAGGGAAGATCTCGATTTTTTGCGATGAAAACTCAACAAAAAATGCACGAAAAATGGGGCCGTTGAAAGGGCGGCTGCAAGACGGATCAGTGGGAGATTTCGGGCCCCGGTTTAACGGCAAATATGAGGCTCCTTTGCACGCTGTTGACCATCTTCGTGATCGATGTGGAGGCTCAGAATTTGGAGAAGTCGAGGAGTGTCTGGGTGGAGCAGGGCCTGGTTAGAGGGAAGATCTACAAGCTGGGGGAGCAGCAGGTGCAGATCTTTCGGGGAATTCCATATGCGGAGCCACCAATCGGAGATTTGAGGTATAAAGTAAGTAAGTAGGGTGGAAAAATTTCTTCATCGTGTAAGATGGCGACCCGCTTGAATTTACCGCTTACTAGGCTTCAAAATCCGGAAATTGTATCAAAAAAACTTTTATCCCAAACAGCCCCAAAATAAAACGGATTTCAGATGCCAATGCGAAAGCAACGCTGGGAAAAGGAATTTGCCGCCGTTGACTACGGCCCGCCGTGTGTCCAATTCATGGACTTCCACAAGAACGATCGATTCTCCGGGCCGAATATGCCCCGTGAATCCGAAGACTGTCTTTACCTGAACATCTTTTCCCCCTACGATTCAGAAGACGAGAGCCAGCTCTATCCAATCATTGTCTGGATTCACGGCGGCTCTTTTTTGGCCGGCTCGGCCGACACCGGAATTGATATGGAGGCCGTGGCAAGGAATTTGGTCTTCAAAGGAATCACTTTGGTCACGATTAACTACCGACTTGGTCCTTTCGGATTCATGTCTATTGATTATGGAGATCATGTGGAGGGAAATTTCGGAATTTATGATCAGAAGTTGGCTCTGGAATGGATTCAGAGGAATATAAAGCAGTTCAACGGGGATCCCAGCAGTGTTTCGGTGATGGGAGAGAGTGCTGGGGCGGCAGCAATATCAGTACTCGGATTGAGCCCGCTAACGAGAGGTGAGAGTCCATTTCGATAAACAGATTCTGAATCAAGACGGAAAATTTCAGATTTTGTTAAAATTTAGCAAGAATCATCTACCTACGTCTCATTTCAACTTCTGAAATCTTTTAGTTTCAAGCTGTAGCCAAGACCTTCAACGATTATTTTTTCAGGTCTTGTTCACCAAGTTATTGCTCTCAGCGGCTCTGCAACGGCCGGCTGGGCGATTCATCGGCATGGCACAAATGCATGGGACATGAACAACATTGCCGATTACATCCGATGCAACAAGATCATCCCAGAACAAGACCTGAAGGCTGTCTTGAATAGAGAATCAATCACGGCGAAGACAAAGACGACTGAGCATTGTAATCTACAACTGCAGGTGCCAGAGTGCTTATTGGTAGGTTTCTTTCTTGCCATTAGAAGTTTAATATCGGTTCTAGTCGTATTTTGATTTATTCGATGAGTGATATATTTGCAGAACACCGGAAAGATGAACCCAAAAGACATGTTGGAGTGCTTCAGGAAGGAGGTCAACTTTTCAGAGCCGTTGTTTAGACACGCTTTGTCTGCAGAGGCAAGTGAATAACTCGTACGAAAAGGTTGGCTGTAAAGCGCGCAGGTTTTGAATATAACCGGCATAAAGTTTGGAAACTATCGCATTTGTGACTTAATTTTTTTAAAACGACACCTTTACGTTATCATCCGTTACCCTTATAATTTTAGCTCGGAGTATCCAAAATGGTAGTAGACGGACAGCTGATCCCAGCGTCTGGGATCGAGCTTGTCTCCGATTACGCCCATCTTCCCCTTCTGACCGGCGTGGCAAGCAGAGAATGGGCTCATAAACGGCGTAAGTGTCAACAAATTAATCCTTAATTTGCTTCGATCGCAAAACGCCTAAAGGTCTTCAAATTCTTAAAAACCATTTTTATATTTTCAGCCGAATTCTACGAGTTTTGGCGCTATGAAAACATGAGTCGAAGCAAAGCAGAGGAAGCAGTGAAGAAGTTAGTCTACACATCCTATGCGTCAAGATTACCTGGAAAAGTCCCTAACGCAACGCTTAATTTGATCTCAAATGCAACGTTCTTACGGTATATGCAAGATGTCGACTTCAATTTTGACATGCCAGGGGTTGTAGCCAGGCTTCAGGATGTGAGTTTATACCTTCCAAAATATAATCTTCCCCACAAAAGCAAATCAAATTTCATTATTTTCAGTTAGAAGCGGACATTGAATTTGTTGCCCCATGTCAATCTGAAGTTGACTCCTATGCCAAAAATGGTCTTGATGTTTTCGTTTACTCGTTTGATTACATCCCAAAAGGCAATATTGTGGAGGTCGACAAACGCTTCTACGAGCTTTTTGGGGACAATCAAGTGACCGTGACCAAAAAAGACGCCTCCAGCGATGGATATGAAATCACAGCGTTCCATGGGCTGGATCATGCGTTCATATTCAGCCATGGTTACAGCAGTAACTTTCAAATAAAACCCTTTACAAAACAGGACCGCGCAATGTCAAAGGTGTTGACCACGATGATAACAAATTTTGCAAAGACTGGGTGGGTCATAAACTATCTACAAATGACTTTATCTTGACCTTTTCCCCTATTTTTATTCAAAAATTATATTGTTTTAGAGACCCATCAATTGAAGTGTTTGAATGGCCGGCCTATACCAATTCCAGTGCTCATTATGTCTCAATAGGACTGCATCCAAAGTAAGAGCGGTGCAAACGTAAATGAAGACCTTATTTTAGACTCATAAAAGGCCAACTTCACTTCCCAGCACCAGAATTTTGGAATCATGAAGCTGCAATGCTGGCCAAATATACTTTGTCCGAGAGTCCGCTAAGCGATGAGGAGGTCAGCGAACTCACAGTCGAGGAAAGGAAGCAAGTAAGTAGCTAAATCTTGCAGAGAGAACCTTAACAAGACAATTTATGACCATAATTTAGATGGTTAATATAATGAATAATAATTTCTACCTTAATAAGCCCCAAATTTCAGCTTAATGCATATCGTCGCGCCTGGTGGGCACTCTGGCTATTTGTGATCGCTGTTGCAATCATCATCTGGGTCGCTATTATTTGTTTTGTCATCAAAAAAGGCAAAAGCCCGACTTCAAAGCCCTATGATAATATCGTCGTAAATCGGGAGTAATTTTTAAAATATTGTTATAGTATTATTGTAAATTTGTCGCCAATTTGATATCATTAGTTTTGTCTTGTTGTTTGATCATTCCTATCGAAATAAATCGACTCAAAAAAAATTTTTTAAGTCAATTTCCAGAGAATAAATTCTGCGTTTCAAGCTAAGAATTTCAATAGCAATGCCATGAGGAAACGTCGTCTTCAACGTGGACTATTGAACCCTCAACCGACCCCAAAAACATCCTTCAAAGCAATGCTCTTTCCCCCCTCCAAACCACGTTTTCCCGCATTTCTTATCAGCTCTCGCTTATTCAGAGAACTTCTCCTCCAAAACTTATCAGTGCCATAAAAAATGATGTTACACTTGACATCAAAAAGCTTCTAGTGCAAATATAATGCGTGAAATGCCTTCCCATGTGGTTGGGAATGTTATGTAATGCTCAAAACGCACTCAGCGTTGAGAAAAAAGTGCATTTATTGCTCGAATATCGAAAAGAGACGACGATCATTCAGTGTTCATTGCTCAAGCAAAACAATTTTTAAACTCCGATTTTCGTGAGAAGAAATCTCTAATCAAACGAAAAAGGCTTCCGTTTCCAAGTTCATCTTGCTTTCGCTAGATTCCACAACTTTTCCTAGCTTACAATTTGTGTTACAAAAATTTTTCGCGAGTTTTATGATTTTTTATCTAAAATTTCAAGACGGTTGTAAATTTCACCCATTTTTAGCCAAATGTTGGCCAGAAAATGCTTTCACATCTACTCCAGGGCTATTTTGACATCGGCAAAGTTCAGCTCATCTGCTCCATCGAGTTATGTCCCAGATTCAACCAATTTTGCGCTGAAAGTTCAGAAGAGAATTGAAGAAACCCGAGAAAAAGCCGCTTTGGGAGGGGGACAAGCCAGAATTGATGCTCAACATAAAAAGGTAAGTGAATTGGCCATTTGGCAAGCTTCTGACAATGAGATCAAAAGAAAACAGGATTTCTTCGATTTTTGGGTCAAGTCTAACGTTACACTTGGTAAGACTTGACTCGCAACGCAAAAATGAGAAAAGTTGGTGTTTTTCAGAGAACTTCTACAATTTTTGGAGTAAGCAGACTCCCTTGGATCATATTTGATTTTTCCATAAATTCGGAAAGATGTTTTACATCTGAAATTATTCATTTTACATCATTGTCTAATGTTGTTTCTCATTTTGTTACCTAAAATTATTTTTTTCAGGGAAAACTCACCGCTCGGGAGCGAATTCAAGCTCTTCTTGACCCTGGAACCTTCAGAGAGTATGATCAATTTGTGGAGCACACTTGTACCGACTTTAACATGCAGAAAGAAAAGGTAATTCTTGTGTTCTCGATGTCTAAAATAAAATTTTAGTATCCTGGGGACAGTGTAGTCACAGGTCATGGAAAGATCAGTGGAAGAACGGTCTATGTGTTCTCCCAAGATTTCACAGTATTCGGAGGATCTTTTTCATTGGCAAACGCGAAAAAAGTTGTCAAGATTATGAAGGTAAGGTCGAATGGCATAAATAATATAACTTTGGTATCTTTAGCAAGCAGTGCTGACTGGATGCCCTGTAATTGGTCTAAATGACTCTGGAGGCGCTCGAATTCAAGAGGGAGTCGACTCGTTGGCTGGTTATGCCGACGTTTTCAAGGTAAGGCCATTTTTTGCCTCGGATAATATAAAAATGGGGGCTTCGGTAGTTCAGCCCCCCACGAAAGGTAGTTCAAACCCCCACTGTTTTGCCCGTTTCACACCCCACATAATGAACAAATTAGAATAATACAAAAAGTGTAAGTGGGGGTTTGATCTACTACGTTGGGGGTTTGATCTAAAACGTAGGGGGCTTTTTCTAAAACGGAGGGGGCTTCATCTAAAACGTAGGGGGCTTGTGCTGGACCATACAACTTGGATTAATTCTTTGAAATAAATTTTGGGGTTCAGAATGTACGAGGGGGGTTGTACTGGGTTATGGGGGGGCTAAACTGGACTGGGGGGCTGTACTACCTTAGCCCCTAAAAATGTCTAAAATTTGGGTTTATTTTGAACTTTAGGAGAATATCGAAGCTTCTGGTATAGTCCCGCAGATCTCACTTATTATGGGTCCCTGTGCCGGCGGCGCCGTCTATTCTCCAGCGTTGACCGACTTTACTTTTATGGTCAGAGACACTTCGTATCTCTTTATCACTGGTCCAGACGTTGTCAAAGCTGTTACCAATGAAACCGTGACACAAGAAGACCTCGGAGGGGCGAAAGTTCATACGAAGGTATGTAATTGTGAAGATTTTTTGTCTTTTTAAGATAGGGTCCTAAAACAATATCAAAGTATCTCGATTTCAGGTGTCCGGCGTTGCCCACGGCGCCTTCGATAACGACATTGAGGCTTTACTCAACATTCGGAAGCTAATGAACTTCCTTCCACTCAATAATACGCAACCAGCACCGATCAGAAAATCGGATGACCCATGGGACAGGGATGTCCCAAATTTGGATACAATCGTCCCATTAGATTCGATGAAGGCCTATGATATGAAAGAAGTGGTCCATTCGTTGGTCGACGAGGGAGATTTCTTCGAGATTCAGCCAGATTATGCCAAAAATATTCTTTGTGGATTTGGGCGGATGAATGGACAGAGTGTTGGAATCGTTGGAAACAACCCCAAATTTGCTGCTGGTACGTATTTTTAGTTAGTTTGGGTGTCGTTTAGGTGATTGCTGGTAAGCTTTAAAGATGTTTTTTTTAAATCAATATCTTCCTTTAGGTTGTCTGGATATCAACTCTTCGATCAAAGGCGCCCGATTTGTCCGCTTCTGTGACGCCTTCAATATCCCTATCGTAACCCTGGTCGATGTGCCTGGTTTCCTCCCAGGAACTTCTCAAGAATACGACGGAATCATCCGCCATGGCGCCAAACTTCTCTATGCCTTTGGCGAAGCGACTGTTCCAAAAATCACTGTGATTACTCGCAAAGCCTATGGTGGCGCATATGATGTGATGTCCTCGAAACATCTTGGCGCCGACGTCAACTATTGTTGGCCAACGGCTGAGGTGGCGGTTATGGGCGCGAAAGGAGCGGTCAGTATTTTGTACAGAAGAGATGTGGAAAATCAGCCAAAACACGAGCGAGATTACATCGACCACTTCAGCAATCCATTCCCAGCGGCGACTAGAGGTGAGGGGAAGATTTGTATTGAATTTTACAACATTTGGGGTCATCGCTTGAGAGGATTTAACAATTGAGGGAAATTTTTTAAATTCTGGACTTAAAATGATATAACTGTTGGTTTCAGGCTTCATTGATGATATTATTGAACCCAGAACCACCCGTCGTAAGATCTGCCAAGATTTGGAACTCTTGGCCAACAAAAAAGTTGTCCCAAGAAACCGAAAACATGGAAATATCCCGTTATAAGCCAAGTACAAATAAAAAACTGTTGGCTGAAGCATAATTTTTGAGTCAAAGCCCTCTCCGACCGGCTCGCATCATGTAAAAACATTTTATTTTAGACGTCTCTATCATCTATGAACATAAATAGTCAAATAAATTAAGTTAAATTAATAGTTTGGCGTGGAATCAGCTAAAAAAACTTTTGGGTTTGAGATGTGCCGGACACTCATGGGTCCAATGGGAAGAGGAGTTATGAGATAGGAATAAGTTAAAAGGGCTTCTTGATCGGGGATTCAAACGCTTTGAGTGCATTGGAGAATGCCGGAGGCGCCTCTTCGTGTCGCTTTCACGGAAAGTTTTGTTCGGAGAATGCTGAAAATGGGATTGCGGTCAGTAAAAGTGATTTTTGAGGGGTCAGAAGATTGTTTTGGGTATTTCATGAGATAGAATTAAAATTTTCATATTTTAAAAAAAATACGGTTAATTTTTTATTACCTATTTTTTGTTTAGTCGCAAAAATTATCCCAATTTAGATTACTTGTATTGATATCGGCCCCAAATACCCCTAAAAATCCTGCTTTTTCCTCCAAAACTTACTGATTAATTGAGCTCCTCGAGGGCAAAGTCTCAACAGTGCAAATTCCATCGCCTATTAATCGGTCTCTGATCTCTGATTGTTTTGTCACCCCATATTTTTGGACGTATATTCGAATAGCAGCCACTAATGGGGACTCTGTTCGGCCTTCTTTTGCATCTTTTGGTTTCACGGAGCCGGTCGAACGGTATCTGAAAAAATTGAGGTTACTGTAAGGGAATGAGAATTAAAAAATTTCTACAGTAAGAAAAGTATTTTTTGGCATTACTGTAAGCATAATGACAAGTAAAAAATATTTGCAGTAAAAAATTTGGAAATCAGCAAGATTAATGACTAAATTGTACAGTAAGAAAATTTTTTTTTATTAAAAATCTTACCGATTCAAAATTTTGGAGACGCATGAATGTGTAACACACAGTTTCTTTGAAATATTACAAATCTTCCATCCTTTTTGGAACAAAGCCACTATCTTCTTTCGCTCGTCCATTCCAAGAGGAAGTCCCGGGTTGTAGGTTCGGCCAAGTTGATTCGTGCCTAAAAATACGGAGTTTTTCTTTGCCGAGCAAAATATTTATGGTTGGATTAAAATAGGATTGTCCAAACTGCGGCCTATTTAGTTCTTTTGAACGAAATAAATACAGTTTTGAAGAGAGACTATGGAAGTTCATTTTGTTGCGATTGGTTATTCATTAAACCTAAAATCAAAAAAAAAAATCAAAATTTGGCATTTTTTAACGCAAAAACCTCCTTTCTTTCTGCAGAGCGCTAGCCAAAAATTCAAAATGTCTTACAAATTTTTTATTTAATTTTTTGCCAAGTGTCACCGCAATCTGTTAATTTTCCCCAGACATTATTTTCCAATTTATCCTATTTATTTTGATTACTTGAACTTTCTAGATCCAGAATCATGTTTTCAATGCCTTAATCCCTTTTTGAGACTTCTATGCCCTTCAAAAGTGTCTTCTAAAATTGGCCGTATAACCGGATTGATTAGTGCTTTTCGAAACTTTATAATTACAAACAGATCCCAGTCCGAATGCCGCGGGCACTTTTCTTGGCCTTTGATTATCCCAACCTTTTAGGCCAATTTTCTGCGGACTTTGCCCGCTTAAGCCTTGAATGGAACGGATTAGAAGGTTCTAGAATGTTGACAAACATCATGTTTGTGCACTAATCTGCTGTTATCTGATAACTGGCCTGGCATCTGGCCAAAGGCATGTGGCCTGGGGAGATTAAAGACCAGTCCGATTTTCGAATACCAGGAAGCGAATACTCCGATGGCATTTTACTTGTGTTTACTCTTCTTTAAATTGTTGTAGTTGCTGTCATTAGGTGTCCTGTGACAACTTTTAAATAGTAATCCCGAAGAATTACGGGGAAAACAAGGTTTTTGGGATTAGAAAATTTAGTATATAACACGTTGACATTTCTGGGGTCAAAATAATTTTCTGGGTTGTTATGAATTGGAAGATTCTCGGAGTTTGCTGATATTTGGCTCGATTAAGGTTAAGACATTTTAAAAATATCTAAAAGATTTTTAGCTCGAGCTTTTTCAACGACCATCGAGATTCATAAAATGCAAAAAAATGCTTGCCTTGCGAAGCAAAACTTCAAACATACAGTAATTGATGTATGGTAAAAATGAATGATGTGGAAAAAATAAGCTTTCCTTTAGAAACTTTCAATTCATCCTCTGAATGAATTTTTTAACTGTTCGTATAAAAGTCACGGATACTACAGAACGAACGCTCAAATTTCAACACCCCTTGCAATTAGAAATAAGCTTCTTTTACAAAATTTGTCTTACCTGAATTCCGGTTCGAATGGTAGACCAAGGAGTTGTTGTAAAAGTCCGGGCTTTCGCTCATCTCGCAGTAATTCTGATCCACAAACTCGGTCTTGCAATTGTATTCGTAGATGAAGGGCTTTGCATCCGTCGGACTATTCTGTTCACTGACATCGTCCGGTGGGAAAGAGACCGAGGAAGGCGTGGAGGAGAGCCAGGACGGGGAGCTGACCTCGGAAAAGCCAGGGGTCGTCGATGGAGTTAGTTCACCCTGAAAAATAAGCATTACAATTAAGTGGATTTTTGTGAGATTTTGCTCCAGATTCCATGAGATATTTTGTCAGAACTAGAGATAAATTTAGACCTAAAGTTAGGAGAATTGGAGGTTTTTAGTCGGCGGTTTGCAGAAAGCTCCGTTAAAAAATAAAAAAGATTCACTGTTCAAAAAACGTTTTTGATATTGTTTTCTAGTTGAAAACCCACTGTCATCCGTTGACATTACATCTCGTGAAGGTAATGAAACCGAAAGCGAGACGGATTAAAAGAGATTTTCGAGACATTCAACCGGGCTTAGATAGACTAAAATCTTTTCAAAAATGGGGTTTCATAAAATATTACTGAATCAAATTAGCTGACATCAGTTTAAAATGCTTCTCAATTTCATCCAATCATTCTCAATTCACCAAAACTTTGTTACGGCAATCGAAATTCGACAGAAACCCTAATCGGTCGAAGAAAGTAATCTTCTACCGCTGCAAAACCAACCTTGAGCCAGGCGTAGAAATCGCGCTCCAAGGACTGCGGCGTGGAAGTGTCGATGATGCAGAAGTCGTGCTCAGCCAGCCCGGCCGTCTCATCGAGCATTCTCTCTTGCGAAGCGGCGGAACGGCACGGCCAACGCCACTAGATTGGAATATTTTCAATCGGATTAAAACGTTCATTTCGCTAATTGTGCGAGAAAGGTTGAGCACAAGGTATTATGGATGGGGATCCGAGAGAGGGCACGTAGGGGATAAGGAAAACAAAAATATGGAAGAAGTAAACATTCATCCGCTCGGATTGCGAGCCAAAATTGTGTGGTGTTAAGAACGGGGGTATTAAAGGAAAAATTTGGCAAATGGAATGCAGAAAACGTAAAAGCAATTTAAAATTCAATCACTGTTTTCTTGATACATAACTCTATGTAGAGCCAATAAACAGGAAACTCAGGAAAATTTTTGCTCGCCATTTGGACCCGTAGCAGAGATCATCACAGTCTAATTGCACACGTTCTTGTCATTCCTCCCTATTTCAAGAGATTGAACTCAAAAAACAAGACAATTTCAAAAATTTCTTCCCCTCCTTTACCGTAATATACTTTGAAATATGACTTCCTAATTTCGCGACTTTGAAATTACAACAAATTCTTGGCTTCTACAATTTTGCTGCGCATATAAATGATATAAATTCTACGTCATGACAAAACATTGTTTTCAGTGTTCAAAATATGCTTGCAAGTTATTCACTGTATATCCGGTGGAGAGGAGGGCGAAATATGCGAAACTAAGAGTGCAGTCGAATTACAATTTATTCAAATTCGCACATTTCCCAGAATTTGGGCGTATGCGCGCCATTGAACGGCGAATCGTAGCAGAAAACAATGAGAGGTGTAGTTTGAGACTGTACTCTCGGATTGTTACAGTCAGACGGGCATCGTGGAGACAGCGATTGAACTTTAGTGGGGCTGGGAATGTGCCTACGACGTTGGGAATTGATTTTGACGAAGCTCGGGAGTTATGGAGATTAAAACTTCTATAGAATTCAAGAAATGTCTAAATCTCTACGACTTCTATCGTAACTACTTGACTTGGAAGTCAACTCGCTTCCGAATCAAGTCCTACATCCCAAGCACACGCTCGGGCCCACCAATGACAAATCTCTGCCCTGAAAAAGCACCGCGAATAAAAAAGAATTCAATGCCTCCCGGGATTACCCATTCACAACACAAAATCCGATACCGTAACGTTTCTTAAGCCCTGATCTGCTACGCAAAATCCCCCCTGCTAATCTATATGTCCCCATTTTTATTAAAAACCTTGCCGACCATTGGAGTAAATGACTGTAAAAACTTGCGAGAAACTATTGTATAAAGTTAATCCCAAAGCCATATGGGGGATCGCGAAGTTTCCAGCCCCGAAAATTCAAATGATAATCCAATTGAAATGTGGGGATGGTGCGGGTATTGTCTTGGAGTAAAGGATGGGCAGAAGTCAAATGTTAGCCTGGATTAGGGGTTCAATCCTGGGATTGTTTGCCAAATCATAGGCTAACGAATGTTTCCTACATGATGTGCAGACGGTCAAGGATTGTAGAGTCTTTTTATAACTGAATGGATATACTTTACATTCCAAGACATAAGCTGTCGTCTAATTATGAAATAAACAGACAAATGGATTGAATGTACTTTTACTGTGGAAACCTATTTTTCCACGGCTCCGAAATGTCTCACGAAGCCTTTACGACCCTATAAAATACGAGTTCTCAAGTCGAAATCAATGAATAAGTCCTTCAAAAACTGGACCTCAGCATTGGCCCCTTCCCCATGTGCAAAGCTGGATCGATTGTCTCTCCGGGTTTCATCAAAAATCGGCTTTAAAAAGCGCTCACTTTGACTGGTTCGACAACCCGTGCTCCCACGCGTGAAAAGTGAGAGCCGGGACGCAAAATTCAAATCAATTCCGACTACGCTTTCTACGGTAAATCGTTTCCACACAAACAAGAGCATGATATAATACAAGTCGAGCAGGAGCATTGTAATTGGGTAGAAGTTTTTGGATAGTGTACTCAGAAAATGATTACAACTATCTCGCAATGACTTAATTAAGTCATCAAAAAAATGGAAGGCGAATTTCTGATGGTCTGAGCCCCTGTTTTGCGCAAAACTTGGTTTATATGATTTGCCTAGACACAAACTCTCAAAGTGTTTAGATGGTGATTCATAGAGGCAACCGGGGAGATACACAGCGAAGTTAAGGCAAGAGACAATGGGAAATGAGGAGAGCTGGCCAGAGAGATACTTGGAGTAATCAAAAGAAGGTTAGGGCCTGCCAACTTTTGAAAGAATGTTTTCTCATAGCTCTAAATAAAATTTTTTTACACATAGTGCTTATCATGAAAAATAACTGTATATAGTCTTCGTAAACTTCGCACGAAACATACATAATTCGGGTCCTTGAAAAAGCAGTGATTTGAAAACCTTCCTAGACTCTGAAGAAGGTGAGCTGATTTTGTTGCTACGCAATTTATTCTCCTGGCGGCGATGCGATTTTCGTTGCGGCAGAGCGCTCGCTATTTTCCCGACAGTCTGATACAAACTCTCCGACTCCAAGCCTCACTTACATAGCACCTAAACTGCATAATCACACCCCGAAATGTCTGATGTATAATATAATCCGAAGTTTCGAAGCCTACAACGTCGAGGTTATCAGGGATTAGGCCACAAGACTGGGCACATGGTCAGAAATAACATTACGTAAAACCGTATTTTCCTCGTGGTATAAGAGGGGATTGATTAGCGCTCAAATCGTGCCATTACTTGGATTTTAAGCCAATTAAGAGCGGTTCAAATCCACTCGGATTTGGCGTTTTTTGGACCGAAAACAATGAATGGGCCTAAAATACGAGGAAGGGCTTAATTATCGGTGTCTAAATGTTGTTTACTCTTCATGAGAAAAAGATGACAAATTATAAATTTGTTGATTCTACATACCAGTGAATACGGAATAGTTGTGGGAATTTGAGAGTCCCGCGGAGATATTACAGTATACCCTAACCACTGAAAGCCATAAAGGTTTGCCCAGCTTCCCTAGACATCAAAAGCATAAGTATTTTATATCCCTCCAGACACCTCGTTAAAACTTCTTCCCCCAATTTATATACCCTCCGATGTTGCCCTTATAATCTGTACAGTGAGAGTCAAAAATTGTAGAAAATAAGCTCCAGTTCCCCGGTTGATATCACACTTGTTACAAGGCCGCCCATCTTATCTGCCCCCAGGCACGTTCTTTCCCAATCCCCGGTCTTGGATTATGTTGAAAAGGGGAAAATTATTATTTTGTGCGGAAAAACTTAATAATTGAGAGATTATCGAAAATTCGGTGCTGAAATTTAAAGGGTGATCAACGGTTTGGAAGCGAGTCTCAATTTGTTAGAACGTGGGCTTTGGTCCGTACAATATTTTGCCGATCCACCTCTTTGGCAGACACTGAGGCTTTAATTCGAGGACATCAGGAAAATAAGGAGGAAAGAGCAGGGAAGTGATGTTCTGGAAAGCTTTTTGGAGGACGGATATACCACGTAAAGACTATGATGATGAAGATTTCTTGGGGCTATGATGCTCATATTTCTTTGAAATTTGCCCTGCTTGATCCACCTATATGGTGCACAAATTAATCCTTGCAAATTTCAGAGATTTGAAGATGTACCCGAGATATTCAACAGTATTTGCGAAGACTCTGGCAAATCAGGGGAGACTGTAAAAGATGAGCTCTGCTTTGGCCCGAATTTTGTTTATCAAAGTCAGCGCGCGGCTATTCTATTGAGGAAATCAGCATTCCTCTTTTCCGGTTCCCTACTTGTGTTTTGTTTGTAAAAATATTGTGATCTTAATGGCTTAATCTAACCAGTCACCACATTACGGATTCGTTTTCAATTTCCACTATAAAAATATCTCTAAAATATTTTTTCCAATACTCTAACGTTATACATCGTATTTGCATCTGACCCGACAAAACGCTACTGGTTCCGATAATCCCATTCGCTGAATCGAGCCCCCAACGAAGAAGAAACGCACGTATCAAAATCAGAAAGTAAAAGCGCCGACTCTTTTGCATGGACGCTTTGGAGTGTTATGGTCGAAATGCAACCTTCAAAGATCATCTACAAACGGAAGATACGATGAGATGAGAGCACACTTTAAATCTACATTAAATTGAGAGTGGGATGAACGATCAAATTCAAAACAGCCATTTGAAATTTGAATACAAAAATGGACACTTTAAAGAGTACGGTCGGTTCGACACGTGCGTCTCACGATACGACAAAAAGTTCTCTTGTAATGTAAGTCTCAAGTTTTTGAAAATCAAAAATAGAATTTTTGAAGACCACAGACAATTTTTCCCATTAAATATCTTATAATTACTCGTGAGACTACTGTATTTCTCAACAAAGTTTCCTTGTAGAAGTCTCTAAAAAACGGCCACATTCAGAAACAATAGACAACAAGGAACTTGTGGAGGAAATTAGAAACTGGGAATACATACATATTGTACTCTGTTTTCTCATGCGTCGGCACTTTTGAAATCGTTCAGCCATTTTTGTTGGTTTCTGATCAAAGTAAAAACGTATTGTAATAATACGTGTATTAGAGTAGAGACATTGGAGTAGAAAGAAAGTGCATGCCGGGTTGCTTACTTATCCCGAAGCCTTCTTGACCCCGAAGGCTTCACAACGACCGAGAATAATCAAGAAGTTGAAATTCAACACCATTTAGTATCAATGAGGGATAAAAGAAAAAAAGCCCCTCAAGGAAAAAAACACGGCAATAAACACTATCGAATGGCTTGAAAGTATGCAAACAATGTCATCAGATTTTTTTTCTAAGCATCTGCACTTACAACCACACACATTCTGCCGGCTAACTAGTGATCTAAGCTCTGCTATTGATGGCATACATACGTAGCAAAAAGTGATTAAAAATTCAGAGAATGCTCTTGACTAGACAATAAAATATCAAGATCTCCTCTAGACAAGCGACCAATGGCGTTTGTACTTTCTTGAACTAAAGTTTCACTGTAAAAGAAAACATGCTAAGCTGACGTCGCAAT